AAGGTGTGCGGTGGATCGGTGAGCGTAATTCCCACCTCATTCCTTCGCTCTGCATCACAGACGGTTCAGTCAGTCAGTCGGGAAGCATCGTGTCTCACTCCAGCACTTGAGTGCATCACAAACTGACGTTCTCACATACCGACATGCTGCACGACTGCACTTGCGGAAACCATCACAAGCGATAGCATTATACACAACTGATGACAGCGCGGTGTGCAAATGTGCTTTTGAACGTGGTGCAAAGTCAAGCTCACTTACTGTATGCTGACGCCGCTAAATGGCGCACGAACGCTGTTCATCCTTTGAGCACGAGAAAAGATGAGAACGAGAGGTTTGAGGCTTGAAATCTGCGGGTGGGTTAGGAGACGCAGGTCCTCCCTCGCCACAGCTAGAGTCACCTGTCCAAAGAGGGATTGAGCTGGGCGTTCAGTGGTGGTGAAGGAACTGCCTCCACCGTTGGGAAATTGAGCTCTCCAAGTCTCGGTGAGGGCGATTGCAATGGGTAGTGGTGGGATGGGAGGTGGAAGTGCACGGGGTTCGGTGGGGAATCGCGGAATCTGTAGGGGTGGTGGAGGCGGTGTGGAGGTATCGTCGTCCTCCACTGCTGCCAGTGGCGCATGGCAGACCTGGGTAAAGGCGAAGGAGGTAGACAATTTCCTACCCCAACAGCAACTTAAACCGCTACTCGACTGTCATGTGTGCAAATAGAATCATGCTTAGTAGCGTTGGCAATTGGATTGATGGATGGATGGGCGGGTGATCACTCACCAAATAGAGAAACATTTCGTCTGAATCCTGGAGAAAATACAAAATTGCATTAAGTGTAGTCACCGCAGCAACAACGACAACAGCAACAGAGAACAACGTGAACAATGGAGACAATGAAACACGCGATAGGCATGATGGATGACGTTAAAAGAAGAGAAGCAAAACAAACAGCAACAATTGCTGATACCTGTTTTGTCAACTGCCAAACGTCTTCAAGCCCTTTCTAAGATGGAAGTAGGTGTGAGAGGGATGGAAAATGTGGACCAGTGCTCTCGTTGACCTTCCACAACAGTCTATACCTTTACAAGATCTGACATAGCGTTACACTATAACCTGAAATCCTACTCCTGACATTACTGCAACTCTACAACACGACAGCATTTCGCTCATAGCTCCGATCACTCCGCCTCTTGACATTGCACAACAATGTCGTGTCGAGGCTCGAACTATACTGAGAGACTTCTATCGGTTTGTGCTGAAGACACTCACCAACTGGTCTCAAGCCCCGTGTTACGGTCAGCGGTAAAGTACAAAACGCAGAGGGGAGTTTGAAAATGCAGCCAAAGGAACAGGAAGGCAAAAAATGGCTTGGAGGAACAAATAATCCGTTCTTAAATAACAGTGAAGTTTAAAGCCAACAGATGAATCAAGATTAAGGCCTGCGAGCCCACATCACTTTCCCTATAACCCACTTCACCGCATTTTTTGAGCAATTCTTTCAGTGCCTGTTATGCGATTCTATCAAAATGGGCAACCACCACATAGAAAAATTTGTGACAATGTCACCAAGAGGACACAATAAAGTGGATTAATAGAGAGAAGTCGACCCGCCACGCCGAACAGTAGAATATCGTAGTAAGAGGAGAGTTGTCAAATGGGAAAGTAGAGGGTTGCGATCCAAATATCCCCCGATTACTGGCAGATGCGCCTTTTTGTCCAGAGCGACAAAGAAGATGCCTTCACATTCCTACGTCTGTTGGCATTCTAAGCAGTACTTCAAGAAGTAGCCTTACAGTGTTAGAATGACTGAGTGAACGTCTTTCAATGTCATTATCACCACCACAATAGAAAGGGGAAAACAACATCGACTCAACCTTAGGTGCTGTAGAATCCGCTTGAGATGGAGTTGAGGTAGTCTTAGCCTCAATACTGTCATCTCGAAGATCAATCAGACGGTCGTAAGTCTCGGTGGTGTCGTCCGAAGTCTTGAAAATAGCCTCCCAACTGCCTATTGTCTTTGGTGTAGGCGTACTCTCATCGCGTTTTAATAATCCAAATGGGTTGAAGGATTCGGCGTTGTCCTGGGACGTGAGATCCAGCGTTTTGGAAGACTCATCTGGAATAGAGGGGAAAGAGGAAGATAAATTTGAGTAGCACCTTAAATTCAATGACAAGAGACCCTATCAGCGGGGAAGCCTAGTTAAACTTCGATGATGATGGGGAGAAAAAACATCAACAAGAGAGGAATTCGGTGAGTGAATCGAAAAAGGTGGATGGATAGGATTGGTGAAAACAAAGCCTGCGACGATTTGATGAAGCAAAGTGAAGGATGAAGGCTACGATGAGTGGATCTGGAACGTATTGAGAATAGGTGGATGGGGACCTGAATAAACCCGGGAAGGATAGCTCCAAAGATCACAGATAAGCTCCTTTACTCCTTCTTAGTTGTGTTCGGCATCCTCGTCGACTGAAAGTCGTATCCTGTCCTGGAGGTGGCGGTAGTATTGGCACCAAAGGAGCCGTTGATACAGAAACTGAACGACCTCCCATAACACCACCACTACGAACAATGCCTATGGCAGTTGACGTGGCAGGGGAGATGTCTACAAAAGGCTTGTCAGCGGATGTATGCGGACGGCGAAAGTCTCGTGCGTTGAGAGTGACAGGACTGCGTAACGAGGCTTGAGGTGTTGACGCTGACAGTGTGCGTTCAGCAACGCCTGGAGAGAGGTCACCAAGAGGGCGAATGTTCACCTAAAAACCGTCAGCAATAATGCAATAAAGATGGTAGTTTTGCTCTTCATAAAAAACAAAAATTGGTGTGTAGAACAAAGGAGGGCAAAATGTGTACACAAATACACTCTTTGGCCGAATCAACAATGTAGACTATTGAAAAACGCAAATCGTGACTCCAAAGAATGACTCTCCTTCTTAGTCATGCTGACAAACGCGATTTTTTTTTGTCAAAAAATAACCACAGCACCATTTACGTGCGTTGGTGACTACTGAATTCGTAGGTAGTAAAGCGATGTCTGCCTTTGACGATTTGCAAATTTTTAAGTCTACACAGTGTCCGAGGCGTGGAAGAAAGCAAAAGCAAACTTATTCAAAATCAAAGAGTCCAATACGTGTTTACTGAATCACCTCTGGATTCCACCTAGCGGATTAGTGTAGCTCATGAAAATAACCACCTGTCAAGGCGAGAGAACCGTCCCAGTGAGACAGAATCGCAATGCGGCAGAAGTTGAGGGTTGGTTACATGATTTAGCCCAAACAACGCGACCAGCCACCCACTTCTTCAGGCTCTCCAGGCCTTGAGAAATTTTCCCCTTATCCACGAGTGAGGAAATGCGCAAGTTATAAGTCAGTTCCATCCTCAAAACAATTAAAGGAACAGAGTAGAGACAATCACAAAAGGGATCAACTAGCATCGAGAGACCGAGACCGCGGTTAACAATACGAACGAGCCAGAAGCAAATGTGGCGGTGGAAAGCAATGAATCCTGTTGAAGTCCACATCGGAGGAGGAGAAAGACTTCCACACGAACAGTATACACGAGTGTACAACTGCTACGATCCAGAGCCTCAAGGTGGTTCCAACATTACGCAATTTGTCATTTTGATTGTCAGTAAATTTGATCTGTCAGCAGACACAATCAGAGGAGCGAGAGAACTCGAGTGGAAAAACTTGGCACGAAAAGGACCAATTCTACAAAAGTCGACGTATAAAGGCTGCACAAATGTGGCTATCCAAAAAAGCTAACTCAGTGCCAGATTCAATATTACTCCCAACGGATGAAATGAGGCATTTCCACCTTTGAAGTCGATCCTCAGATCAATTGCCAATACGTCATATGAATTTAGACGCTCCTTCGACTGCCTATTAACAAAACACCTCCAATGCAGATCTCATTTGTAGAGGAACTGAGGAGTCGCATCCACCCAATCACTGTGCGGCAATGAAGGGACTGAAGATTTGGATACCCTTAGACACCTTCCAGTGGATATTTTGATGCACGCCAAAGTCATGATCATGAGGACGTTAGACAGCCGCATCAGCCATCGGCGCACCGTCTTTAACAACAAAGTTGACTGGTTTTTTGAGTGAAGTAACACCTACTGGAACAATCCAGTAGCACAATTCCCTCAACAGTCGCGCGAGTTTGTAAATCGTAACTCGATCATCATTAATTGGATTCATGCAGCCCTTGAAGATTTATTCCACCTTAACATTCAAAGTGGATGTCCTATTAAATTCTTCGAAAGACCACACATCTACCACAAGCCCAATCAGAGGAGGGCGAAAGAAGGGGGTACAAGGCGCACTTTTACCATTACTTGGACTTTATTCTACTTTGAATTGTTAAATGGCACAGACAACCTAACTACTGCCCTACCGTTTCATCTAACGCTGACATTGGCAAGGGCGTTTAACCATCACGATTGGTGTCAAATTCCACGACGAAATGAAATCGGGTTCACACCGTAGCAGTAGTCACTGACCACTCCCTTTTAAAGGCAACTAAAAGAATCCATCGTGAAACACAAAGTAGGGTTAGAGGTTCAGCGCGATTAGTACCATCAATGCTGAAGAATTCTGTGCGCTTCGTCATTGGCATTGCGATGTTCACGTGAGGACTTTTTGATCCGTTTTGTGTGATCACCGAGTGCGATGCAATTTTTACGGTTAAATAGCAGAAGTGTTGCCCAAGCACCAACATGGGTCAGAGGATATGACACATTCCGTTAAACCCAAACAAATCCACTTACATCCAAGTTGTGGTGTATGGAATGTATTCATCGGAGTGAGGGTAGAAAGAGGTGCAGTACAGGGCTTGAAAATGATAATCGTTTCAAACAAAGCTGACCTATTATTCTTTAGTGTGAAAACCCAAATGACCCCATCGCTTTTGATGTTTTCTGCAAATGCAGTCGTGCAGCAATCGTGCAAATATGACAGGCGAGTAGCGGTTTAAGTTGCTGTTGGGGTAGGAAATTGTCTACCTCCTTCGCCTTTACCCAGGTCTGCCATGCGCCACTGGCAGCAGTGGAGGACGACGATACCTCCACACCGCCTCCACCACCCCTACAGATTCCGCGATTCCCCACCGAACCCCGTGCACTTCCACCTCCCATCCCACCACTACCCATTGCAATCGCCCTCACCGAGACTTGGAGAGCTCAATTTCCCAACGGTGGAGGCAGTTCCTTCACCACCACTGAACGCCCAGCTCAATCCCTCTTTGGACAGGTGACTCTAGCTGTGGCGAGGGAGGACCTGCGTCTCCTAACCCACCCGCAGATTTCAAGCCTCAAACCTCTCGTTCTCATCTTTTCTCGTGCTCAAAGGATGAACAGCGTTCGTGCGCCATTTAGCGGCGTCAGCATACAGTAAGTGAGCTTGACTTTGCACCACGTTCAAAAGCACATTTGCACACCGCGCTGTCATCAGTTGTGTATAATGCTATCGCTTGTGATGGTTTCCGCAAGTGCAGTCGTGCAGCATGTCGATATGTGAGAACGTCAGTTGGTGATGCACTCAAGTGCTGGAGTGAGACACGATGCTTCCCGACTGACTGAACTGTCTGTGATGCAGAGCGAAGGAATGAGGTGGGAATTACGCTCACCGATCCACCGCACACCTTCGCAGCAGCCCATTCTCTTGCCACCCCACCCCACCCCGCCCACCTCACACCACACCACACAACATCACCCTCACAAAGCTTTGCTTGCAGTGCTTGAGCATGTGATGAGAGGGTGGTGGCATCGTTGACCGCGAGGTCTCCAACGGAGGCTCCATGGCCGTTATGAGTGGGAGTGTTTTGCGTGATGCCATACGAGACACAACAATTCGACCAGTAAAGGCGTGGAAAGGGCGACGTTGTCAAAAGACTGCACATGCCACTGAACAAATATACTTCATAAGGCGGATTGAAGTAGATGAATGGAACGAGGAAGAGGGTTGGCCATTTCTCTCATTCTTTACCTACATTTCTTTATTAACATTCATCAAGGTGGTTATCATCGGGTATTAGCTCCAGCGCTATGAATTAGCTTTGTGCTGACCATCTTACACAGATCCGTTTTGCTTTCCTTTTGCATTCGAGACGAAGTGAAGTAGCCAAAAGTGACAATAATTTCCTCCAACACTCCATTCGCAGTTGTCAGCTCTACAGTAATTAATGATGGGGCGAATGGAGTCGTTCCTCCTAATCCTCGTAGAAGGAGGGCTAACAAAGGTTAGGTGGATCGCAAAAATCAAGCACTGTGAACACCCACCCTTTGTGCTTTGAAGCTTTAAAATGAAGGTGGAAAAAAAAAACAAGCACGCGAGAATGTGCCGATTCAGGTCACTGCGACTGTGACCCTAGAAGTCGACTGATAATGCGGTCGCATCCACGAGAGATGAAAGATTTCACAAGCGAGACATGTGACATTCAATTAAGGTGGGAGAAATCAGAATTCACAGCGAATAAGACAAAGTAGAGGCTTCCATCAATTTAAGAAATGAAAGATTTTAGTTTTTCCACAGCTTTTACAACTTTGCAAAGGCAGAGGGTAAGACCGACTTACCTTTAATCCCTTGAAAGTCTTCTCACTGGGACTGCTGCTGCTGCTACTGCGGGAACTAGAACTGGAGGACGGAGATTCTGAATGTTCCCTGGCCCAGGGATTAGCTGGACGAATGTTGTAGCCCTCATCGTCCACCTTGAGGCACGTGGACGCGGGAGGTTGTGTTATTTTGACAGCCATCTCACTGGGACTGTTGGCTAGGAGGGGAGAGAGAGAAGTGGAACGAAAGTACATTACTCATCGTCGACATAAACAATGCATCACTGAATTCTATTAAAAAAATTATTATAATAAACAATGTTTCTTACTTATCGCCGCTAATACTTCTCCAAGGATGAACGATCAAAATGCCTCTTGCTTTCGAAAGGCGAAACATCACAGTTACTTCGCATTCCATTGAAATTCACTTAATAAAGCACCACACGAATTCACTATCCACACATTTGCCCTCGGCTTGCTGTTAGCCATGATTCCAAGGGAAGACGGAGAGAATCCTGGTAGGAGACGATGCTTCAAGTGAGAGAAGCACCTCCACGACCCCCCACAATTACACCATCGCCTCAGAACTTAAAGTGCCTCAGCATGTTTAAGGATCAGTTGGAAAGTAAAGGCGAGCAAGTGGAAGAGTGTTTGAACCACGATCCATGGAAGCGGATTAACCGCCCACTTTGATACGCTATTCCTCCATCATCTGCCCAACTTCGAGCAAACAAGAAAAAACGCCTCCGCTTGAATGACTGAGAGGATTGAGCGATAAATACTTCCAAATAACTTGTCCCAGGGTGAAGAAGTAAAGCATCATCATTTCAAATAAAAATAATGACCATCCACTGTAAGCACCAATAGCATTTCACTTTCTGTTGGTTTACTGCCATCAATAGCTCATAAAATGACGCTCCTTTGTTGGTTTAGCCTGTGACTCAAAGAAGCCAAAGTTTCTGCACAAACTTGCCGCCTCAAGTGTGTCAGTGTTGTGGTGGTAGAGCATACGAGGAAAGTAAATACGTTTAGTAAATGGAACTTGTGAGAGAACCTGCTCGTTGATACGCAAAGAAGGAGCCTTTGTCATAAAAAAATGGTAAGTTAAAACTAACGTGACAGGAGCACATCAGCGCCAACGTCACAATAGGGCTTAAAAAGGTCGTTGAAGCAAACATGTCCAAACTGGATGTGATGACATATTGCAACGAGTGTCAACGATCACGAATCTGCCATCCATTTTTTTCATTTGCGTATTTTGATGATATTCTCCCCTAACTGATAATCTCATACTGAAAAGTACTTCTGTCCTCCTGTTGGCATTATGGATTGAAATGTTGGATGTTTGTGTGTGCAAGTGGTTGCGATAAACAGTGAATGAATTGGCAGAAAGGATCGGCTGCACAGGACCAAATACCAATTACGAATGCAGCCGTCGCGCCCGGCGAAGAGGGTGGATTATTCAAGCATAGGAAAAAAAGTCCCACCATTATGAGAGAGAGACGCAATATGCGCCTCTTTTATGCAAATAATGACCGAATGTGGCAACTCTTAAAGGCAAATCGTGGATGGCTTAGAAGAAATAATACCTCTAAGCCGGGATTAATAACCCTGTAAAGTGATAACATCACATGTGAGAATGTGAAAGGTGCGCAGGAGTTAGCTAAACAATCACAAGCAACGGACTCGTAAGGAAATAGGAGAAATGCGTACAACTCAACTAAGAACGAAAAGAAGAATACCTCTTTCTTGGCAATATGAGTAAACTACTGACGTAGTGACAATTTTTCTAAGAGCAACAACAAATATGCTGCCCATTTTCAAACAGCAAGGAGCGAATAAGCAAGCAGGAAAGCACCCTCATCATCTTAGTTATTTTTTTAATTTTAATACCTCCTCACGCTAGCTTCAGCTACGAGAGACGCCTTTGCTTCCCGACGGGACAGTTCGGCTATGATCACGACCTTACAGGTACTCTACCCATTAACAAAGCTGCTGCATAGCAATGCACAGCGACATGACCGATTCTGCGTGACACAACTCCAACATGACAAAAGAAAAGTGGTTCTGACTTACAAGTTCTTCTCGGAAGGCGAGCAAGATTTCGAACATTCGCAAGTCTCTGTGCAAACGATCCCGTTGTACTTCCGCTTGAATTCACACTCGCAGTGTCTATCTCCAGACCAGCCGAGTTTTGGCGATTTCGGCGCTGAAAAAGGATCCCGGCTCGTCGACCTGATCCATTACTATGTGTTCCATTGATCTCACTTAAGGAGCTTTGCCAGGAAGGCTCCAAGGGGCTTTGGTGGCTAACCATAGGACTCTCCTGGCTACCGAAAGCTAAATAAAAGCATAAAAAACATTGTCTTCGGGAGAATAAGAGTGTTGCCACTAAATCAAGGCAAATTGTTCTACAGAAATCACAGAAAAGCACAATGGTGCAACCTTGTTGCGCATACAACAGCAGCAAGTGCAACATTATAAATGGACGTGGGCCAATCCGACATAGCAAATAATTCAATACAAAAGACAAGTATTAACAAATTTGCAAGCCAAAAAAGCAAGTCTTTTCATAAAGAAGTTTCCCTATCAATGGGAAAATGTTTAAAGAACTATAAAAACGTTTTTCATTTTGTGCTTACGCTCATAAACTAAAGGTAGTATAAACCTATACTTGGCTCAAATGTATCCTGCAAGATAAAGCCAACCAACCAGGAAGGGCGGAAGCAGCACGGAGGCTATTCGATCCGGGAAGAAGGTGGGAGGGACAGGGCGTGGATGATTTCGAAGTCGGGCCTGCATCATTGCTGCCACCGACACGAGATTCATCGGTGGTGCTTGGAAAGGCTGCGGCGACCTCCACATCTTCAAATTCAGCAGGAAGGGGTTCCTGACATCCGGTTCCACGTTCCTCAATCATGTTAAGTAGAAGGCGATTGGGTGTAAGTTCTAGAGAGCGTCGCTGATTGAAATCGGTGGCGAGGGAGAGGTCAGTGCTACGGGACTGAACGAGGGCCTCGGAAAACCGACCAAAAAACTCACACATTTGAGTCAAATGCGCAACCTCCATTTCCTACACAACAATAAAAATCAATATTACGAATTTCTACCTCAAAGTGGTTGCAGGATGAGCGCATTTTATCGACGAATTGCAGCCGCAAGTTATTATATTTCTCCACATAATATTTGTACTCATCTTGAGCCTTCTTAAGTTTCGTTTCTGCCTTCTCTACATCACGAGTGGAGTGAGTTTCGTTTAGGCGGATCCGCTCATACTCCTTGTAGCGCGTGTGGTACAGCTCCTTAGCTTTTTGAAGGTGGGATGTAGCAACCTTAAGAGAGTTTTACACAATTCCGTACAAGATTTAAACGAACAGACTAAAATGTTAAAAGCTACCTGGAATGAATGCACTACTTCCTGCGTATTGCTCTCACTTTCCTTAAAATTTCTTTGTTTCTTCTGTAGCTCATCTAAGTACTTTTGGACATCTCGCCAGATGTTCAGACGTTCTGACTCCAAATTAGTTCTTAAAGAGATGGATTTCTCGAGGAACAAAGAAAGTGATGACCACCACAGTTTTAGATTTCCGGCAGAAGTATAAGAAGCAGCTTGTTTTGCAAGTTTACATAGGGCTTTTGCATAATTTTCCTCAACAGTATTGACATCACGGAGAAAATCACAAAATTCACTAGTGCTTTTAAAACTTGTTTTCATATTTTGAGATAGACACTCGAAACCCAAGTTCTTTTCACCCCAAAAGGCATGGGAGAACATATCGTCAACGCTCATCTGGGGGTGAAAAAGGAAAGCTTGCGCGCGATTGGCTGCGGCTTCCTATTCACAAAGGGCGCTTCTCGGTAACAATACCCTATGGAGTAAAATATGAAAATTAAAACGATCTAAATTAGTTTAGTCAACATTCCAACTTCAGTCATTTCACGAACCTGCATAAGTGTTTGTGAAATCAGATTAAAATTATTAGCTGTATTGTTTTGTGCATGTGACTCTCTGAGGTTTGGCGGTCACTGTAGGATTTGTCTGGCCCTTGTACATGTGGGCTGGCCTTCGGGCCACGCTCAGATCTATTTGTTCAGTTCTCTTCGGATTACATGTATCCAACTTCGCCGCCTTCTTCCATCCTATGGAAAGTCTCGGGACGCAACAGTAGCAATTGGAAATTTGACCTAAATTGAGTGAAGTTCATCTTAATATTGCTTTACCATTGCAGCACTTAAGGATCAACTAAATATCACAGAGCAAGTACATGCAATAAGACAACAGAACTGGACAGGGGCAGTAATGCTCGATAGTCGTTTTAAGCGCTCTCGAAGCTGCGGTGGCACTAATCAACTGAAGCGTCTGATTCAAGGAGATCATGGTAATTAAATTCTCTACATCGTGGTCACAGACCCTACTTTTCATGCAGCGAATTTTGTACGCCGTGTGATTTGTCAGATGGAATTTAACTAAGCAAGCAGATGCCTGGGAAAGTGGTCAAGAGACTATACAAAATAACTTAGCGCACCCGGTTGTCTCACTAGGTAGAAAAAAGCATTAAGTTGATCTGAATGTACGCATCCTGAAACGATAGGAAGGTTTAAAGCCTCAGCTTGGCCTTAGGGCTGGCAAACACATAAAAGATTAAGACGAATACAAAAGTCTCTGATAGACATCAGTTGGTTACATAAACAAAGTTTGGCATAAGACTTCTTAAATTTTCTAAAAACCTGCTGTCAGATAAGTTTCCTAACTTTAATATATCTATGGCTTTGAAAACGCATTGCTATTTATAAGCATCCAATCATTTTTTTACGCATATAAGTTTGTTGAACTGCTTTGCTTATGCGAAAACCTGATGTCTATCGGTTGCTCCTCTAAACCTTGTAAGTTTAAGTCCTGCGAAAGACCAAGCTCAGGATTACTCCCTTTTCCCTTCCTCGTAGACATGTATCTAGTTCAATTTAATGCCCCTTCTACCTTTGAAAAGCCTCGGTGTGCTACAGGAGCATTACATAACTGAATGTGCAACACCGAATGGGAAGTGTAGAGGTTGAGCTTTTGAAAGTATTGACCCTAAGGCCAGTCTAACCCACAATAGCAACACGCTCACCTAAGTCATCGCTTAATATACAGGCAGTCGAGCAATATATGTATTGGGCTGTAGAACCTGCCTGCTTATCCTCATACGTTTCAACCCCAGACTATAAGAGAGGATTGGTTGCAGTATCTCTACTAGGCATTGTATGCAGAAAGAACGGAGATAAAAGTATAGATATAGCAGAAAGCAGATCACCTGAAGAGGGGAATCTCACGATTCTCAGGTATCGGATTCGCGTCTGAATTGACTTCCCACCTCTTCCTATAAAGGTAAATGTACACCCTCTCCTCCTTTTTTCCCACGTCCATCATCACCCCGACACTGATGCACTTCACCCACCGGCCATCACACTTTAATCATTGCTGCACTATTACACCCACCACTCAACTACACAAGCCATCGTCTCCCATGTGAACGAGCAGAGACAACTAACTCCAACATCTCCGACTCACTTCAGCAACTTCAGATAATTCCACAATTTTGTTCGGCCTAACAACATGTAACACAGACAGGAAGCTCTGATAGTAGCTCCAACCTCGTCACTCGTTTTATTTAACATTGAATGGATGGATGTAGGGGGGTCGGGCGGTCCAGAGCAAGGTCCAAGAAGTGTCAGTCCCTCCCTACACCACGTCGTTCGTTTTCATACGCTCACTCTGTTCTACAAGTTCGATTAAAACGACACACTATAGTGCATTGCACCAACTGTAATACCTTGTTGATGTGACCACCTGATGCGTGACGGTGTACTTCGGTTCTTTTCAATTTCCCATTGTACTCGTGGGCTGACCTTCAGACCAAGCCAAGGCCCGACTGCATATTTTCAGTCCAACAGAGAACCTTCTTCTACCTGGTAGGAAGGCGGTCGTCTGTTGTAACTAGGTTGGGATGATGGGATAATGCCCTAAAGGAGAGTTGCAATGGGGGAGACGGGCTTGAGCATAGTTATGTGAGGGTACGAGCGTGACCTAACTTCGTTGCTGACTTCTGTAAGTTGGTGCGGTTGGAGAACTCTGAAAAGGAGCTTTCTCAAAGGCGTGCTTGTAGATCAGGACAAATGAAGTGAGTAGCGAAGTTAGACACCTTTTATGCTTTTACACTATGGAGAAACCCGATGTTTTTACTTGTAGCATGTGTGATGCTTTATTTATCTGGTGAATCCATTGGTATTTATCCTACTATCATAACACGGTTCGTCCTTTGAGCCATGCCAAAACTCACGCACTTTCCTTAAGATCCTTGCAATGAGTTCGGCTGAGTTCCCTCTTCCAACCAATGGGAAGTTTAACTAAACTGTAAAGTACTTTATTGGCACCTTTAAAAAAGACAAGTTGTGAACCAAAATGAAAAAAAGAAGAGTGGCCCAACTTAAGTGCTCCAAGTGTAGAAGTAGCTCGAAAAGTCACGGTTTTGCCCAAGCTGTTTTATTAATGGTAAAGGAGTGGTCTTTACACTTCGATTGGTTCTGTCTCAAGGTTGAGTTTGCATAGCTCGAAGAGTCATTTTGGTCATTCTCTGCATCCTCATTTGCCGTCTGCTCTGACTTGGATATAGCTGTGTTCTTCGTAGTTGCGTACTGGATTCAGCATTCTTAGGTCACTCTCGTCTTTCTATTAATTAATACCGGATGGACCGGCCTCCACCTTGCAAATTTTACCAAAGCGGTTTTTGTGCCAAGGGCGATGATTGCCCATTTTCTCATCCAACACAGCGTTGTCGTTCCTTTACACAGGATGGTTTTTGTCCCTACGGTGTCCATTGCCACTACTGGCATGATTTCAATAATTTTGCTCTCTCTTCATCTGCTGGCATGCCTGTTCAGAAAGTTTGTCGATTCTTCCTTAACGGTCAGTGCAGCTATGGGGATGCCTGTGCTTATTCCCATCAACTTGATAACTCTGAACAACAAAATCAAATTACTCTCACTGAATATCGACTTCAGCAGCAGTTGGCGCAACTTTCGTTGCCTAATTCTCTCGTACCGGTTACTCCCCAAGTATCAACACAGCAGGTTCCTGCAATGCATTCATCAAGACCTACGGTTGCTAGGCCGTCAGCGCGCCTAGAACAGGCTTATCTCTCTGCTTTGCAACCAGGAGATCTGGAAAAAATGCGGGATCTTGAGGTGGATCGTCTCTTGAAGCGATTTCCACCAAGTCAGTTGAAGCAAACTTCCGGTAATAATGATGAAGTGAGAACTTTTTCTCTCCTTTTTTCCTCTACAGATCCAGACTGGGTGGGTTTATTATGAACTTTCGTAGTTTTATGTGGCACCTTTATCAGTTTCCTTGTTTTTTTTGAAGGTACATCAAGTTAAACGAATACTACTTTTCATTTCCCTTCCTGGCCAGTATCCATCTTCTCCACCAATTTTGAATGTTCCAAGAACATCAGATATCCCGAACGTTGTTACGGAGTAAGCTATCCTTGTCGAATAGCATTTTACTCTCTAGTGTTCACCGTTTTTGAGGGTCCACATTCTCTTATAGGTGTCCCTACATGATATGCTATCCTGTCAGGGCTTATAATCTTATTATTTTAAGCCTTAATGAAGTTGAGGTTGAATGCTAGTAATGGGATTCCCCATGCACTGAAGAAGCTTCTTCTTATGCCTTGGGTCTCAGAATACTCATCTTTGCGGATTGTTGATTCACGACTTAAAACTAGAATCTTTGGATGATTAAAAAAGATACGCTTTGCATCATACGAATCCTAATAGATGTGCTTACAAAGCCTGCTTTCTGATGGCTTACAATGGATTTCACTGCTCTGGTCTGTTAAGGTTTGAGCGCACGAGATGTGTAAGAGGCGCTGAGGTGATGTTTTATTCCACCCTTTTACAGAGCTTCTTCCGTTCATCCTGCCAGATGCTGGTTAAACTGGGTCGGTGCAAAGCTCCGCCTTTTACTTTATCAGTCATTAAGATTTTTCCCTTTATTAGGCAATTTAATCCCTCAAAACCAAAGGTAACTATCAAATACGAGAGTTAATTTTGCCTAGAATAAGTATGCTAGATCACAAACCATTGCTGTTCATTGTGACAAAAAACGGGATAAAACGCTACATTCTATTCAAAATATTAACGCTCAAGACGAGTAAATAATTCAATACAAAATTGTAATCTTGTTAATCTTGCTAGCAAACTAAACGATGCAATAACCGAGTGGGTGACTGAGAGGCACAGTGCCAATGTGTCGACAAACAAGGTGTCCCTCTTTCTACGTCCATTCTTCTTTTGGTTGGACAAGAGCCTAAATAGGCTTCTAACCGACGGTTACGCCCTGGTAGGTGCGGTATTCTTTCCTATTTATCTTTCTCTCTAAAGGTCGAAGGTGAAGAGGCGGAGGTGGACGTCGATTTGAGGATTCCTGAACGATTTGATTCGCCGATAAGTTTGTGTTTGCTTCCAAACCGTACTGCCACAGTGGACAAGACGAATATTGACTCGACAAGGATGGGTAAAAGTGGAACGGCAGAGGAAGCGGTGAGTGAGAAGGCAGGTGGTGAAATTGAAAAAATGAACGCTGAGACGAAAGCAACAGAAGTGGGCAAAAAAGAGGAAGAGGAGGAAAGTGAGGAGGATGAGAATGGAGATGAAGAGGTGGAGGTGGACATATCTACAGCCACTATTCAACAACAAGACTTCTCCTTAGGAGGTCTCGAGATGCGTGGACAGGCGGGCACTTGTCTGTTTGTGCGTCTGCCCGTCTACTGTACCTGCGCACGATGCAAGTACACCTTTGAATGGGTGTTCCGCCTCCCTCCATCACCGCTGTCGCCGCTGCCGTCAACATCATCTTCGACGTCGGCTTCAAAAGATAAAAAAGAAGGGGCAGCAGCGCCGCAGGCGCAAGCGCTCACTTCTGTCCCACCGCATACTTCATCATGCCAGCGATGTCGGCAGCCCCTGGGCCTCATTTTTAACGGCGCGTTGGTCCATGCATTTTCTTGTTGTGTGGGTACTTTCCAGTTGGCCAATTGCCTCCTCGTTGAGGTGCAGATGCGATCCGTTGAGATGGTCATCAACTGCGTTCACTGCTGTAACGGAGATGCGCGGATTACAGTGAGTTGGCGTAGCTTAATCTCTGCGCCCTACGCACTTATGCGTCGTACTGTTGTGTTGTAGTGAGTAACACGCGGTGTTTTTGTTTCTTCTTGGTTTTACTGCCTTAGGGTCTGCAACCGGATCGTATTAATGCAAGACGTTGTCGCGGTTGTCATGCGCCCTGTGGCATATTCTTCAACTATATAAATATCTCAAAGCCTCGACAGCCTCCCTCACTTATCTGTGAGTTTCTAATGGGTTTTCCCTTGCTTCATACATCTAAGAGTATAGTCGGCGGTTTGCGGTGTGTTTTGGTCACTGCTTTCAGTCTTGCATAGGCAGTCTGAGTAGTGGTAGTAGGCTATGGAGTTGGACTGGAAGTTAGTCATACTAGATGGAGGTAAAAGGTACATTCCATGCAACACGATGTCATTGCTATACAACGCACTGGCATGGATGATGATAAGCGCACGCGTGATCCGATCAGGTGCTCTGCGATGTCGTAAAGTAAATTTTGCGCGAGCTTAGCCTCCTTCCTTAAGGCAAGATTTTATCACTAGATTTGCATCGAATTTTGTCCGCTGGTTTTACCTCGTTATTGTAGGCAAGCAATTTGGCCTCTTATCGACCAACAAGGCGGCGAAGGGGGCTGTAAAGCAGAAGCGGATTCATATGCCAGGGGACCACACTTCATCCGCCACCAACTTCATCATTCAGAAGGGCACTCCCCTTCCCGACAACGGAGCGTGCAGACACTATCGTAAGAGTTTCCGTTGGCTCAGGTACATGGGGAATTGGCAATACCGTGAGAGTGAAATGGTGTGGGTGAATCTGTAGTTGGAAGTGGAAGAGGTTAATCATGACAGTTTTCTCGTTCACAACTCTGGCTCCTCTTTGGCGATGAATGGCCAGTTTGTTGGCTTAGTTTGGCATGTGCATCATTTGCAGCATGCATTTATGGAAATAGTTGTGTAGGAAACCTGCGAAAGTAGTGTTTGGATTTGTGAAACCTCAGGGCAAGGGCTGATTTATTGGAATGGTAGACTTGTTAAAACAGAGGGTCACAGTTGATCTCTTGTCGAAAAATCTAGTTTATTTTGATTTTTAAATTTTAGGTTTCCTTGTTGTCAACGCGCCTTCCCTTGTGACAACTGTCACGACGAGGAGGTAGCAGGAGCCCACGAAACACTTCACGCCACACGATTCATTTGTGGTTTCTGTTCAACTGAGCAGCAGGTAACCTCCTCACCAACAGTCGTCTGTTCGGCTTGTCAGAACAACTTGACATCGGTGGGGTCGACTAATCACTGGGAGGGTGGACGCGGCTGCAGAGACCCTGTAAAAATGTCTCGCAAGGATAATCGGAAATACCGCATCAAACGCTAATTCTGTATGTCTTTATGCTATTCTGGTTTTGTAGAAGTGAGATCCAGTGGGAGATTGAAACATGAGTTTTTGGGCTGCGTGTGGGTCGCGTTACGTTTTTCCTTGGTTTACGAGAGGTAAGGCAGGTAGTTGGGCGTTCACTGCCACAGAAGGGGAAGGGTGGGGACGGCGGGTGGTGTGCGACGATAAGGATGGTCCGATGCTGTTGGCTCAGTGTGGGTAAAGGGGTGGGGGGCGCTGCATGGTGTTTTGGGGTCTGAGAGCGTTTCCCAGGTCCTGCATCCCTATTATGCTGACTTTATGAAATTAAAATTTTTTCGAAAAAATGCGCAAAAAATGTTACTTATTTTAAATAGCAAAATCTAAAGATTTCTTAACTTAACGCAAATTAAAGGACTGTCATGTATAATTACTTTTTCTTTTGTTTGAGTCATTACATCGAGAGATCAACTTAGGAGGGCCTCTTGATTTTCTTTTCGGGTGATGGTAGGTGGTTGTTCTGTTCCTAAGCGACTTTTAATCTAAAACTGGTATCTAAGTCGGGATAATTAGATGTAAAAATTTTCGCCTTAAATGCATACCCAGTTTGACTAATTTTGTTGTCATTTTGTTAACTTAACCTTGACCACCCACTTTATATAACGGGGTTGTTTCGTGTTTGTTTCTCTACTTTTGGAAATATTTAAGGACATCTTCTTGGCCGTTCGTCGCAAGAAGACTACCATTTTTCTTAGCTTGAAAGAAAATGCAGAGGTCTTGGAGGTTAAGCAGATGATCGAAGGGATTTTAAAGGTGCCTCCAGAAGACCAGGTGCTATTGTACGGTTCCACCGCTATGTACGATCACAAGTCTTTGTCATATTATGGTCTCACTGATCTGACTGCCCGCGCTCACAATCCTGCTATTCTTGGACTTTGTCTTCGTGATTCTGGTAAGAATGTGCGGGCCCTGCTTGTTCATTTTGTACTTGAGCCCTTGTTCGGGGTTTTGAGTTTATATCCTTGTGTGGGACATAATTTGGGCTTTAAACTTTGGTTTTTTTGCTTAAATTTGACAGAAAGCGGTCAGTTTGAACCTCTTGATATAACGCCATACTCGAAGCCTCCGGAGTTGCCAGAAGTAATGCGTTGTCAAGAGAACCAACCCCCAAGAAATACGTCAGCAGCTGGGGTCTCGGCTGCTAACACTACTACTGCAGCGAATTCTGCGAATCAAGCCGAGACGACTGCAGCTTCTAGACCTTAGTGTGTAGATTTCTCATTTTCGGTCCTTCGCCTTCCTCTCTTATTCTTCAACATGTGGGTCTCTTTGCTCTTCATTGTTTCCTCTCAAGCCATGATTTTCTTAGTCTTCTTCCGTACATGTACCTTAATTTCACTGTGTGCGAGAGAGAGGTGTATTTGCTCCTCATCGCGTTGTATAATCATAACTTCTTTCTTCCCTTTATCTCTTTTTTGCCATTCGAAAATAGAACTCACACACGCTCTCTGGCATCCTACTTTTGTGAACGAATTTGGTCTTTCGCCAGAGGTGTTGACTTACATTCATTTGGGTATGTAAATTTTGCCGTTTATTGGGTATAGGCAGATATTGCGCCTGTTAGTCCTCATAGTGGCAGTTGCATAAGTCTACTTGGATTTAAAAGTAACAAATCCTTTGGTGGCATACTTTTACGTTTTAAGTCAACAGATGCGATGCTTTGAGGTGCTCAAAGATGTGTATGACGCTCTTCGTAGACATTTACCAAAAAGAAAAATTAAACCACACAAGTAAAACACTGAGAAGGATGGTGAGGTGGAAATTCAGTCTGGATTGGGTTGTGGTTTGAATTTTCTGATAAATCGGAACATATTCAATAGGAAAGGACCTAAACATAATCGCTGAGATGCTTGATGCTTCACTCCTGAATCAAACAAACTTGGCGGGGAAGGATGTGATCTTACTGATCGATACGTAAGTTCACATAAAATTTCGTATTCAGCATTGTCTTCCCTCACAATGCGAAGGAAGGTGAAAAATGCACTATTTTCTTCTTCCAATTCATTCGCACGTTGGTGAGGGCAAAACAGACGACCCTGGCGGCCTCAGTGCCAACAAATTCAGTGTGCTCTACCACCTTGTACAAACACTTCCAAATTTCCAAGGATTCTTCTACATCAACAGATTGGAGAGGACTGCCTGAATTTATCAGCGTTGCATTGCCTCGTCCGACATTTGTTCCATCGTCAGCATCACCTCTACCGGAGGACTGGCAACGACAGTAAAGCAGCCAATTTCAGTGGCTGTAACACCTCATAATGGAGGAAAAGGCTTGTGAATGAAGGCATGAAGCATAAATACCGGCATTTTCAAAAAAAAAAACTCAGCGATGGTGTCGATCGTAGTAATTTGTGCTGCGGCGACTAGATGATCGCAACTTGACAACATGTGAAACACGTTTGATTGACTTGCCGCTTTCACAGTCACTTATGACAGGTGGAACTTTAAGACACCGACGTGTCCTTGACGGTGTCTCCACCAAAGTTCTACGTTCCTTCCTTCGTTCTTTTAATGCCTTCAACTACCGAATTTGAGGTCTCAGAACATTTCTTTGGTGGCTACAAAAAGTCGGTCCGACTTTGTTACTCCTAAAGTTCAAGTTTTCACTGTTGGGAACAAATTTCCACGGTGTGAATGGAGTGTCCACTTGAGGTGGGCCAATCTCCAACGGCTCTACAACAGAGGAGCGCTTGGAAGTCGCTCCCAATCCCCATGCTCCCCTGGCAGGCTATTAATAACTCAATTTACACCTCGGCAACCACTTGGAAAACCATCGCAATTGGATGAGAACTCGTGATGCTAAGGGGAGGTTGCGTTTACTCCCATTTTTCGTGTTACACATTTCCTGATTCCATTTGATGGTCAGCAGAGGTGCCACTTGAAGTTGATGAATAGCGCGAGTACGCGTTTCTTTGCATCCTCAAACACGAAGGCTGCGGCAATGCAATTGCGGTCACTGTGACCAGATTCCAACCTCGCCCTCTCTCTTCCCCCTCAACATGCACATTCAGTCCACTCGAATGCCTTCCACCACCTCACTTCTCCCAATAGCGAATGACAGAAGCACAGAAGTCATTCAACCGCTCTTCCCTTGCTTCTGCCATTCCTCGCAGGCCCTCTGTAAGGCACCAACGTTAGAACAAAGGCTTTATTCTCAAATGTTAAGAGAGCCAGGAGACGTGGGGGAAAAATGGAGCAAAAGAGATGCGGGAAAAAACAAAACAAAACAAAACAAACCAAAACGCCTTATCTTCATTCACATTGCCGTGTAAATATGCGTGTATATACAGCAGTATTTGGGGTATAAAAAAGAAGGCAGAAAGAAAGGAGTGGTGGAACCATTCAATGAATGCACGTGACTGAGGTACTGTTGATTGAACGCAGGACTCACAAAATAGCGACGGTAGTATCACAAGACTGCTGGGTGGTGTGGAAGGTGGGAAGGCGAGACTGTGAGAGTCCAGAGCAGACAATTAATCAGGACTGCAAGGTGAAAACCAACGGTCTATACATGAAGACGGTGCTTCAGATGTAGGGCTTCTGCGAGGATGGATGCGACTTCAGAGGAGTGGAGTGTGTCAGAGGTGTGCCAGACGTTGTCCGATGCTCCAAACTGCATCCATACGAGGAGGAGGAGGAAGAAGAAGAGGAGGAGGAGGAGGACGAGGTGACGGTGTCTCGCAGGAGATCAGGCGACGCGGGCGGCCTTTGAATTAGGCGATACTGATGACGTGTGCCTGGAATTCTTTCCAACTTGCCTGGTTTGTAGTAGAGCCTTAATGAGTGTGGAACAAAGAAGGTTGACTGTAAAGTGAGTCAAAGTTAAGTTAAGGGATAAAATTGGTGCACATCCACTCAGTCGAATGGACACCACGCAGTGGATTTGGGTGCTAAAACAGGCAACCGACTGCCTCCAAATGACACCATTTTAATGCATCGTAAGGCCTACATAAAAGTGACAGAAGTGTCAAACTGTCAGGCATGTCCAACCAGTCCTCTGTGTATATGTCGTAGGACGTCAAATGTGATCCCGTTTGAAGAGCAACTTCTCGTGACACTGTCAGTTCATGCTGACGTGTGTGTGAGAGAGAGGAAAAAGAAAGTTTCCATTCCATTGTGGTATCACATGTCAGACATCTCCAAACCACCGATCAAGTGATCTCAAAAGACACCAACCACTCGTCTTGAATCGCCCTCAACCAACCCAAGTGGAGACAGTGAATGGTTTTTTTTTTTTTATTTTTTAAAAGGCGTTTCATGGGAGGCCTTACCTCAAGCTGCGAGACAAAGAGTCGAAGCTCATTTTGATGTTGTTCTTATGCTCGCCCCAGAGTCGAGTGAGTTGGTCGGGATTAACAATTTGGAAGACTTGTTTTGTCTTGTCAACCCACTCCACGCATGTTTGTCGTGTTGTCAGGAGTTCGAGGATGAAGTTTAGTAAATTTCGTTTACGACCACCATTGCGTTGGACACAAGGCTTGCGAGATCTATCAACCGGAGAGTTGGCAAGCATGGTACTCCGTGATCTTCGATGAATTGACCCACAATTTGGGCTATTCTGACTGTGACGAAGAGAAAAGGATTGACAATTTCGAAGTGCTCCACGTGTCAACGGTAGGGATGGTGGTTGACGTTCTGTAGGCAGTGGAAAAGCAGTGTCTTCTACGTCACCGTCAATACCAAAGGCGTCAACATCTTCAAAGGCTTCATCTAAATTTCCACCCTCTGAACAGGAGAGGAAATCACTGGCCTCCTGTTGGGCAACACGTTTGTTAAGATTTCGATGCGAAACAGGTGAAGTGGAGAATCTATTTGCCTCGAAGACGAAGGAGGAGGACGAGGAGGAGGGAGGAGGAGGAGAGGTGGAGATGGCGAGAGGTGTGGTGATGGCAATGGTGGAACAGGGCTCCGTCAATGGAAGTTTAGTAAGGAGGACATTTTGACTGCTTTTGTCCACTTGACGATAATCCTGAGATGCACATCGAATATCGTTCCAGTAGTATCGGTCTACATGTTTAAAACATCCTTCATTGATGGAATAAAAGTGGATCCATTGAATTCAAATAAGTTGCCTAAATTACTTCTCCACTTGAGGAGTGTATAACTTCGTGTCAAAAACGAGGAGAAACAAAAAAAAAGAATGCAGCATTTAAATTGCCAAAAAAGTGGGTGTAAAGAAGAGGTGGAGCAATGCAAAACGCACCTTGACGAGAATTTGGTGTGAAGGCGTCATTTGAGGCATCAGGAAAGACAGTTAAACACTCTCTGGCGAACTTTGGTGCATACTTTAGCATTGGTTGACACCATTTGTGCTGCAACACTGGTCTTGACTCTACTTGACTGCCAGAATGTAATGGATGGAACTCCTCCTCCTCCTCCTCCTCTTCCTCCCCCTCGCCCTCCTCGTCCTCCTCCACATCCTCCTCCTCTTCCTCCTCCACCTCTTCCTCTTCTGCGTCCGCCTCTGCCTCCCCTTTTGCCAGTGGCGCCTCGGTATTGAGACGAAAGATGTCCTCCATTGTTGAGCGTCGCCAAAGTGGAGGTGTTAGTGGTGAGGTGTTTTCACACATTCCATCTGATTGAATTTCGTTGGGAGTGAGTTGTAGGGAACCAAATCCACTATCAAAGCCATTTTCCTCTTCAAAATCTGCCATTCGATGGGCGACACGATCTGGAGGTTTGATGAAAGTGTACTTACTCAAAACAGCATCCTCGGAGGTATTCAAGTCTCCAAAAGCCGTATGCAGATCCTCGGTGTCCTGAAATTCATTGGATGGTAGACGAGAGGGTCGAGAATCGGGAAAACTGGTCGAAACGGCTGCAATAGGCCCTGCAATCGGTGCAGTTGAGGACTGAAGCAGGCAGACATTCCAAGTTTGGGGTTGAGATTGAAAGTCAAACAATCCAATGCCTTCATCCTCCTCCTGCTTTGCTGTATCTATGCGATATTCACCTGTGCGAGAGTACGAGAATGAGAGTATTAAAAAAATACTTCAAATAGTATCCTACTTATGATGGAAACCTTTTGCTTGGCAGGATAGTTGTTACTAGTTGCTGGACCTCGACAAATTTAGCAGAAATGAGGAGTTCAGAGAACTCTGATGACTACCTCCACAAAACTTTCCAGACAAACATTCAATCGCGTTTATGTACAACATACAAGCAGACATTTATGATTGAAACTTACAATCACGGAGGCTACGTTAAATCAGTCATTTACATAATTAACAGCCACTTAGAAGAGAAAATGACAAACCAACTTTCGCTGCATTAAATACCACCTGTAGAAGGCAATACTGCTTATTTTCTGCCAGATTTCTCAATCAACTCTGCTGCTCAGTGGGGTAGATTGGAAAAAAGAAACAAATTCTGCATTTCAATTTGCTTTCAATGCATAAAAGGGGTACGCAAAGTGCACGTCTTTAATGTATTAACAGTAGTGTCTGCGATCAAGAATGCGGATCGCAGCTATAAGAGTGGCTATTTAAGGGCTCTGAAGGTCAAGAACGCGGTATTAACAAGTTTGGTTATTCGAAAAAATCCTTCTATGATCTAGGAATCATTCCGTCTGGAAAATTAAACTTACTACTGAAGTCATATTAGTACATATTTCTTTAGAAGAAATCCCTCAATGCTACAACAGAGCCCCTTACGCAATATCATGTCACAGTTTTTGCTTTTAGATAGGGTGGCTTTTTCTACGAAGCACATTGATCTCGATCCGTCCAAAAGGTGGCATAAGGTGTGCCTTTGTGCGCTCAGCCAAAGGTGGCACAAAAGCACTGAATTCGTCCAATCCAAGCACTGGAGCAAGACAAAAATAAGTGCTGAAGAATAGAGGCTACGATTTGTTTTATCTAATCCCTGATAAGTATGTTCAGATGAAGTGACACAGATTAACTGTTTATTGACGCATCGGTCAACTACAGTCCTGACTGATTCAAATTGACACAGTGGATAAAATACATCAACCTGTTTAAAGCGTAACAATGCACCAAGAAATGCATATTGTTGAGTCATTATAGTAGCTAACCACATGGCATGTGCCCACAAAAATGGTGAGGAAGGGATGACGTGTGCGTGCAAACCTGTAGCTATGTAAATGCATGCATGTTTGTTTGTGTATGCCTATTTGTTACGCAAGTCTATCAGCCTGCTAAATTTACTCACCGGAGAGAGAGAGAGAGAGAGGGAAAGGGCAAGTAAAATGTTTGGAGTGGAAACTATCCATCCATTTAATGTTGCCCTAGTAACAACTGTAACAAACATTAAGGACAAAAAGGTGCTTCCAATGCCCTCAGTAAGGAAAAGATGATCCATTCCAGCATCTCGATGGTGTAGTTGATCTTGATCCGCAAAAGTTTTGAAGTCTTTAAGGAAGCACGAACATTTGAGGTGATCCATCAAAACCCATCGCATAGAAGTTTACTGTTTCTATGCGTAAAACACTTTCAGTCACGTGAAAGAGAGGATTAAAATGCCAAGTGGATTGGCAAATCACAATTTGGTCTTTAAGATTTTTTGTTAAATCCTCCAAACCATGCGATTCCTTATTACTACTGAATAATAATAAGCGGCTGAAAACGGCAAGGGTCAGCGCTTACATCTGAAAGTGTTTTTATTCAGTGAAGTGTGAAATGCTGTGCATAGCATATGCTATGCGTGCAGTTTGAAGGCCTTAGCTAAGAAGAAAAAAAAATTGTGCCTCACATTTCATTTTTCGCAAAATTGAGAGCAAAACTGTAAAAGCTGCATTGACCTGAGGTGTGGAAAGGCACTGGTCAAGTATACAAAAAGCGAACTTAACCACCCACATCTTCCCATCATCGAAACTTTCACCACTCTTAGTAGTGAGGTGTTTATTTTTCAATGAAATTACACGCTTTGAACGTCAACAAGAAACTCCACACACTGGTAACTAAGTGGAGACTCGCGGTGACCTTGAGAGAGAGAGAGAGAGAGGGAGGGAGGCTAAGACGAACAGCACAGCGCGGCACTTACAATGTCTTCGATTGTGTAATCAACGTCAAAGTGCTATGCGCGTCTCTGTTCTCTGCAAGTCTATAAAACCGGATTAAGCCAGCAGGGATGCAACTTCACTTCCCTGCGTTTTAAGGTGAATGGTAAAGCATGCCACAATCCCTCATAAATGCCATTCAAAGTGTTGATGAAGTTAAGGCAACTTGTGCTGTTGGTCGGTTCAGTGCCTTTTCTAAAGACGTGTGTCGACAGGTAGAGAGGATAATCGACACGATGGAAACACCCGATTCACGAGACAGTCTCAGTCCCGGCCCTTTTGACTGTGAAATGAAAAGGAGCATTGAGTCATGCAATCCAAATCAATGGAGAGAACCTAACAAAACTCGGCAGTCATTCACCCAGCAAGTGTCACAAATAACCTTGGCTACGCATCCAGTCAAGGCGTAACACAATTGTGTGCATTAACTCTCAAAAATCAAATAAAAAAGGGCCGATGGACAAAGACAAGCACAACTCCAAAGTCCACCTTCTGTGCCCAGGATTTTTAGTCGGAAGCAGTTGAAGTCTTCTGGTGTTGAGGAACTGCTGCTTGAAAATACTCATCGCTACAAGGTCACACACGACACCAAAGTTTCAGCATTGCTCTGACCTCACAAAACGCATTGGGTAGGACAAAACTGAGGGGCTCATTAACAGCCAGAAAACCTATTAGAATCCGTTTTTTTGGTGGAATGATACGGTGACGGAGGTTACTAGTGTGGTTGTATATGTGTGTGCATGTTTCTCACTACGGCTTAAGGGTGGATGAACGCGTATGCGCGTGCAGATGTGATCGTACCCGCCCTTTTTAAACTACTGAGGCACACGATAATTTTTGTGTGTATACCCAGGGACCCATGTCAATTGTGCCTACCAGTGTGTGCGTGTGTGAAATGCGTGAATGAGTACTTAAATCGATTGTAAAATGCCTTCTAATTGTCATCATTAGCAACTGGCAGAGTTGATAACCTAAAGTGGGTGTTTTTAGTTCGGATCGAATAACACCAACTAGGCCTGATAGGACTCGATTGCTTGAAACTGTAGGTCACACATGTGCGTAGGAGTAGACTCAACTAAAACCAAATTATTCGTTTAGATAGCCCCTAAAAATAGCCAAAAAGAAAACTTCCAACAGTAGTATGATGGCAAAGAGAAATTTCGATAATATCTTAGGCAGAGAAATATTGCATTTCCAAAATACTATCAAAAATCAGAAGGCCGTCACATATTTGTTCAAAAATATTGGACAATCACAGCACCAACATTGTTCGTGAAGAGCTGCATCGGTGTAAGAAATGGCTAGATTTTGATTCAGAGCAATAACATAAATAAAAAATCACCATGAAAACAGTGCTCATACAACAACCAGATTTAAGTCAAATATGCTAATTTCAAATACGAGAATTTCTAAATTATACATTATCTCATATAGCAGTATTAAAATAAGCAGAAACAAAATCCAGACACACGACACAAGACGTAAGTTTCCATTATCAAAAAAAAGCATAGCGGGAATTAAAAAGTTGGATTTTTGTCAATATTACTATTGTACCAAATCAAAAAATGATGGCATTAAGGGAAACCATATCATAATAAATATGCAGGTACTCTGCGAGCTATGTTCCGAATATTGACGTAATTTACAATAGTAAAAATTATAAATTTTAAACTTGACAATATGATATATACTTTACAATTGTCACCTTACAAACACTAAAAACTAAAAGGGAGCTCGCCTTCTTCTCCAGATATCGCATCCGTTAGCACTGGATCAATGTTTATTTCGGGACCGAAGTGTATCAATGAGCCATATGATGACAAAGGATGCCTAAAGTTCATCATTTGGACTAGTCAAGAGGCGTATGATGCCTTCTCATTAAGCGATATTACCAAAGCTGGTTTAAATAGTTTTAAAAGCAGCGGAGTTTATAGAACCTGAAAAGCTGATTCATTAAAACCCTAGAATTTTTAACCTTAAAAATATGTTTTTTTGCAAAATAATTGTTCTTAATACTTTTTTGGATAAAATTTGGGTTTAGCCTAAATTCAAATGGGGTTTTTTAAGCTATAGATGTATTTTGGATAAAATGCCACTGTGGCCACTTTCAAAGTAAAAATAATGTGTACATCAAGCCGATTATTTGATAAGAAAAATTAGTGTAATCACACAGTTTGCAAGGAATTCTCCGATTTCCTTCATTTTCTTGCAGAACAAGTGAGGGCTTATGATTTCGTGCTCATTAATTTTGGCTCGTCTCATCATTGGTTAATTTTTACGACTTGTTTGATCTGCCTAATTGTGTTCTCCTCGTAGTACGTAGGCTTCGTTGTGTTGCTCTTGTGCCATCTTCATGTTGAAGTTATGTTGAACTCATAGTTTCATAAAGCTATTTTACAGATTGTAGTACTATTTCTGGTAGCGGTTCATATCTCTTGCACTGACCCTGTGGAGTATTTTTGCACCTTTCGAAAATTTCCGTCAGCGTAACGGAATCCTCTGATGCTTCCTTGTGAACACGAGTAGGCATTGTACTTTGGAAAAATTTATTTGAATAGCATGAGGGAATTGTGTCGGCCTTATTGGTACGATGTAAGTAGCTTCCCACTTATTGTAGATATTTTTAGCTGCCTTAGAAACAGCAAATGGAATCTATCTATTGCTCAAATCCTAGGTGCGCAACAGATTTGACTAGATGCTTTGCCTTTGCGTCGTCGGTGTCTTTTTTCCTACTCATTTGTAGATTAGTGCTTAATTACTCGAACGTCTGATTTTCGCATAGTACTGTCTATTGGTCTATGTGCTTGATTTCAGCATGAATGTTCCGCTTTTACGTTCCATTTGCCGCCTCCTATCTACCTCACCAAGCGCCATACCACCTTCCTCATCAACATGGTTTAGGAACGATGTACCACGTACCGACATTTTAACTCCTACTGCCCAAGTCTCTAATCCTTCCGCCTGTTTGGGCCGGTTTTACTCTATTAATGATCATGCGGCTTCTCACATTATCTCTCCCTTTCTCACTGATGAACATCTCCGTGAACTAAGCCTTTTCGACGACTTTTCCCTCCTTGTCCGCAAGCCAGCACTCGATGTTATGGGCCTGCTGGAATCGACGAAGCTAACATCTTCAGTTCCCCGCTTTGTTCTTTACGGGCAGCCCGGCTGCGGAATATCCGTTCAGCTGGCTCATATAGCCCATTACGCCGCAGAGAAAGGGGGCATTATATTAGCCTTTTGCAATGCAGAAAGTTGGCTCGAACGATGTAGTGATTTCATTCCAAGTGGTTCGTACCATCAGGAACAATATAAAAACCTTATTGAGGGTGAGGCGCTAGATTTTCCAAGTCGTTCATCCACGTGGTTAAGGAGCTTCCTCAAATTAAATTCACGGACCCTTGAGAAGGTATTTGTATTTGCCTTTTTCCCAGTTCGTGGCTTCATTTGGTAGGCGCTATGCTAATTAATTTTATCTTACGTAATTCAGCTAAATCCGACGATTACTCGATCTGTAGAGTGGACAGTGAACGATTCTACCCCAGCTGGGACGCCTTGGATAGAATTGATTGATTTTGCATTAACGAGACCGAAATATTCTACGGATTGTATCGGAATTCTTCTTCGTGAGGTTGGTTATTTCTGCTTATTAAAATTACTTTCAGATGCGAGCTCTGTCAGCCGGCGAAAGAGCAACAAAGTGCTATCTTATCATTGATGGGGTGAACTTCTTATGGTGTCGGGGAACAAGAATGCAAGATAAGGTACTTGGCAAAAAAGTTGCTGTCGACCGACTGGCAATTGTGCATCACCTTCGAAGAGCGCTTAAAGGTGATTGGCCGCATGGTGGAATCATAACTTCCGTTAATGAAAGAGCTTCGTGGCCGTCGGATCGTGAGAGCTTTACACCAGGGTAATTTTAACATGGTTTTTACCCATCAAAGTTTCTAACTCGAGGGTTTTACTGTTGATGCGCATTTCAATTTTGAAGGTATCTTTTGACAAAACGTGGTTTTGAGACCATGGATCCATTTATTCCAGTGCGTGTTTTTAATTACACTGCCGAGGAGATGGACGCCATTATGCATTTCTATGCTCAACACAAATGGTTCGCCAATCCGGCAGCACTGGAGAAAGACGGAAGAGCGGAAATTACCTTCTTGTCGGATGCGAATCCGCGGGAATTGGCTAGAGTGGCAGCAGAGTGGTAGATTGTAGTACTTATTGTCACCCTGCAAATGTGTATAAATTCTTTTCTTCCATCCATGAACTCTCAAGCATTTTTGCTCGATTAGTGAGTTTAAATTTGGTTCATGGGACGTTTAGTCAACGATAAGTTGGGAGTTTAAAGGCGTAAACTGGTGTGGTTTGTCTTAGTGGAGCATACCAATTGAATTTTCTGTTTGTCTGCTTTCGGCTAAGTGCCTGAAAATGTAACACCTCAAACACTGCGTGAAATGGATGTAGGCAATTGAAAGGCGCTTCGGCGTCTATTCAACTGCGATGGTTTGAATTCCAACTGTGCTAATGGTTTTCCACATCTCTCGTACCTGAACGATGAATTCGTTGAGGGTAAGGTGGTCATCTCAATCTCCGTAAGTTGTTATTCCGGTATGTCGGAGAAAACTTGCAGCAAAAACTCCTCAGATTGTTTTCGACAAGCACCGCTTCCAGCGTCAATGGCCTTGCCGCTGAAATCGTGGCCAAGGTGGTTGGTGGTAGACGTCACTTAAACATTCAGTGGAGTTCACCCATAATGCGGCCGCACAGTCTTCCCAACTGAGGTTTGACGGTCAGCAGCGCAAATCAACGGGAAAGGTGTATAATTACGACAGTGATGTCGATTTTACAGCTCCATTGGAGTTGACGTTTCTTCCTGTTCGGCGTCCCCATTGTGAACGCCGAGAGGGTCATTTGTCGCGAGTGCACATCAGTAGTCGGTGCAACATTGATGTGAAGCGGTCAAACAGGAAGGGAAGGCATTATTCAGTTTCATAAAGCAGAGGAGCTTCGTAAAACCTTCCAAGCGGTTCAGGGTTAGGATAAGAATGATGGTTTTGCGCAGCAAAGGGGGTGGAGTAGTGTTTGAAGACAGACGCCATTCTCATCCTCTGCCGTCATGCGACATTAGTGACCGTTCCGTCCGTGGCTGTGACGCTTGGTTCAACAGGCCGTGTAGGTAGAGGTCACCCTGGCAACCGCAGAGCTTTTACTAAATAGCTGCGCTTCATACTGACCCCAAAGTGCTCATCTCTGTCCTCCTGGCAGATTGTATATGTTCAGCCTGCGCCAGTGGCAGTGGGAAAGGAAGTCGAACATTCTAAAAGTGGAAGGAGAACAAATAGGCTACGAGTAAAAAAATAACGTTTTCATTTACTTTATTTGCCTGACCTACAGACACGCTACCAACAACTGAAGTCAATTCTCCTGCGTGCCTTTGAGAAAACTCCTTTTGGGAGTTCTCCAACCGCTTTAACTTACGAACGTCAGCAACGAAGTTAGGCCACACCCGTACCCTCACATGACTATGCTCAAGCCCGTCTCCCCATTACAACTCTCCTTTAGTGCGTTATTCAAACATCCCACTCTAGTCACAACTGGCGACCATCGATGAAGCATCTCAAGACCTCCCACGAGGTAGAAGAAGGTACTGTGTTGGAATAAATATATGTATTCGGATCATGGCTTGGTCCGAAGACTATGTAGCTCCCCTCACACTTTCTATAGAGTGGAAGAAGGCAGTGAGTGAGGCTGGATAAATGTATTCCGAAGGCAACAGAACAGATGGACCTGAGCATGGCTCGAAGTAAAATCGAAAAGAACCGAAGTACACCGCCACGCATCAGGTGGTCACATCAACAAGGTATTACAGTTGGTGCAATGCGTCATGGTGTGTCGTTTTAATCGAACTTGTAGAACAGAGTGAGCGTATGAAAGCGAACGACGTGGTGTAGGGAGGGACTGACACTTCTTGGACCTTGCTCTGGACCGCCCGAACCCCTTACATCCATCCATCCGATATTAAATAAAAACGAGTGACGAGGTTGGAGCTACTATCAGAGCTTCCTGTCTGTGTTACATGTTGTTAGGCCGAACGAAATTGTGGAATTAACTGAAGTTGCTGAAGTGAGTCGGAGATGTTGGCGTTAGTTGTCTCTGCTCGTTCACATGGGAGACGATGGCTCGTGTAGTTGAGTGGTGGGTGTAATAGTGCAGCAATGATTAGAGTGTGATGGCCGGTGGGTGAAGTGCATCAGTGTTGGGGTGGTGATGGACGTACAAAGATGGAAGGCAATGGAGCGATGGGACGGAAGGCGAAAACTTAGAGTTGTGCAATAAACATATTGCCCGACTGCCTGTATGTAGGGAGGGGGAGTGAATGCGATTATTTTTATGAGCATGTTGCAATCGCGGGATATGTAGGTCTTCGAATTAATAATGTCTAAAGCCCGATCTCCATCCTCCCTATCGGGTGATTTGCATTCGATTACGTAATAGTTTTTGGATACTTAGTAGAAAGTCTGGACGCGCCACAAATACACTCGCACATTTCTCAAATCAATTTTAGCAGTAAGGACTGACGAATACTAAGGTGGGTTTTATTAGATTGTAGCTATTGTGTTCGTTGCGTCCTAAGACTACCTCCTGGTGGAAGAATGCACTGTTTTTGACATAATACATGTATTTCCAGTGAAACATCGCAATAGATTCTTGGTATGACCAGAATGTCAATCTACACATACAAGATCAAAACAAATATCCGAGCCGAATAATAGGTGTTTGCATGAACAACGTATTACAGTATTAGACTTGGAGTTCCACAGAAAAGACGCCAATTTCCGTTTCTGCAAATATTTACATTGCATTTTATGTATAAAACTTAAATTTTATGCATTATAGAGCATGCTTACATTTTGAACCCAAATGCTATTAAAGTGCTAACTAACAATATAAAATGCAAAAATCAGACTAATAACTTTTTGAAAATTATTTGCTTCATTTTTCTGCCCTATCATTGTGAAGGTCATTTGGACCTAGGTTGGTTTTTTGGTAATGCTTGTGTTTCGTTCATTGAGATTTACTGGTGTCTTTCCTCGGAAGACTAATGTCTGCAGGCTTATATTTACTCATGATTCATATGCTGATGCGGACTCTCAGGCCATTAAGTTTTCTCCTGATCGACTTGTGCGAGTTTATGGATTTGGTGTGGCCGCCACAGGTGCGCTTGGAATGAAACAATATATTGAGCCAAAAAGTGAGTCGATTACATGTATCGCCTATACGTTCACATTTAGGGTCGTTACCGTTTCGTCCCAGGTTTACTGTATCTGTTCCGACCCATCTGAATTATATGTCAGTTAACTCAATTGATGTCAAGTCAATCGCTTGTGGCTACGGCTTCACAACCTTTATAGGTTCGCATCCTACAATGAAAAGGGCTGTTTATGGCTGTGGAATCAATTCTGATGGGCAACTAGGTGTTCAGGTAGTTTGATGGTTACTATCTGGACACCATTAGACTAATCAAATACATGGAAGCATATCAGAATCGTTCGATGTTAGCGTTGTTCCCGAACCCCATGTTATTCCGATTCCACAAGAAGAAGGCTTTCTTCCTCTCCTAGCTTCCTGTGGCCGTGCTCATTCAATCATCGTCCTCCAGAATACGAATTCAACGCATGCGGTGTTATTTAGTTTAGGAAATAATACTTATGGGCAGTGCGCACGTGAAGTTATCGAGGGAGAAATTTTCACGGCAGCGAACGCTCAAGTTACTAAGGTATTATTACCACCAGAATTGGAAATCATTAAGCAGGTAAGTCGAGTGGGTTGGGTTTGATGTATTTTTAAAAATGATGTAGGTAGAATGCGGACAGGATCACACTCTTGTGTTGTCCAGTAAGGGTGAGGTGTTTTCGGCTGGCTTATCAACCGATGGACAAACTGGACTGGGTTCAACTGACTCAGTTGATAAATTGACAAAGATCGGTGGTGCTTTGGATGGCCTGCATGTTAAGTAAGTTTTATCTTTCTTCCCTTTATCAGCAACTATGTTGATTGATGTCGTGGGTTTTTGCTCCCTCATTTAAGTGTATCAACTTATAATATTGTTAAGTCTTGAATTTACATTAATTGAAACTTGTGGACTTAGTGAAACTGGGCATACTTTGATAACTATATCATCGCTTCATTCATGCTTTCTCTCACCACCCTTTTAAATTTTTTTGTCCGCTCCTTTCTCTTAATTTTCTTTACATCATTCATAATGGAAGTATTCTTCGTCCACTCATACAGTTCCTCCATCATCACAGTCTTCGTGAGCCCATAGTGACAAGATCTTATTGAGAAAAGGTCTAGGATAAGTGCGTGGATGACGCATATTAAACAGATTGGCAGCTGAACTGTTGAGTACTTATGCAGTATGTCGGTAATTTCGATTGAGTAATTTCGTGCTAACTGATAACTGCAATCCTAAAAAAATTTGAGACGCTTGGAATGTCCAAACTTTCGATGATATGGATTGACTAGGAGTAATCGTAGTGGAAAAAGAATTCGCAGGAAATTGTGATGCTGGTGTCTTTGTGTAAGGTGGCCGCACCTTTCTCTTTTAGGCAAGTATCATCTCGCGGCGACACAGCTCTTGCATTGACCGAATGTGGACGCGTTTTTGCCTGGGGCAATAACGAGTACAGTCAAATTTGGCCTGTAACTGATGAGGTTCAAGTCCTTGAACCCATTGAACTTCCCATTCACCAGTGCCTCGCCAACTTAGGGCTGGGCAGGGTGACCCAAGTTGCCGCTGCCGGATCTATGTGCGGTCTTTTGGATGAGCATGGGCATGTGAGTCAGTTGTTTCTACGTTGAAAGGAGTTTACCTTCTCTGTCTACTCCAGGTTCTTGTCTGGGGTTTCGGTTGCCTTGGACTGGGTCCCAAGACTCTTCATTGCTCAAAACCAACTCTCATTCCACCAGCTCTCTTTTCTCCTGCTCTACCGTTCTCAGACAATCGAATAACTGACTTAGTGCCTGGATTGCATCACTTCATAGCACGGTCAAGTTGCGGTCTTCTCTGGTCTTGGGGTGCTCCTAGGGGAGGTCTGGCGTGTCTTGGATTGGGTCGAAACTCTACCAGCTCTACACAAGATGCAACAAAGAATGTTCAGACTTATCCTGTGCCCTTATCACTTCCTGGAGAAGCATTAAAAGTTGCCTGTGGAGTTGATCACACTATGGTTATCGCCAAATCTTTTGCCTGAAATAACACTAGCAGATCTTTTGCTGCATTTCTACCTGGATGCTTTTTTATTGTGTTTTGGAAACGCACACTCATCTTTTCGTCCATCTTTGTAAATAGCTAAATTTTCATCTCAAATAAACAAAACCTTTACGAAGCTCCTCATTGCCCCTCAGCCCTTCTACTCATCTAAGAAGCTGTGTCACTCTTCTACCTTTTACCTTCAGGCCTATTCGGGATTTCGAAGCCGTCTATTGCCTGTTTGTTTGAGGTGTAGTTACTCTCAGGCACCAACAGTAAAACGATGTTACTATGCGGTGCTTGAAGTCTCACCTACTGCTTCATCAGACGTCATTCGAACTGCCTACTACACCAAGTGCAAAGCAACGCATCCTGACGTCGCATCAACTGATTCAAAGGACTTCTTGGAGGTCAACGAGGCTTACACTGTCCTAATGAATCCAGAACTTCGGCGTGCTTATGACAATACCCGTAGAATTGTTCAACATGAAGGAAATGATTTGTCCTCCTTCTTCTCCTGTTCTCCTGATGGTCCTAAAATCACATTCGATCGGGCTAGTGAAATCTTTCATGCTAGAAAGTTTCGACGCCGCTTTAGTGAAGCGCCTTGGCCTGATTGTCAGCTCAATTCCAACAAAGATGCACTCAGATGGTAGCGCAGGACCATTTTTTGCAAAGAACACTTCTAGTACTTTGGTAAAAGTGGAAAAATTTCCCGACTTTATAGCCTGCCTAATTTTTTGCATTCTCTTGGGAGGCTTGCGTTGGTACTTTTCCGCTTCTATTATGCTTAACAACGAGTGTCAGACATAAATTAACTTAAAATGTTTATTATTTCCTGGTTTATCGGAAATGTTTGTTAATCGGTGGGCTGAAAGAGTCAAAGAACATGTCTGGAAGTGTTTGTTTACAAAATGCAACAGTAACGATGGAAGGGGATCGCAACAACAGTTGGAATGATCCTGAGTGACTACCGAGGAAACAAAGTGGGCGCTGAAACGAAACGGAGGAAACCTGTACGTATTATTTTCGGTCTGTTAAATGGTTACCTGTGATTTCACGTTACCTTGATTATCGTGAGGCCGAAGAGAGCTTGTACCATCGCCTGGAGCTGGAGTGGTAGCCGGTTCCTGTTGCCGACGTCGTCACTGGCGTCTCCTCAGAATTGTAACTCTTTTGAGATCCAGTGGCTGCTGCTGGTGGAGGTAAGGGTGGCGGCATAGGCCTCCGGCAGTTGATACTTCTGTTAGACCAAAACCCACGGGAAGAGTTGGGAAGTGAATAGGAGAGGGTGGAGGATGAGGAGTGAGGAAATGTGGCTGTCCCCGTGCAACACAGGCATCCTTCGCTCCGTGGCGTCTGTTTCAAATTGGTGTAGTCAATCCCAAAGGGTTTCAGGGCCTAAAGGACGAGGAAAAGAAAACCTATGAGCATCCAGCTGGACAGAGAGATAGATTCGACGGACTGCAATGTACATTTTGAAGTTTTACACGAAGTAGAAGACTGGAGACGAACTCCTGCACAGCCTTGTAAATGAATCGGTATTGAGCTTCAGTTTGAACCATACCGGAGCGTTGCTCTCTGACGGCTTGGACAGTGCGAGCTATATCGATGTCTGTATGGAGACCGCCTTCGCGAATACAGCCCAGAAGCATGTCTGTGACAATTAATGTTCCAGTTCGACCAATTCCGGAACTGCAATGAACCACCACTGGTCCCGTGGTTTTCATGCTCTCCTACCAACAAAGAAGCGATAGAATTCTCCAATACTAGGGCTATTTCATTAAGTTAAAGACAAAATGCCTGAAAATGCTGCAATTTTGGTTCGAAGAATCGACTAATCTGCTTATTTGTTACATAATCACCCTGTTAGTGATAAAATTACCAACCTGATATGAAGATATGTTGAACAAGAGGTCCAAAAATTCCGACGGTTCACTGGGAGTGCCATGATCAGGCCATGCAAGAAATTGAAGTAGAAAGACAGTGAACGAGTCATCCTTAAACTTCTCCGTTGTTTCTGCTCCCACCTCCTGAGTGGTCCTTTGAAGCAGACTGACTTTGAACTCACGAATCACATGCGAGATGAGGTTGCGTTCAGATAAGGGAGTGACTTTTAGAGTACCTAACGGTACGGGAAGGAGGAGAGAGCCTTCCGCCTCAGTCGGCCAGTACTTTTCACATTTATTCTACAAAGGAAAGAGCAATCAAGAGTTGAAATGCTGAGAAAATGGGCAACATACCCTCCCGCGTTCATTTTCTTTTGTTAGCATAACAACAATGGAGGAGCGTTCTTGCCAGATCATGCGCCACATATCGACGATGGTAGTGGGTAGAACGCCTTGAGTTGCGATGTACTGAGGTCGAGACGAGAAGACTCGACTACGACGACTCCTGACTTTATCATTTTCCCCATTCTTTCCTTCCCTTCTATCCTCATTCGATTCTTGTTCTTCAGTCTTTTCACCTTTCGTTAATGTTGTTGAGGGTTGGAGACCTTCTAGAAGAAATGCCTAAAATTCAAGAAGTACAAGTGACTTAGGATTCACATGTTCAATAACTAATAGCGCATTCACGTAATTCGTCAATCTTTGTGGTTGAACCGTCAGTCTTCCGAGACCCAGCATTGCCTTAATAAAGAATAATTTGATTTGGGTACTACCAACTCTCACTCACAGGGTTGGAAATATAATTGGCATTGATATAATCGGAACCAGGAACGTTGGGATCCGCGTCTCGTAGAATCACTCGGGTGGCATCGAAAGGGAGGATATTCTTGTACCGATTTTTTGCCAGATTGCAGGGCCGACTGCCCTCTGTTCTACTGCCTTCGTGGGCGTCCTGGTGGAGCTCTTCAAACTCCTCCCAAAAACCTGTAACCCGTTTTCCACGAACACCCTCCTTTTCCAACTGTGTGATACGCTGGTCCAAGCAGGAGACGTTGAGACGAGTCACATTAAAGGGCTGAGGAAGGATTATAAGAATTACTAACTGTCACTGCTTGACACCCCGCCTCACAAGAACAGTTGTCTAACAGGGGACAATCTCCTTTTCTTTATTTTGTTATTATCCACATTTCGCAGCAACCATTGCTACATTACCTAAACATTATGCACAAACCTCCAAATTAATTCTTAGGAATGGGTTTAAAATTAGGTACATCAACATAATGCACCAGCCAAAAAAAACAACTTTCGTGGTTAAAATATTTCTGATTAATAGTCCTCCAAACCGAAGGAAATATTCCACTTTAGGAAGTAAACCAGTCTTGACCGTGAATAATTATGCACAATCCAAGCAGTCCATTGACAACAACCCATAATACCGTTTAAAGTGTGTTAGGAAACAATGGAGGCTGCGTTTAATACACCAAAAGGTACTATAATTAAAGCTCCGTCTCCTCCTCCTATCACAACTTTTATTAAACTAACTGAACGGTACTACCGATGCGACTCACCATCAACATATTAAAGCACCACTTCATCACAGACTGCTGTGCAATCTTCGTGTGGGGTACACCAAAGAGGCAAATAAAGACTAGAAGGTGTTCTATGTGGTTGCCAATTACTTTTTCATTCGAAAGAGCGTACTTCTAAGGGTGTTAGGTTTAATCAAACGATTTGTGAAGCTCTATTTTTTACTCTTAGAAATAAAGTTCAGAACAGTAAACACACATTCATTTTTTTTAAAAGTTTGTATTTCAGAGAAGGAGGAACAGATGCCCATGATGATTTGTGCAAATCCTGCTGTGGTCTTTCGGTCTCCATGTAATTTAATGGCAAGGCATAAGGGGAAGTGATTAGAGTGCAGATCTTTTTGCTTGTAAGAAAGCTCTTCAAAGAGGAAACTGCCAGCCTGTACCCCTTCGCAAAAAACAAATAAGTGTAATTATGAAGAAATTAGTTGCTTTCAACTCCTATTGTCATAACAACGACCTCAACCACTCGCTTCCCAGATGTTCACAAATTTCTATGCTTTTATGTTGCCACAACTGATAAAGGCCTTACCTACGAGTTTAATAAAGCAATTTCCCATTGAACTATGTGGCTGCCACTGTAGCTAACAATCAAGAGTGGGACCTTAACGAAGAAACTTTTGGCGGTTATCTTAATTTCAGGTACTATAAAAGCAGTGATTGTCGAGGCTCCAACTTCAATGAATCGGAAAGTTTCAACCAAGAAATTGATCCCATTGGTTTTTAACTTGGTCAAGTTACGAAAGGGATACTGGACTAGAAGGGTGCCGCAGAGTACGCATAACAACGGAAGAGGCAAGATCTTGGGGTTTTCGGGATAAGACAATTGAAAGGCCGATACTTCGAACTCAAAAAATTACTTTCTAAGCGAGCAGGATTGAGTTTTTATAAACAGGCAGCCCGAAATGCGGATAAGGTGAAATAAAAAGACTTCAAGGTTTCAGGGAGCATCAAAGCCCGATCGGCAATATGTACAGCAAGATATGACGCTTGCGAAACCATGCAGACGTTATCATGCAAAGAGAGAAGCACAAAATATTGGTAATTTTGAGACGTCAAAAATAAGAATATATCAGTAAGGATATCTACGACAACCCAACTGTAAAATGAAATATTGCCTCAACGAACTGGATCATAGATACAAAACGCTTACTTGTTTTAGGCAAATTAGGTGTCCATCTTTAACCATAATGGGAAAAGCAGTGTAATGATCAATCAATTGGCCAAGTGATGAAAATTCTTGACCATCGCCAAGATCAAATTTTGAATTGGGCAGATGGTTGACGAGGATGTGGGAGACACTATTGTCCCCGGTAACGACAGAGAGAACATAAGCTCCAGGTTGGCGCACTGACTCTCGAACCAAAAAGCTCCCATATTTGCCCTTTTGTAAAAGAAGATCTTGGGCTTCATTTGCCGTCTGACGACCATGAAACCACCTAGCACTAAATTAATGTGCTCACATTTAAAATAAAACACCGAGTTTTATGAAATTTTAAAACTATATCAATACCTCTCCAACGTATAATCATCGACCATAAGAGGATGCCGGAGTTCAATGATAGTACCATTTTTTTCTTTTAGCTGATCAGGGTGTTCGCGATAGTAATTAACAAGATCGGGAAGAGTGGCGAACTTATCACCACCAAAGAAACTTAGAAAATCACCGGTATTTTGGATGCGAATATGCGCAAATGAATCTTTGCGACGGACAGAGAGGGTGAAATTTCCAGGACTGTTATGGCTTTGCCGAATGAGGAAACTTCCTGGTTCTCCCTTTTCTATTAGAAGCTTCTCTGCAGCCAAGCCCGATAATTCACTGTGAAACCATCGCCGAGAATCAATGGCCATAATGCAAAGCGATATTTGTGCTCTCAGGCCAAGCACAAGTCCAAGGCAATATTTATTTCGATCGCTATGGTATTCAGAGTGCTTTAACAAGCAATAATTAACGAAAAGTATTAGGTATTATAAAGATTAAAAATAGATTCGTAAAAACATCATCTAGAACTTACAAGTGCTTGTTATTTTCGAAAAATGTTCAAACATGCGATTGCAAAAATGAATCTACCTTGACATTTTTTAGAACCTTGGTTTTAATGTTGTGCTCCCATCATAAAGTGAAGTCTGTCGATATGTATTTTTGAGATTTGTGTCCTGTTTTCCCAACGTAAGGTCATAGGATTTTAATTTGATGCGTACTAAATAATGCCCTGAAAATGCGCATATGTTCGATACCAAGGAAAAAAATATTTACAGGCACTTCCGTTCAACAGCTAGCCTTTAAACTTTCCACATGATTCTGGCATTATACAGCTAACATATCTAAATAAGTTTTACTCAGTCCAATATTAATAATGCCCAATTTTTACTTGTAGATCGTGTGTGGAAATTCGATTTTTTAACTGCTGGCCAAAAGCTTATTCCATTTTAAATATATGCATTACTCAAACGATCTTAATGTTTTTCATAATAATTTTATGTACGTACATTCAAGTTTATCATATTTGTTATAGCTTACTATTTTGCTTCGTAATATTTAACCGACACTAGGGAGTGTGTTCGAATCATTTGATTATAATATGTATTTTCTTCGCAAGTGATTTACTTCAATATGCTGCTTGTATTTGCGTTAGTTTTTTTCCGATAGCCTTTCCGTACTTGACGTCTACTTTTAAACCTTATCTGAGACAGACATGTTGCTATTGTGGTCATCTCAATTCAAATTATTTTCAATTTTTTACATACCGTTGGCTTAATATGCAAGCACTTTATGCTATGAAATAGATGACGCTTTTTTAAATATCTTAACACACACTGTTTTACCTTTCTTACCAGCCGAGTTTATGCAGACCATATGGGTGAATAATAGCTAGTCCGAATGGAGCGCAATCTTTGTGATCAGGTTAATAGCGAATTCGTTTGTTGTGACAATATCGTAACTGTACAATCGGAAAAAAATTGCTTAGCTACTTCTGTTCCTGATAACTCCGGCAATCATGCACCTCGCAACGGAACCACTTCTCCTCTCTTTGATTCCTCTGGATCCGATGGTTTAGTGGTTGGTCAATCAATCGGCAACCTAAAGACCAAATCTTTTACAAATAGTGATTCAGCCTTGCCTTTATTTTACTCAAGCAAGGCTCATGTCCTTCGAGCTCCCTCTCTTCCTCCTTCTAACACTTCTAAGTATTCCACGGGCTCCGACACAAATACAGCCCCTCCTGAAGTGCCCATTCGAACCTCTTCTTCTCCACAGAAGTATATTTCTCTATCTTCCTTCGTTGGACGCGAATGGGTATTTGATAAAGTCTTTAGATGGCTTCAGCTTTCATCTGACGGTACGCCAGCGTCTACTGAAGCTATGTATTGTTCTTTCATTGTGATGGGTGGACCTGGTACAGGAAAAACCGCTCTCCTTAACGAAATTATCAAAAACAGTCCTCTCGATTTATCCTCCCGCCTTCTAGCCTACCACACGTGCTCAAACCAATTTGCAGCATCAATAAATCTTCCTCGTTTTATTTTATCCCTTCGTGACCAGTTAGTCTCAAGACAAGATACAATTGGAGCATTTTATCGTGAGCGTCTAGCTGCCGGTGGTGGTCGACTAAACCGACTTTTTACCTCAGCTCGACTTTGCGCGTTTCCTGATGAGGTTTTGTCCGAGGGAGTATTCAAGGTTCTTGGTGATATAGATCCAAGACAAATCAACAGTGACCAGAAGCTTTTTTTAGCCATCGATGCTGCTGACGAGTGTCTTCGGTTAAACCCAAATTCTGAGGTCCGAGCCCCACCATCCATTTCCAGCATTGGATGCTCGCACAAGCGACTTTCACAAGCCTCTTCTGTGTCCGATCATGCGAGTGAAATTCAGAATCTCGGCTTGCATCAATCGAGTGGTCGAATTCGTCAGGGATGGGTTAGTCGAAATCTTCTTGAACTGCTAGCAATCAATGCTCTATTTCTTCCACCGTGGATTGGACTCTTCCTTACCTGTCGTCGAGATTCACAAACAATTCTACGTCGACTATTCCGCTGTGCTAACACCGTCTTTCTGGATGATATGCGTTGCCCATCGGTATTTAAGGATATGAATGATTACATCTGCATGCGCCTGAAAAATGATAGCCTCCTTCAAAATACATTTGATCTCTGTGGACAGGATATTCCCCACATATTACAGTATAAGTGTAATGCCTCGTTTCTCTACCTCCATATTGTTTTAACAGCTATCGGTGAGTGCTGGCTAACTCCAGAGTATATTAAAACTATCCCAGCCACTATTAATGGACTCTTTCTCTGGCTTTGTCAACGCCTCTTGAATCCTCTCCCTAATGATCCTTCTTCCTTAATAATGACTACTATCAAACCAGTGCTGAATCTTGTCCTTACCTCACCGCGACCTCTAACTCTCACAGAAATTGATGTTATTCTACACTCGAACAAAGTTTCTCCCAAAGTATCAGAAAACTGGAGGCAAGTTCTTGCCCTACCTTTTTTCTTGGTGCATCAGTATCCCCAATTTCTGCAACAGCAACCTCAACAATGGGTGGATCTTCTTGATTATGCTAATCTACGACACGAAAAAGTACTTTGTCTTGCTCACACCAGTTTAAGAGACTGGTTTCTTGACATTAAATACTCTACACCAGTGTATCTAGCCTCATCTCGTGACGGACATACAATGTTAGCTTTGGCAGCCTTAAACCAAATTCGCAAGTCCCCTTGTCTTTCGCACTCCTTTACTTGGGATATTCTCTACAATTTCACCCGATCTAGTCTCTACAATTCCGCAGAAGCACTTCAGAAACTCACCGCTACTCTAAAAGATGTGGAATTGGACTTTACCGTAGATATTCTTGCAAACCTTGACTGTTGGACGTTTTTGCATGATCCAATCCTCGTGCACTGCTCATTCGCTGGATCTTCAATCAGTCAACTAATTGAAGATGCGTTGAACTATGAGCACCGGTCGTTTGACCCACAGGCATCGATTGCCCTCAGCAGTAATGGGAATCGTACCAGAGAGCGCAAAACTAAACAAGTGATTCTCCAAACAGGAGCAGATAAGGAGACTTCTATTGGTCAGTTGTGTACTGCTGCTTTTCAAGGAAAGCTGGAGGTGGTGGAAAGTATTTTGAGTCAAAATTCGGTGGATGTGGATGCGAGGGATGCCGCGGGTTCTACACCATTGGTTTTGGCTTCTCGTCAAGGCCATTTGGAGATTGTGAGGTGTTTGCTAAAGGCGAATGCAAGATTAGATCAAATAGATCAGGACGGATGGTCAGCACTGAGGTCGGCTGCTTGGGGCGGACATACTGGTAAGTTGTAATTCACCAACATGTGACATAATAAAGTATAACTGAATAACATATACGAAGGCACATAAACCGAAACAATTTCTAAAAGTACTTTGTTGAAACGTCAAGTTTTCCCTACAGTATCAATTTTTTGAATTTTTTACTAATATTCATAACTAAGCAAGCAACTCACTGCAGTTAATCATCTATTCGAAATAGACTTGCTAAAATGTCGGTCTTGGTAGGCATAATCGTTTGTATTGATTTTTTTATCGGTTTACTTTGCAAACGCAAAAGGAAGGGCACTGACTATAATCGATATTTGCTCATTTACTTTAATGGACCTGTTGTTTGACAAAACTCTCAGTCGTTTAACTTTAACCAGTAGTTTGGTTTCTGTACCATGTCAGTAGCTGCAACTCGATAAACTTGTTAAACGGCTGTGTTCTGGCCTTAAAGTCAAGGGGCGTCACATCATACGTCTAATGCTGGCTATTTAGCAAGGAAAAAATGCACTTGCTTGGTATGTTTTCACACATGTGGCTATAAATTAAATTGCGATGAGGTCTCATTAAATTTTCCGTGCTCAAAATAGATATTAAATAAGGATATACTGAGTGACTTTGCTTAGAACAATGTCCACAGCGTTTCTCTTAAGTGCCTACTTGGAATGGGATCTCCCCTAAGGTAGTTGTACTCATGAAGCTCTTTATTCTGCTCAGGAAATTTGTTCAATGGTTATATTAGGCATTTCGTGGTCTGTCACGGGTCAATTACTCTCTCCCGGATACCAAGTTAACTTGTCCATTTTGGTAGTTAAGGCGTTGTGTAATTTACCAATCTCGCTACTACGGCATTGCCCGAATCCCCCATTGGCTAACCATTTCACCTTCTGGCAAGACGATGATTGGTCACCTCCATATCGGCATACCTCTGTTTCTAAACCCAACAATGCCAAAAAGCGCTTACCTTTAAACACCCAACGAACTTTGCCTTTGAACTCTTCGGTACGCCTCTTCTACAAATGAGGAGAAATTTAAGAAAAATAAAAGATTTATTAAAACACATATGCTTAAATGAGGATAGTTTGATTGCATTAGAAATTATAGATTACTTTGTCTTTAGGCCTAATCATAAAGAAAGTTGAGCCAACTGAAGTAATCTCTTCAGTGAACGAATGTTAAACACCAACGTAAAACAATAATGGTAGCCCAAGGAGTCTAATGGCATCGAGATGTCACTCAAGTTGTAAGAAAGGCGAAATGTGGTTGTGTGACATTACTTTTCTGCTTCGATTAATGGGTAGGCTTTTCATGAACGTCAGCATTCCCTCAGACATAAAAAAATTTGTAAAATCTATGCTCCAAAAAACCGGTTTCTAACTATACGAAAAATCGGTCTAAGACCTAAATGAAGGGGGAAATGGTATTTTTATACCAGGCATTAACTTCCACAACAAATGTCCAATTAAAGGAAACCTCATCCCGCCTCGAAGGTGGGTCGCGTGTCTTAGTTGAAAAATGATGTACATGCATTAATTGCTTAGGCATTTTTAATTGGCACACAACTTCCTACAGTTTCCTACTATTTCGTGGGCGTCTTTATTCATGCAAGTTTTGTCTAGCAGTCGGGTAGATGCTTGTTGTGCAAGGTAGGGCTGTGGATAACTGTGGTAGAAAGCATTTTAATATTATTCTTTGCTCTCCATAAGCCCATTTACTCATCACCACCATTGCACTGTCTACACCATCTCCACTGCTTTGGTGGCTGTCTCTTGCCTGCGTGGTCAGTCGATTTACCACTCCCAGGCAGTCGAACGACAAAACTATGCGCTACTCACCTTATTTTGATACAAAAGAAACGTCATTTAAACCTAATGTGGAAGTGGTTTTGGCATAAAGGTGTCTTATAAGCGCCTGCTGCTGTGAGAGCCAAACAAGACTTCACCTTTCCATTGTAAACTCAATTTCTCTCAAAGAATATTAGGATAGTGTAGTAGAGAAAAAAAAACGCGAAACTAGCCATTTCCGTTTTTTTTTTTAGCTCTAGGCTAGTTTAGTCTTTAGTTTCTGTTGCCTAAATAGTGTCCATGGCATGTCAGTGAAGACTGATGTCCTGTGCATGGAGTACTGGGAAACACGAAAATGTAATAAATGAGCAAGAGTCTTCACACTCAATTACTGCAATCCGACCACTAGTGAATTTTCCACCTACAAGTAATTTAGAGTTGTCTTACTGGCACAGGCCTGGCTCCATTTGGACCAGAGGTGAGTAATTGGGCCCACACTTCACCACAGAGAAAATGTGCACAGTGATCAGAAATGAAGCAAACGAAAATGGTGGCAGTATGTAGGTTGTTGGAAAATAGCAAATGTTCTTTTTGTTCCCTTCACAAAGTCTGGCTGGCAAAGGCCACTGATTACAGCAGCGCTGGCCAGTCAGTCAGTCAGTCAGAAAGTCAGTCAGTCAGTCCTGTAGGAAACAATAAAACGCATAGTGTGTTATTAGCAGACCCAAGAAGCAGAAAAGATTGTGGTCTTTAGAGTAAATCAGCATCGCTTATCCAGTTGTCTCGTGAAATTCTTCCCTTGGTGGCGTAGAATAGGCATTTTAGGCCGCAGTGCATTTAGCTTAGACTTGATTGTTGTCGAATTCAGGTCATTTGTCTACTACCTAAGAGAGCTTGCGTAAAATGTTGTGTGATTATTTGAGAAAAGATTTTACAAAGTTTTGGTAAACTTACATTCGATTGGAAGGTTAGACTAGGGTAAGTCCACGCAGTCCGATCTCTTTAAATGAAGGAAGACAGTTCTTTTGCGGAGGACGTAAGCAAGCAGGCTAGAGAGAGGAGATAGTCTAAGGGTCTCAATTACGCTCTATGAAGTGCATTGTAGAGTCTTTTGCGTTATGCTTTACACCGCTTGATAGATGGCGTTTAGACGATACTGCATGGCCTGACCATAGGTTCAGAGTGCATTTAATTTACCCTTTTGATTTCACTCGATGTCCTTACAACCCGGTTCTTACTTTAATGCTAAGATTTATGCAAAGGTATAATTTCAAGAAGGTAGACGAGGTGCAAGGGTGGACATATGGAGCCTTTAGTTTACTTACAGTTCAAAATTTCGATATAAAGTTGGGTAGAGTGAAGCGAACACGCAATCTTCTAACCTAAAGCTTCACTCTGTACTTTTGTCAATGTTCTGCGTCTACGGCAATGCTGCACTGTACAGCGGGTAAGATATTTCATTGAGTTGAGAGTGTAACCGACTAGCATAATAAACCATTATAATAACCACTTAAGAGAGGCATGAGAAAACCACTCTTTTCGTGCCTCCAATTACACCGAGTTAAGAGACCGCTACAATTTCCCACCTTCCCTAGCTGTGTCCGTAATATGCAACAATTTTTAATTTCCTTTTTGATAGACGTGGTAAATCTTCTGTTGGACTCCGGAGTAGATGTGGATATAACGGGACCAGACAGTCGAACAGCCTTGCGAGCAGCGGCGTGGGCTGGACACGCTGAAATAGCGTGTCGTCTGTTAGCTGCTGGGGCCGATGTCAATCGTCCCGACGCTGAAGGCAGAACTCCGCTTATTGCTGCAGCCTATATGGGATGTGGAGACATCATAGACATTCTAGCAGACGCAGGTTGGTTAGTTATTTTAATTGCGAACAAATTTTTTAAAGTAACATAAATAAAATTTTTATTAATAAAGAGCGTTACTTTGGTTAAACCTTTATTATTATCAACCACTTTACTTGATCCCAAATGACCTTCAAATCGGTGCCTTGTCCTGTGTGCTGCATTAGAAGTTTAATCAATTTATTACTGATCTTGCATCCTTTAAAGCAATCCATTTTACTTTTCTTTCCCTTCACATCTCTTTATTTCATCCTAAATTTGCTCTCTAATTTGTTAGGCAAATCACTTTGTCTTTCGAAGCAAATTTTAGTTGAATTATTTTGATGAGTTGCTTTTAACCTACCGTAGTATTCCAATTGAGTGTGTGCTCCTAATGGGGAGAAAGGCAAAGGGAATACCACATAAACTTTTAATTGGGCGCATTATCGCGGGACAAAATTACATGCATTTACTCTCCCGTCTCCGTCGGTAATTGAGGGCACTACTTGGTGGGCTTACTTCACTTTTTGCCCATTTTTAATGGCAAAGGCCATTTTCCATGCGACACAGAGGAGGTCAGACAGATGACTTATTTTGTAAAAGAGAATGCAATGAGAATGTAAATATGAGGTGAAGTAGAGATATGTGCAAATGCTAGTTTTGGGCTACCCTTTCTGGCTGGAATGTCGAAGGCGTTACAGTAGACGTTCTTCACCCAAATGCTACCCTTAGATTTCTATAATCGTGGTAGGAAAATGAAAGTCGAAAAAGTGACGAGCTCATGTGCAGTAAAGGTTTTTTCCAAATTGTGACATGATGCCCGACGTTTTTTTTAAAGGCAATTTTGACTATTCTGCTTCTGCTCTGAATGTAGAGCATCCGAGTGTAAAGCTTAGTTAACTGGACTACTAAGCAGGCAAAAATTTAAGTCTATGGACCTGATCCTTATAATGTTGTCATTGGAGCGAATCATTTTAATAATTGCATTCATGTGCAAGATGTAACTTCCCCTCTATGATGCTTCTGTGTGAAACTAGTTAGCTTGTTTTCGAATACCTCCAAACCTTTTAAAGCTGAAGTACCACACATTGATGCTAAAGAAGTGTGAAAAAGCATAGACGAAAGACGTTTTCGAGGTGGATGCTCAAAGTTAATGCATAGAAGACGAATGTTTATGATGTCTCAATGAAGGAGTGGAGGGGAATCCGCTTTTTAATCAACTAGTATCACCTCTCAATGACGCCGATAGCACTTTACTATGAAAAAATGCTTTTTTTAAAGTCATAAAAATTATAAATTGCGTTCTCCTTAATGTGTCAACCACTGACTCACCTCCTAGCAAGTTCTTCATAAAACAGCTCCATAGAGCAGATACAAAATGGAGTCAAAAGTGCTCGAAAAAAATTCGAACTTCGTAATTTAAGTTACTTCATTCCTTCTTCCCCATAAGGTGTGGTACAAAAGCATGAGTTCTTTTTCGTGCAGTTAGCAAATCCAATTTTAAGCTAACGGGTCTTTTTTGTTGAGGTGTGACAAGCAAAACCATGCAGCTTTGGGATTTAAAAGAGTCAATTTGTTTTGCCGCTGGTAGGCTCGGATCGTAGAGTTTGCCGGTGCAACCATTTAATACAATCTTTGTACCTCTAAAGCCCCATCCTCTTGGACTGTGTCCGACTTTGGGCGCTTTTAGTGGTGTTTTGCTCCAATTACTTCGTAACATTCACTCATCTTGCAACTGCAGGCAAGGTTTAATTTATCCCGCTTGAAGTCGCCGATTTTCCTCATAACAGTGGCCAATTCGGTGTGATCTTGAACCACTTTTGTCACTGTGGTGTAAATTGTTTTGCATAACTTCTTTATTTTGGTGCTGTTTAACAACTCACTTCCCACATTATCCGTAAAAATGGGCTCCACTAAGCGCATATTGCATTTCATTGTATTTTCCTATTTTGTTAAATGGAACCCATCAGATTATAAACGCGCAAAATGGTGCGTCCCAGAGTTTTATGGCCTCTTTCTTTGCCTTTTTTTGGTATAATAATAGCTTTTAAGTACTGCACTAATGGAATCTCCAAATGCACAGCAATTTTGCACGCATTTACGTTGTGATCCACTTTAAAACAAGGTGGTGGGAAACTTGACACACGATGCAAAACTTTGACACCTTTTGTCTCAGTACTCGTAACTGACAAAAAAGAAAACCAAAAGGTGAAGAATTTTTGTCTATTTGTAGAGAGTTCTCATTTCCATATCTTGTCAAACCGACATCGGTCTTTTCCCCTGGGAGACTCAAATGGGCTTATAAAAGCGAAATTGTTGTGGAAACTTTCGCCATAAAACCTTCATGGAACCGTTTTATTAACCACAAGTAATTTATGAGGCCTGTTTGACGCTGCACAGGCATTCGTGCATTGGACCCTCTCCCCCTCCTCCCCGTACCCTCTCTCATCTCCTCCCCTTCCATTTCTATTCACGACTTGATCGCGATCTGGAACTGCTCAAACATTCCCTTACCAAAGACAAGAAAAAGGAAGCAGTGTGAATACAGTAAGAAAAAAATATAAGATAAAACTTGCAACTATGTATCATCGTGGCAATTAATGGAATCGTCCAACAAAGTGAGGTGAGACAGGTCCTCCAAATGAAAGGAGTGCACTACAAGGGCATGCCAAAAAAGGCGTAGTTTATTTTGCTGCAAGGCGTAGACCGTTCATCAGCACATTCCAACAATGGCAATTTATAGGCGCCTCTAAAAAGTGACTGGTGAAGCTGATAGTTAGTTCCTTTGGTGCTGAGATGCGCCTCTCACACCACTCGTTTATGCTAAGTTGTACACAAGTCAGCATCCAAAAGTGCTCTAACAAGGGACACATTAGCCTGATGAGGGAGAAGAGTTTTTACCCTCTGCTTTGGCCTTCCCCGTCCGTCGTCATGTAGTGTCAGCCGGTCACGTTGCCAACCAACACCTCCTCTGTTTCACATTTTCTCCGGTTCATATTACTTCCCCTCGGAGGGAAAGCATTTGTTCAACTTTTATGTCTAGCACACCGAAAGAGCAGATTCTTTTTTTGCTTTGTTTTTTTCTTATTTGTAAAAAATAAATAAGGCGATGAGGCCAATTGCAGTCCAGTTCATCGGACGAAACTTGGATGTGTTGGAGGACTTTCTGTGGCTTAAAATGATCTCTTCACATGTGTGGACAGTTAATAACTTGAAGAGTTTTAACCTCACCATCGCACAATTGAATGCTGATGCTTCCTTTTTACCGTCCTCAAGTAGAATTTGGCCGTGAATGGTGAGACAAAATTGTCAGTACAAAGTTAACATGGTCCACCATAAAAAACAGTTTGCTGTCACCACAACAGAAGAAGGGAAGAGAACAGAACAGCTCTTGCCAAAGTCGAGAGGTGGTCCTGCGGACCGCAGCAGCAGCTGTGGAAAAATAGTTAACCAGTAAACTTAAAAAAATCAATCATTTGTCTGGCTGTCGTCTCAGAGACAATTCAAGCACAAATCACTTCGTCTCAGTTTCTAATTATCTCAAAAACTGTAAAAATATAAAACAAAGTTGTGATAACAAGTAGGCTGGAGGAACCGAAGCATCACGGTGCTCCCCTCGGTGTCAACTCAGGTCCCATTCATATCCTGGAAGGGGCCTTCTTCCTCTTCTTCATCGTCTTTCGATGTAAAGGATTGCTTGTTGACTCAACTTTCACCTCCCTGAAGGTGAACAAAGGTGGTTTAGATGATTCAAGGTGCAGTCTTGAGATTTCCCCGTAGGAGCTGGGGCTCGGAAAAAATCCACACCCTCCACGTTCTTCACCATTTAAATGAAAAATTGGCGCCTTCTCCCTGCCATAGGCAATTTAAACTACCGACATGTGGTGCATTTCTAGGCTCAGATTTTATTTCCCTTTTACAGACTTGGAAATTTGGGACAGCATGACTTTTTTTTCCTCTCTCCCACCAACAATCTAAGGCATGACGACATGCGTGTACAAATGTTCATAAAATTGTGCAAATTTTATGCATTTATTGTTGTGTATTAGAAAGTAGGGCTTAAGTGATAGGAATTTTTTTGAGGCGGAGAAACTTCAAATGCTCCCAGACTTTCCATTAGGTGGTGGAAGGTGCTACATGGAGCTGAAATGACGTGATCAAAAGGGGGAGGCTTTGGCGTGGCCCATAAGTCAGACCAGAGAGAGCATCACATTGTAACCTTCCATCTTTCGAGTCACCTCCTCGGGTGCTCTCCGCGGCACGCCTCCAACGCCACCCATCACAACGTAAATGGCACTGCTAGGCACGAGTCAGTCGCGTCAGTACTCTACACTTGTGAGATGGAGCGAATGGTCCCTGTCCTGTCAGCAGCTTTGACTGACTTCACTGTTTCTGTGTCAGTGACTAGACGCTGGAACACTGGTCTAAAAGGGCGGCAGAAAAAAAGAGGTCCCATGTAAAAAGGTGGTTCAATGCGGGGCTATCGTCAGCATCTACACGCAATTGTGGTGAGACGACCTCGGAAATTAAACCTTTTCAGATGTTTCATGGTGGTGTCGCTTCACTTGTCAACAACTCATCGGTGTGATGGGCGAATGCGGTGGATGTCAAACTCAGAAGTCGTCCTTAGCCCTTTAGGTATGGAGAAAATTTGTCCCAAGGGGTGGTGAGTACGCTAAAAAAAGTGGTAACAAAATCGAGTTAGTAATCCGCTACCACTGGTGCAGCATTTCTGGACGTCGCGTTACTTTGTGAAAGGCCTTAAATAGGAGGTAAGAAAAAAATGGGCCTCGCCTTGGCCCTCCGTCCAGTCCACCCAACCAAGGGCAAAAGGATCACCCGAGTTTGCCAGTTTTACACAGTAAAACAGAAAATGAAGCAAACACATGCATCGGTCGGAGTTGATGAGCCATCAAGAAGACTTGGCCATTCTGTCCTACACCAGTAAAGGTAAAATGCAAGTGTGAAACTTTTACAGTCTTCCCATTTCTGCAACACCTGGTAAAGGAGGCAGTTTTAATGCAACCTACATGGAAAGCCGCAATGAAAATTGCAATGACTGGCTGTGGGAGGCGCTTAACGCCTGAAGCATTCAGATGATTTACATCAAGACGATGTATGCCAAATTCCAGGACTTGGAGTCTCATACCCAAAAAAGCGTGCAGAAAGCCTAAAGGCGTTGGAGGCTGTCTTATCGGATCCTTTTGTTTGACTCATCATTTTGTTAGTTGTTTCCATTACCAAGAGCCAAAGTTGCAAATCTCATCGTCTGTGAATAGTTAATTGTAGGATATTTTAATCTTATAGGTGCAAATTTGAATCACGCGGATCAGGACGGACGAACCGCTTTGTGTGTGGCAGCCTTCTGTGTGCCGGAGTCGGCATCACACAGTGAAGTGGTGGCCAAATTGCTGCAACTTGGAGCCGATCCAAACCTCGGTGATCGGGAGCACGTCACTCCACTAATCGGTGCTGCCAATACGGGTCGTCGTGACATCTGTGAATTCTGTCTGGAAGCTGATGCTGACGTTGACATGGTGGACAAGTGAGAGAATTTTTTTTTCCCCTTAAACTAATGACACTGGGTCAAACCGGACAATTTATGTTTAGCCAAGTAGAGGTGTCTAAAAAAACAGACTCTTGGACTTTATGGGCCCCTTTTGGAAATGATCCAGACGCACAGTGATCAGAAACGTATCCGGTTGGTGGAAAAAGAGGGCATTAAGCCGAGCTAAGTTGCTTGAAAGCAGAGGGGAGGGCGTGACGTGGGTGTTGACTCGGCCCCCAGAAGGATACCAAAGTGACCGCCAACCGTGTATAGTTTGTCGAATAAGCAAGATGTTACTGATGAATCACTCCGAAAGGTAAATGCGTCTGGGTCGGGTAGGTAGTAGCTCCTTGAAGTAGACTAGCCACGGTTTGGCAAAGTTGATATGCTTTATTTAGAAACTCCATGTCAAGGCTAAACTTTGCCAAGGTAATCCCCAAAATTTCCCAAAAACACTAAATTTTCTTTCTGAATACTGAAGCAAGGCAAAAATACTGTGGTTTTTTGTTCGCTAAATGCAGTCATAATTAGACGGGTTTTTTGCACGGCAGAAGAATGCAAATTCGTGTGGATGCTTCAAGAATGGTGTTCAATGAGCACCGGCTTCCTTCTCTGTAATCTTTCCTATCCTCTAGTCACTTCTTTTTTCCTTCTTCTCCTTACAGTATTTTTAGTACCACTTTATGGTTGCATGTGGAATGGCTTGGATGGAGCCACTACTTTAGGCAAAGTAGTGCACAAAATGTTTTTCAACAGGTTACAAATTGTCCAAAACTTTCCAATAAAAGACAGAGAAAAACAATGATTTGTGACCACCTAGTACAGATGCGCTCACACATATACATCGCCAGAAGCAGTAAACAAGACTACGATTTCACTTTAAGTAAATGTTTTTCGCATGTTGCAATACTACTTAATAAAAGGATCAGTAAGTAGTATGCTTGACGGCAGTGGTGAAATATGTGGACCTTCAATTCCCAACATAACCTAATCAATTTACATGTACTTATGCAGGATGTTTACAATTTTGCTAAATATTCAAAAAGTATTATCTGTATTGAATGAAAATTCCATACATGGTAATGACAGGTTGTAGTAGTAAGTAAATGTGAATGCAACTATTAAGCGAAAGTGGCTTTTTTCTCTTTCCTAACAGCCTTTGAACCCCGATTACTATCTTATTTGACTACTGTATTTGCTACTTTCGGCTTAGGTTTATTCTTTTGGGGTTTTGCTATGAGAGACTTTTCTCCATATTGCTCTCTTTTGACATTTCAAAGGCCTACAAGCTCATTTGGGAAAGGAGAGAGCGTAAGTCTGTGACTATCCACATGCTTCGCGCGTACTGTTGGGGATCTCTTTTACGTCGTCTCTACCATTTCGTTCTCAGATGGTCTAACAACGCCTCATGGCTTTCGCTGTTGGTATTTTATTGTTAAGACAACAATTGTGTCGGTACTTGTGTGGCATCGCACTCTCCTCTATCCAAACCCAGCCAGAGAAAAGTTTGCTTAAAGCGGTTTCATTCCTACTACGGTACGGGGAGGCAACATTGTAGTCACATGTCCGCCTTTCACCTTCAGAGGACTTTTTAATCTATCAGCATGCAATTTTGTCTGGTTCCTAAGTAATTTCTCTCCCTCATCACAAGTTTCATGGCGGAGGTTCTGTGGATGTGTTGGCAAAGCATCCCTTTCCCACTTTGCATCCCTTTTTCTTACAGAGCACGTGATTGGCTCCATTCGGCTCAGAATCCTTCTTCCTCTTCTTCTTCTTCTACTACCGAGGTTCTTTAAAGTTAGATTTTGACTACACGTCTGAATGTGGTGAATCGAGATGGTGCCGGTCTGGATGAAGATATGAATGCTGTGGTTTCGGCGGGTCGACCACACGTTTCTTGAGTGCTGCGCTCGAAGTGGGCTCCCGCATCTCGTCCACAAGTGCTAATTTATGCAAAGAATTGCACCGACGCGGCAATATCACACGTTGGTGTCTAACTTCCAAAGTTGTTCCTTTCCGAATGGTTGGTAGTGGATTGTGTGGACGCAAAGCTATGGCCGACTAAAAAGTCGCACACATTCGAAAATTCTTAATTTATTCTTAAAACTGAGAAAAACCGTATGCACAGACATGCATAGCATCCCAATTTCCTTAGTTTCTTTCGTTACTTATGTAAGTAAGCAATTAACAAGCGTTATTGCAAAAGTAGCTTAAATCGACGAGATAGGCATGAAGGAGAGCTTTTAAGCCTCTGCGAAGACGTTTTATTAACACACCAACTAGTTTTATTGGCTGCCGTGTTCTTCAGTCGGTAAATCACTAACTTCCTTAATTTTGCCGCAAAAAAATTTCCCTGCGAATACCCTACTTAAAACAAAACATAAGTAGTATCCCTCAGGCAAGAAAAGTAAAACAGTGGCTCAATGAAAGAGTCATGCATGAGATGCTAGTAGGATTTCCAGGTTTGCGATCAAGTTCTCATTCCCTTTTCACAATCGTAACACGACTATACTACTGATTTGGTTAAAAATTTGCCAAAACTCTGAAAAAAAGGGAGTCACAAGATTAGGAAAAGGGCCCGAAGTTGTTGAAGTCTCATTGTGTAATAAAATGTTCACTGTCAAAAAAGTGGAAGTTTTGCCAAAAAGTCCATAAAAGTAACTGCTACAAAAGTCAGTTCTCATTTGATTATGCCTAAAGACATTTGAGGAATCAACGGGGGAGTTGAAAAGTCTACTATTGCTTTCCCTCTTCCGTCCTCTTGAAGGCTATTTTCGACTTTTACACAGCTGAATGTCAGTGATGAGACATGGAAACAATTTCATTAAAATTTGAACTTTTTTTTGCGGATTCAATACAAAACGCAAGAGAGGAGAAGGTAGAAGTCCTTTATTTGCCCTCCAGTCGTCGACAAACTTTGACATGAAGTAGTTACAGCCTCAATCACGACCTTCCTTTTTCTCTCCTTTCCCAAAACTCTCATTTCATTTTAAAGAATAACACGGAAATGTGGAAAACTTGGCTTGAGATCATCACGTCCCCAGTGGGGAGTGAATGAAGCATCTCACATCACTCCTTCCTAACATTTAAATGCTTTGAATATCGTCCTTGTTGGTGCATTTGAATGCCAAGTTTATGATGCAAACCCAGCGAGGATGCACGAGTCGAAGCAGAAGACCGCATTCTCCATGCTAACTCGGAGTAGTGACACGTACTGACAAGCGAAAGACGTTCGATTTTCTCGCCTTGACCAACTATGTAAGTGTTGTGAAGGAGACATCACTTACAGCGGGTCAAGGAAAGGAGCCATAAAACAAGAAGAAAGGACATTTTAAATATATGAAAAATTGGAACTACTGTCCTCTCCCTCGCACGCTTCCTTCATGTTGTCGCTGTGTGGCGGTCCTCGCGCCCCGCCGCTCTGCACCAGGCCGGTCGGGACGGGTGAGCGGAGGCCGTACCCACAGAGGAGGTCGGAGACACGGGGGCATGGAATGCGAGACGAAGCGAGAGGGGGGTAGGCGTGGTCGGTTAGTCTAGCACAAAGAAAGAGATGCCGCACAAAGTTGAGCAGTTATAATTATTAAAAACCAAATTAATGAAAGCTGGAATGCGTGCACAATCACAATATCATGAGCTCAAGGTGTATTGCTTCCACTTTTAGGAGTGGTAGAAGTGCCCTCGTAGCAGCTGTGGTGAACGGCCACGTGGATGTGGTTCAGTTACTTCTTTTCTGGTGTGCTGCTGTTGACACCATCGATCTCAATGGACGCTCCGTTTTGAGCATCGCTGCTGCCTGTGGCCGTACACAGGTGGTTCGCCAACTCCTCGACCGAGGGCTGGACGAGGGTCATCGCGATCACATGGGCGCCACGCCTCTTCATCTTGCAGCTGCTGCCGGTCATGCCGAGGTTGTGAGGTAAGTGACAAAAGGTGTGACTCCCTCCAAAGGGCCTTACATTGCATTGAGAGATGTCAAAACAAAAAAACTAGGTTAAACAGCTACTGGAGGGTTTTCAAGTTGATCTTCAAGTGAACCATCGAACGGTAAATAAGGGCAGAAAAGAGCAAAAATTGTTCTGTTTGAAATTACAGCTACTTTAGGTTTGATGGTTTGTAACAAAAGGAGGAAACAGCAAGAAAAAAAGGGGAAGATGAAGCATTTTGTGTTTGACAAAAGTAAAAGAAGAAGGTTTTTGTAGAATAACTTATGATCTGGTAAAGCTTTAGGCCCAAAAGAATGAAAACTACTGACAATGACTGCTCCAAAAGTCTTCATTTTACTACTACTGTCTTAGTCAAATTCAATCTCCAAGGTGACAGAGAGGGTTGTTTTAGGACGTGAAAAACAAATGCTATTACTACTTATTTTGGTGGAACTTAAATTTCTGGCCACTATTTTGGGAGTAAAAATGAGACTCTTGAGAGCACCTTTGGTGGACAAATGAAGAAGTAGATAATATGGTTTGCTTTCACCTCCATTTCTCATGACAAATTTTTGACTTGAGAGTTTCAAACTACATCTTCAGGCGTAAGGAAATCAGTCAAGACATCCTCCCTTCTCTCCCTCCTGCCTTCTCCCTCTCCTGTCTCATCTTCTTCTTTTCCTTAAAATCTTACAGTGGATTGGCTGTACGCATCCACCTTAATTTACTCAATGCCGAGTGTTATCTAGCAGACATCCTCCTCCTCCTCTCCCTCCTCGTTCTGCTTCTTCGTCTGCTCCTTCCTCCTTTATCCCACATTCTTTGCACATTGCTCCCAATGCAAATAAGTAGTGCTCAAGACTTGAAGAGGGTGTTAAGTGGAGAACAAATGCACACATTTAAGAAGAAGAGTGGAAAGTCTGGTCTCCGACTTGCTCCGCAGGCCAGTTCACAAAAGTCAACAGCGAGACGACTCTTAAACTGACCACCAGTCGTATAGGGTTTCGAATAAAGAAGGTGATACATTGAAAGTCTCTTTTGACCTACGTTCTCATCGCTTGCCTCGGTACGCCTCTCGCACCAGTCATCACAACGTATTCTTTGTTTTAGTTAAGCAACTAGGAGCAAGAGGTGTCCATCATTAACTACTATAAGCCTGAGGAAATCATAATTTTCAACTCTTGGAAGCTTCCATAAGGCTTGCAGTAATGTTCAACCAAAGAGTTGGAGTAGAAGAGAGGACCTTCTATAGATCATCAACTGTGGCTCCTCGAAGTCCTTCTCTCCACCACCGTTTCCACCCGCACAGTTTGTGAGGCATGTAAGAAGAATTATTGACCTCACAAACGCAAGACATCAAACATTGCTCCCTCAGAAGCACTTCTGCAAGAGATTGAAGTTGAAGGTGTAAAATTAGCAGATCGCTTAAGGAAGGGACCACGTCGACAGGTTGGTGGGGGACAAAGCGCATGAAGTTTTGCCGATTCCTTCATTTTTTTCTTCTACTCTGCTGCTTGCATGTCTGACTGACGTGTAAGGTGACAAGGCTTTAACAATGAGACTTTCGTTAGAGCAACAAACGCATCCTTAATTTGTTTCATTCCACCTGACAACTTCGCTTCGAAAGGACTTGTGTGTCATTCTTTTTCACCTCCTCCCACTAAACATCTTGCAGAGGGACTATCAATTATATCCTGGTCTTATTCACTCCGAAATAAAACTTCTTTAGAAAGGTCCACATTAACAAAGTATTCGTAATTGTTCAAAAACAGAGCTCAAGGGAGGATTTCATGCCTCACAGTAATGGAGAAAAAAAGGATTGCGATGCTCAATATTTTGCGGCACAGGATAAGTGGAAGTGAGAGGAGGAAGGAGATTTGCCTAGCCTAAGCTTGTCGCCGCATTCTTCCTCTCTCTTATTTTGTCCAAGTCTTCGTTAAGGCATACTACTTATTTGGTGAGTATCTTGGTTAAGACATACTACTTATTTCATGAGTAGGGGCCAAACAGTCAAGCATACATCCATGATCATAATGGAAGGAAACTTTATAAAGATTGCGCTTGTTGACTTCTTTGCTAGTAACAGGGCGGGGATGATGCCTACGACAATCCGGCAGCTGCGTTTTCTCCCTTCTCAGGCATGACGCTCGAACTTGTGTTCCGTCTATGACCTTCGAGACACATTGAAAACGACCCAATGTGTGCGTATATTGCATGGTTCTCTTCTCCTTAGAGTGTTGCTCCTGGTGTTAGTCGCCTTAGGGACTCCTGGTGGATTGTCAGACCGCTCTCTTTTCGCTGCCGACGAGTAAATCGCGTTCTTGTACCTGATTGGGCGGAAGCACATCAGTTCCTCCATTGCTGGTGTCTAAGTTCCTCCAAACTTCCTCAAAAGGCTGTATGTCTGTGTGAGGTGATTTAGCGCGTGGCACAGGTTATGCTTGGTACTGCGGAAACAAAGCGCGGCGAGTGGTGCCCAAAGTGAGACGAAAGTAGCTTTCCTTGAATTCTCAAACGCAGCATTCAAACCCTCATTTCTCATCCTTGATTTTGGAGGCACATTAAGTAATTCACCTGTATCCTCATGACTACTTCTGACAATGGGTAAGTTGACATGAGGTATCTTGTTTTCACAACTGTCAGAAGAAGTATTTACATAGTGATAAGTGGATATAAGGTAGCATTTCATTTACACCTTAAATGAGAATTATGAGATACAAGCCTCAGCACTTTATTCCACAGTTGGTAAAAGGAGGAAATTTCAAAAACTTGTTGGCATGAGTTGTTCATGTCGTACGATGGTCCACTTTTCAAGCCTAACAATTCGAGACTCCTTTTGTTGATAGCGGGAAGAAAGTGGCACGACTGAAAATGTGTGTTTGGAGAGGAGATAAGGTGATTGGACCTTGGCTTATCTCTCAGGTCAGCTAAATGACCGACAATCATACAGGTAGTCAACTAAACAAGGCAATGCATTGCCCCTCTCTTCTTTTAACCGACGTCCCGGGTGCCCTCCTCGGTGCGCCTCCGACAGCATTCATGGCGATGTGTTTCGGTGCTGTACGAAAGCACCGCATCAGTCAACAACTCGCAGGGGACCGAGGGCGTGCGCTCAGCTCTTTCGCTAGCTCCCATGAGAGTGAATTTTTAGTTACTGTTTGGTCTGAACAACAGAACTCAGAGGCGGGAACTTTGGACATCGACTGGACACTGCAACAACACTCCAAAAGAGCGGTATAACAGCGGAAATGGGATTGAACAGTGCATTCACCACTATTTATGCGCAAATACGAAAAAGGGGCACTCCAAAACCAAACTTTTCCGCTTTAGTTGTAAATAACTTGTCAGTGGAGCACAGGGAAACGCGGTAGATGCCAAATGCACACGCTGTTTTCATTCCTCCTGCTCCCATCGCCAAATTTCATTCCAAACGGTGGGTGGCAGGCGAGAGGTGATAACAAAGTCTATTCGGCTTTTCGCTGCCGCTGTGGGAAATTTCTGGGGACTTCTCATTAGACAGCTCAAAGCATGAGGCTTGGCTGAATGCTTGCTTTCCAACGGAAGGAGTGTAAGCGACCCTCCAACCCCACCTGTGGGCCAAATCTCGCGGGAGAAACAAGCAAGACCCCAGAATATTCGAGTAAACCACGTACAGCTTCAGATGCTGTAAAAATGAGGAAATAATATCATTCGACGTTACTAAAGTGTTAGGAGATTCGTACTACCAACAGTGAAAGGATTTCTTCACAGTCATGATACTTTGAAAGCTCTTCGGTCCGTCTTCTTGCTCCTAAGACGCTCTGTGTCGCTTTTTTGCTTTTAACAGATCCCAATTGAAACCGGTTTAACCAAAGCCCATTTGAAAAGGTCCGACAAAAGACTACCACACTTCATCTCAAAGCCCAAAGAGAAGTTATGCAAAGTGCGGATCTTTGACTTCCAAATCATGTTGCACTCCACACGTGTATTGCTGTTCCCAAGTCACGAAAACCGGGACTTGGAGCGCCTTCCTGCGGTCCGCAAAATGGATTAGCGTTGGCCCGAAAACAACTTTTTCCACTGTTATTTTTAAATGGGGAAATGGTAGAAGCTCAACTTTTAGGCAGTACGATAAACCCCAAAAATACAAACTACCAAAAACACAACAGCGCATTCGCCTTTTATGCTCCGTTACACTTGCAATTCGTCTTTTCCTCCGCCTTAGTGACTTTCGTTCAAAGGCTTTGGCGCATTTAAACAAGGGTCGTGTGCATTAAAAATCAAGTTTTTACCCTCTTGACAGTTGTGCAGTGCAAAGACTTTGTTGGATGTAAGTCCTACTTGCCTCCTCTTAGATGATTTATCCAAAAACTTCTGCTATTTAGCTCCCTTCACTCTACAGAACCCTCCACTCATGGAGGGTCGATCTGAGACGATGTTTTTGGCGCCTCCAGAAGGCACCGCAGGACCAGTCACCCTTCTGGCCTCGCACAAATCGAATTGACTTCCCGCCTCTCACCTGTGAAGGTTAATTTAAACAAAAATGTGTGCTACAAGCACATTATAGAATTTCAGTATGGTTCCTTGTCTTTCGCTTGTGGATGTGGGTGGAGATAAATGGGGAATATCTTCAGTGTGTGGGAGCTTTGAGCTTCATAGTAACGGCTATTCTTTAATTTTATTATAGACTCCTTCTAGAAGCCGGTTCGCACCCTGATGAGGTTGATAATGCCGGTCAGACTCCTCTCCTTGTGGCTTGTCAAGCTGATCATGTGGAGGTTGTCCAACTCCTCCTAAAACCAGCTGTCTCCATGGAAGCAGCAGTCGATAATGAACGGGTTCAAGAGCTGTTTGAAGTCCTTACCACTGGACGAAATGATGGAGGCGTTAGGAAGGAGTCGGAAGATCCGCATCATGTCTACGATCCCCTAAGCACTGGAGGACAGGATGGATTTCTTGGTCATGCTGCCTTACAGACTATAGACAGAGCCTCAATGGATGGACGAAATCCATTGAGATCAGCAGCACTCAATAACAACGTTCCATTGGTCAAATTGCTCATGGCCTTGGGTGCTGATCCCGATCAACAGGTATGCCAAAAGGCCTACTATCTGACTGTTCCAATTAAAGTGTGCGTTTGCATAATCAAAAATCTCATTTTCATTTGTGAATTAGTCGACGGTAAACTGTAATGCCACCAAGGCATAGCTGAGAGTCGAAGGAGAGACGATTAATGTTAGTAAGAATCACGCTTTTTTTTTCTGAAGACCTTCGTTTGTGTTCCATGACGCTCTCACGTGGCTGGCTAACTGCTGTCGGTTGGCAGGAAGCAGAGCGTTCAAGACGAATGTGGTGGGTTGTTGGAGGGTAAAAGAGGCGCTACTTCATGCACCCTCATGTCTGCATAGTCAGCTCTTTAAGCGATCTTCTACTTCACTTTTGAGTGGCAAAATTCGATGTCTTTAGCTCGGCAAATCTACTATTTTCTTAGCATATTCGTCTTCATACTTTACTTGGCATATCAGTAGTATGTTTTCAGATTAGATCGCTGCCTCAACAACAAAATAAAAGCCCCTGGCGGAACACTTCGGTGAGGTCAAGGTCAAATACCACAAACACATTTTATTGGCTGTTTTTTCGTATGAGCAGTTACAGAATCACCTCTAATCGACTTTTAAGAAATGGAAGGAAACAGTACGATCTTAATAGAGGTCGGTTAGCATTTAATGCCATGGCGCTGTGCTATCTTTGTGAAGCAGTACCAAATCTACTGTGGTGTGGCAGGAAGTACTTGAGGGCTACTAACGTATCTCGGAAGTACGATCTGCAACCAAATGTCCGCGCATGTTAGCAGGCGAGTTAAACAAGCCGTCATGCCGTTACATTTTTTAAAGTGCTTGTAAATTTTTAGCGTGTTTAACACACTTTTAAGACTCCTTTCGTAACATCGGCCACCATACACTACAAATCTTTCATTTCGGCCGTCATGCAAAGGGAAGGTTACTTGAATATGGTCAATTTTGGTGTCCCTAGAGCGGTACACGCCGAAGGGGTAATGAGTTCGGTAAAGAGGTGTTCAAGCCAGCAAAGGAAAAGGTCATCGCACTCCGCCTCCACAGTATTCGATACGCCTCTCTCATACAAAGCGCAATTTAAACGCTGAATGTGTTTTGAGTCTTTTCTTGCTTAAAACATTGTTGTGTGTGTGTTAGCCTGGCGGAATTTTGTTAAACATTCGATCTGATCACTTTTCCGCTCACGTGAAGCAAGGTTTTTTAACGAAAAAAGCGCACTTCGAAATTCTGTTCTCTTACTGTAACCGCATTGGTTTGTCCAATCAATCTACCTATTTGTATGGCCTAGATGGGGTCGGACAATATTTCTCCACCGCCACCAAACAGCAACTTTAACTCGCTGTGAGAGGATGGCACTGACATTGATTCCAAACACACCGTCTTTCCACTTTCTTCTCCGCGTGTCAAGCTAATTGCCTTCACAACTGATCGTAACCCTGGCTTTTCCTAAATGTTTCAGCCACATTCCCTGCAGTTCAACTGTGATTGGTCAACTCCCCATTAGAGCTGCAAGTTGATTGGCTGATTGGATTCCAGCCTCTGGAGCAGCCATTATGAGGGATCTTTTTGCGTGTAAAATTTGCTTTGGGCATTTCCCAGCAGTTGAACCTTGGCTTTGGCATCAAAATACTTAATGCTCTTTCTAATAGAATCGACTGAAATTAAAATATTATGTTTCGAGTTTTTTTGAGGTCACATATTAGGTGTCTGTGGAATAACTAAACTCGACAGGGAGATGAGCGTTAAAGGAGAATACATCTATTGCTAAATAATCCGTAGGGGACCTTGATGGCCAAATTATTAATTGCGAAAACCGAATGCATAGAATCACTTTCTATTAATGCACAGAAAGTATAAAACATCGTTGTTAGGGACGGACTTTGGGCGTCAAAAACAGCGCTATGAAGCACTACCCAGAAATTGTAAACCATTTATCAAGCAGTCAACTGCTCCCACCGTTGACCAATCTCCCTTCCGTGGACGCTGAGACGACCGAAAGAATGACTGCCTACGGGAGCAGGACATGATAACACCAAACAGAATCTAATGCATCCACAAGTGCAGTAAATAAATCTTTGTTCATCCCAACACTCAGTTTATTTTAATGCTAAACGCCAAGTTGACTGGTTCACTGAAAACCCTTTTTCAAAGACTCCTTCTAATAATAACAGCTAGATTTGAAAATATGGGGATGGTAAACATCGAGGCGCGTGTTAGAACTAACTCCAAAAGGTCTCCTTCGTTCATCCCGTTAGCATTGATAAAGACTGGTAAGAATGCAGTCGGGTGGGTGCACACATGTCTACTTGGAGGTGACCTTTTTAGCACTGTCACTTTTTTTTTAACATTCGAAAACCCATTTTCTTCAAGTTGTTTTAATATGGATGTCTGTGCTTTAAATTCCAAGGTTTTTGTGAGTAGCCTACTGAATTGGTTTTCCGCGATGGAGGTGGGTCGCATTCTAGCCCTACGTACAGAAGACTTTGTGGCAATTTTTTTACAAATGACCGGTAGAATTTTTGAGCTTTTTGGATGCTGTCACCCAATTTTGGACAATTACCGAGCTTTTTATCTTAAGCACAGTTTTCTGTGCCTTAAGTGTAAGCGTCTTGAACCCCCCTTGGAAGCTCGAGTGGGACGTAGGTTTCGAGATTTTACGTTAAAATTTTGGAATTAAAGCACAATTTAAGGCAATACCTCATTTAAACAGACAGCACTTTGAGGTGGCGCGTAATTCAACAGCACAGCGCACAAACTAGGGACAAAAAAGGTGGCCACAAAGGAGGAGATTTGTCAATGCTAGTTTGGTGCAACTCAGTCTCAATTCAAGCTGAGCAATTTTCAGAGATTTTACTTTCTAAGGACAACTCGGTTTCCTCTCCAATCTTCCTCGAATGCGAAACCACAAAATTGTTTCGTTGTTCCTATGCTACACATTTAAAATGAAGAAGTTTTGCCACTTTTTAGATTCTCATTTTGGTTAATTTAACAGTTCTTTAGCCTCAACTGCACAAACTAGAGTAAAATGGAAGCAGGAATGCTCAGAAAAAGGGAAAAAAAAACAAATTCGTGAGGTCATCTTTAAGACTGAGTGAACCAGGACACAACAAATCATAAAACTTTTACCATGGCCAACTTCTTCACCACCCGAGAGAGGTGCTGGAGATGAGGGGGAAGCAGTTAGTTTTTCGGTGTTTGCCTTATTCCCTGCAAGAATGGCTCTCCACATTGAAAGTACAGCAAACCGATTTGGGCAGCGATCCTAGTGAACACTGCCTTGATCCAATTTTTTACTGTTCCAATCCATGCAGCGCCCTCCGATTTTCCCTCACCAACACTCACATGAGGCTAAATTAAAGTTCACATCAGGTTATTTATAGCAAGAAAGATCTTTTAGCCTTTCCTTTTAAGTTGCGTACCATTTTTGCACATGTTTGGCAGTACTTTTTTGGAATGAAAAATGTATACGTAAGGAATGATTGTTTGGCCACTTGCCTTCAGGATTCGTGTGGTCGTACAACCCTAAGCGTGGTGGTGCTTGAGGGTTTGGTAAAAATGACCAAAGTGCTGCTCTTCACTCCCACGGCGTGCAACAAAGGCGGCAGCAAAAAGCAGTCCCTTGCACCGGTTGGAGCTAATCCCCTCATTGCCGATGATGAGGGACGATTTCCCCTTCACATTGCTGCATGGCAAGGTGATTTGGCTCTGGTTCATCTCCTCCTTCAGGTAAATCTCGCACTGGTTTAAATTTAATGTAAATACGCAGAACGATGCCAGAATTGAAGGCGTCTTTCAAAGCCTAAGTCGGACATATGACTAATAGAAAAAGGCGGAGCACTCTTTTGCGGTGTCCCTCTTTGCAAAACCTCATTCTTAGCTCATTGCTTGTGATTTTGTCATCCTGACAGCGCTTATTTTAAAACCAACTGGTGCCCTATTAACCCCCAGTATTCCAAATGTCAACGAGGCACAATTAATAATCCTGGCCAAATAATTAATGGTTCACCTTAAGGTCCTTCCTGCCTGCCTTCTTGATTTATTTGTAGATAATTTTAAGTCAAACTTTCCAATAATGCACATGCCCTAATGCAATTTGGGTGAGTAGAATCCTCTGCTTTTTTTATTGTTACTTTTAAGCTCCACTTAGCTTTTCTAATGGTTTGGTAGGTTGGAACGCCGGTGGATGTGCGAGACAAGGAGAATAGGACACCGTTGCATTCAGCAGCATGGCAGAATCATGCAAACACCTGCAACACCCTCATTGAGTTGGGCGCCAACATTAACGCGGTTTGCAGTCAAGGCGCCTCGGCACTGTGCATTGCAGCACAGGAGGGGCACAGCGCTGTTTGTGAGGTTCTCCTACAGGTTAGCCGAACTTCTACAAGAATTTTCCTTTAGATTGTGTTTTAACTAAGTTTGTTAATGCTCAAATTCGGTGCATTTGTATGGTCGATCCTTTGTTGAAATGACAAAATGGGCCAACTTTTGTAAAGTGTGTAAGCACCTGAACACTTTTTATTAACGGTTTGGAGAAATGGCTATGGCTTTCAATCAACCTGAGGTTTTACGCTGCCGCAAATAAAATTTTGGGCAAATGTGAGTCACCACACAAAACCATTGAAAAACGTGTGATATTGTAACTAACGGTACAAAATAACATGGTAGCAATGCAGAAATTTAGCCATTCTATTCATTCCATTATGTCGAAAAGCAACTATTGTGAATAATTACGCTGCGTATGGGCTAAATTTGTTCTTTAATTCCATTAGTCGTTTGTTCTTGAAGTCCACTGGTTATTGGTTCTTCGGTCCCATTGGTTAATAGTCTATCAATTTCATTGGCTATTGGTTGTTGAATTTCATTCGTTGCTTTAAGCTTCAGAAAGACGATTGTGCATCGCTACTGGAATATTTATTTTCCTAATCTGTCATGTTACTCGTCTTTGCATAATCCAATGTTTTTTAATGTAACTTATGCAAAGCAAAATGTTTACCACATCTACTATGTCTTTACTTACCTAAAATGGTGAAGTTCCACTGTCAAGTTAATGTCTGAAAAAACTTACCAGTTTTTTTGTTGAGTTAAGAGCATTGTAACTCACTACGCGTGCATATTCTGCGACAGGATAGTGGCTATAATCAGCAGATGAGAAGACAATCACAAGTTTCTTTTTGACCTTCAAATCCTCCTTTTGCAGTGGATACGCAAACTGTTTTGGCAACAGGGATGCCTCACCCTAAAGCGTAAAATTTTGTTGAGTCCCTTAGTATTAAGGTGGAGCACCTATATTGCTATTCAATGTTATTTTATCAGGGGCGTATACACACCTTAGTTTTTGTGTTCTTTACATAAAATGATGGTACTAAAAGGAAAAGGCTGTTGCACGTACCTAGCTACACCTAATTTGGGCGGAATGGGGTAGTAATTCGTTGAGAGCATTGGAGTGCGTAAAAGGAGCAGCGTTTTACTTTGTACAATCCCTTCTGAGTAGATTGGAGGTGTGAAGGGATGAGGACTGCCAGGAGAACTTTAACTCTTATCACCACCATGAGGCACAAAATAAAGGACTCACCAAAGCAAATAAAACTTTATCCAGTCTAATCGGCCCGCTGAAGAATTCAGTAACATATGCGATTTAAAAAATAGGTAACACATTCCAATAAGGTTTTTTACGCAATATGATGGCAGTTGAGGAATGTAATTTTGCCTGTTTTCATCGTGGACTTTTTTGAGGTCACCGTTTTGCTGCTGATAATTTTTTTTGCGAAAAACTGTCAGAGACAATGATTTTGGTAGTTTTCAACGTCTCTTCTTTTGTCAATGTTTGTAATTGCAGCTGCATTCAGTTGGCTCAGATGTCAACCTGTTGCTTCACATCCGGAAATGGAAAGCCACCTTCAGCATGACAGATTTTGCAATTCGATTCGCGAAACTCATCTAAACTAATTTAAAGATGGGCTTCCATTCTGTTCACTTGGCTAGACAACGCTTTGTGTATATCGCATTCACCTTCTTTACTATTCACATGGCAGAGAGGCGCCAACGCACTTCAAATGGATGCCTACGGTCGTACACCCTACAAAGTGGCCATGAAAGCAGGTCATGGAGAGATTTGTGCGCTTTTGGAACGCTATGGTGCAGCTCCTCCACCATCCACTTCGCCACGATTGCGTCATCGGTGGAAACAGATGACTCCGACTAACGTTGCCAAACCCACTCAACAACAGCAACATCACCGACAACATCGACAGGTTCACCATAGTCAACAACCTCAGACACGGCAGATAACAATGTTAGAGAAGGAGAAAACTGATATCAATACGGTGGATTCGGTGACTTCTGGTGCGTGTGGCTTTGGAGGACAGGTAAAGGTGGGAAAACCGGTGGTTACTAGCGGACCTTCAATGCCACAACAGCAGCACCAACACTACCACCACCACCAACAACAACAACCACCGCAGCAGCAAAGTGAGTGGGTGTTTTACTCAATGGAAACCTATGGTTCTATTTAATCAGCACAACTGAACAACGCCAGTCCCTTCAAGCATACTTCCTCTCTCCAATCGTTCGTGGGCTCCAGCACACATGGGAAAATCATGTAACAAATGAATATTTGGTTCATGTTTCAATCATGGTTTTGCAAGTATTTGAAACAATACTAAATCGCCCCCGACAGAGTTCGTTCAAGCAAAAACTTTTCTGACAGATTAGACACGATAACTATGGTTGAATTATTTTGTTTCCTTTTATTTGCTTAAAAATGGTGCGATTTTAGCCTCATTTTCTTAACGTTTATCAATACTGTGCTAGTGTTTTATGTAGCTTGAAAGATGGCGCATTTTAATGCATTTTGTAGCACAAATCTGTCAAAAAATTACATAAACTTCTAAATCGACGGTCCTCGACTCCATTTTGTACCTTCCACCAATTGTCTCCTTTTTTATCTCCATAGAAACAGATGCTTAATTCATTTTCACCCGAAAGTTTCCAAATTAATGTTCCACGAATACGTGCTTGAATGCACCATTCACTTCCAAACCGTTTAACCCTCCTTTAACTACTTTAATGGTGCAAAATGACTTAACAGTTGCCCATTGGAGGACGTCAGGGAGTGCAGAAGCTCTAGACAGTTGTTTGATCATTTCAAACCCACCTTCTTTTGGACTTGGCCTTCAGCACTCCACGTGATCATCAGCTAGCTGGCACTCGTGGCGCACTTTGGTGCAAAGTGCAGTCAACCATGGTGAAGGTTAAGGGATGACATTTTATGGTGTAGGTCATTTCAGATCCTCTTAACATACATACATTCGAGCAAGTCTCCGTTCTGGGACGGAAAAATCAGCTTTAGGAGGGGACAAGGATTGTACATTGAAACCGGTGACCAATTGCAGACTTTAAATTGCCTTCTTTGGACTTGATTTTTCCATTCCTCCACGAAGTGCCCTTCCTGGTTAAACAAACGGCAGTCGGTACCTCTCATGCAGTGTTGAGTGTTGTTTGGTAAGCCAAAAAACATGTATCCCTCTCCCCTTAAATCATTCGCTTGCTATTGCCACCAATTTTAACTAAATGTTTCCATACAACCTACCGCAATGGATATTATCGTCAATCAAAGGCGGTCGCGAGGTTCACTGGGCTGTGTGTTTACAGCTGCGGAGTAAAAATTTGTCTAGACATTGAAGGGATTTGATTGTCATAAAGGCCTATCTTAATTTGCGTTTAAAAAGTTGGGGTTATAATGAGTTGCTAAGTGATAGTGTTTTGCGAAAAATGAACGTAATATGCTGAGACTTGGCAGTAGGAGGGAGTGAATGCTTGCAGTTGAGATGAAGGGGAGGAGGTGGATTTTGTTTTGGCTAGAAGTCCAGCCCTTGCAGTAGGGAGCAGGATGAGTGTCAGAGTAATCTCCAGAGGATCCGTTTGCCTACCCTCAGGCTCCTAGTCTTCGGACTTCGGGAGAGGATTTTGTTGAGTAGTCTTTACGAGGCATCATGCACAGAAGTGAGGGAACGGCTCCCCACGCTCCTCATGAATTGGATTCGTGCTTGAATTGCTTTCCCGCCTCCTCATTATAAAGACCAACTTAAACACAGGCTATGTGACAAGTACAGTTGGTCAAATGCACAAGGTAGTAGATTGTGTCTCTTCTCATTCGGGCGACTTTTTCGGCGCTCCGCTTAACTCGAACCCCATGATACCCGTCACAGAGCGTTTGATGCTGCAAGGAACCACCAACAAGCCACCATTCATTAGCACCTTTGAGACTGAAGGAATGCACTTGGACTTCTCGACAGTTCCCATGGGACTGGAGAACCTCCGATGAGCATCAATTGTGTCCATTACGGAGCCTTGGAGCGTTGGCCTTAAACAGTATTGTATGGATGAGGGTTAGCGCAGTGTCATCGTCGACCTCTATGCGCAAATTTCGGTAAGCAAAACTCCAAAGTGCGAGTTTTCCATTGGGATCACAGAGCTGTGCTTTGAACTGAATTTGGACGTCGTTTTCAACCCTCCTATCAGGGAGAAGTTGGAGGTGTTCTTGCTCGGTGCACATGTCTCATAATTTTGGCATAAAGGTTGGAGAGGAGGAGAGAAGCAGTTTTCTGCTGTTATTAGCGAAACGTCCCTAGGTCTCCCATTCGGTAGAGGTAGGCACTACGTGAGGTTGAAAACGTGCTATCAAGGAGGAGAAGGAGGAGAAGGAGAAGGAGGGAACGAAGGTCAGTTCACGTGGCCACGTCAGCAGCACGTCTATCGAATCACACAAGCATGCAACTCTCCATCGTCCATCCCCAAAAGGCGCGACTGTCATCGCCCGAAGGATCGGGACAAGACAATTTCAGTTCCAACTTCAACTCCTCCAAACCAGCGTTTTGGTACTAAATATGCCTAATTGTGACTTTTAAAAGTGGAATTTTTTGGTATTCTGCCTCTTAGTTTCACAGTTAGTAGACATGTTCCACTAAATACCGGTGGTAATGACATGGATGAAACCTTCTTCCTTCCTGAAACGTGCTTATTAAAGTCTTTTTAACCCCCGAAGCCCTTTGAGTACCCCATTAGAAGGAATGTTTGTCAGGAAGAGTTCTGCAGGGTGTCCGTGTCTTGCTTGAACAAGCTCCTGGATCGGATCACTTGAAATCCAATGGAATGAGATGTTCGGAGCAGATAAGGCTGGTATTACTTTACTGAGACGATTTTATTTTCTCTTTTGATGGTCAAATGTGGATCATCCTCGAATCCCTTCCATCCAAGTGATTGGACGGGAGCGGTTCTACAGGCGTATGCTTTTTGGAATCCCTTCCCACAGCGCCCTTCAGTGACTTTAATTACCAAGTTGAAGTAGGGCTTGAAGTAGTGGTGACATGTGCGTTAGCAGTAGACACCTTCGAGGATCAAATGCTCCCCACTTCTGTGGATGAACTCTTTGGAAAAGCAAAACAACATTTTAGTTTGTGACAACTTAAGTGAAGTCCTTGTGTCGGCGCAACGAACTGTGCGCACTTTTTTGTTGAATCACATTTGGAGCAAAGTGGGTAAGGGGAAAAAAATATTGTTGCAAAATTTTCTGCGGCTAAGAGTTGGTAAATAAGCATGTTTTCTGCACTCTTTGGCATGGTCCTCCTTTCACCTGAGACCTCTTCAACTCCGCGTTTTTTCTACTATGCAAAGAATGGAGTTGTGCGGAGGCTTGATTGCAATGATTTAGTGGTCTTGACCCCTTTGACCTCTTACACAAATGAATATGATTTGCCGATTATAGCCTTATCAAGGGGTGCATCTTAGGTGCCGACTGTCGTTTCTTTCACGGACGGCCTAACAGCGCCTCAGGGCTTTCGCTGTTGGCATTCCATTGTTAAGGCAACAATCATGTCGGTGGTTGTGGCCCTGCACTCTCCGTCACCCAAACTCCTCCACTTGGGCGCCTCGGCGGGATAGTTTGCTTAAAGCGGTTTCATTCCACCTCCATAAGACTGTGAGTCAGACCAACCAGCAGAGGAGGAAGTAGGAAAATACGTCTACTGCAGTAGAGGGGAGGCGTCCGAGCCCTCCTCCACCACAAAGTTGGTGCCAAATGTCTGCGCCTCACCTACAGAGGACTTTTAATCCCTCAAACTGCAATTGTGTCTGTTTCTCAAGTATTTGCTCTTCACTCATCACGAGGCGCATGGAGGAGGTTCTGTGGGTGTGTTGGACAAGCAAACCCTTCCCCGCTTTGCGTCCCTTTTCTCATCAAAGCACGCGATTAGCTGCATTCGGCTAAGAACCCTCCTTCTTCTTCTTCTTCTTCTTCTTCTTCTTCTTCCTTTTCCTGAGGTTGTTTAAAGTTGGATTTTGACTGCGTTTCTTTATGCGGCGAATCGAGGAGTTGCCAATCTGGGTGAGGATGGAAGGGGAGTGCAGATGTGAGTGCTGTGGTGCCAGCGGATCAGTCACTCGCTTCGCTAAACACCCAATCTCCATTCCAGCTACATCAAGCCGATCGTACCAGTAAATACATTAAAATTAACATTTTTAGGCTTTAGCGAAACCTAACCAAATTACAGTTGTCGTCATTAGTAAAAAATATCAGTTCTTCAACTCATCTTTCACATATGGATGTCTTTCTTAGTCAATTAGAAGTGATCGAAAGGGGGGACATTCGTAACCAATGCCCAAATTCCCTTTTTTTTGCCAATCTCCTTCCATTCCAAATGCATCTTTGACGATCACATAAGTTTGTGCTGTTGTTGGAGAGAGGATATCAAAAAAGGGAAAGAATTTGCAAGAATTTCCCCATAAGGCATCACTACTTCTTACTGTTACATACCTGCTTTCCTTGAATTCAGTCCTTTCATTCACCCAAAGCCTCTCTTAACCTCTGTTTTGCATTAACCTCATGCCTTCATCATTCCTCGTAGACGACATGACAACAGGAGCCTATGCCAGACCTTCGATTGCACTGATGAATGCTGCTCCTGTGCCACCGCCCCATTTGCGCTCGTGTCGCCAACAACAGCCAAACATGCAAGCACCTCAACATCACCAACTATCTGGATGGCCCTCCACTCCCATGACCTTTGATCCCAGTCAATGGCAACCTCTACTGCCACAGAGACTTCAAATTTCGCCCACTCCCGCTTGGTATCCCACACCACAAACAACACAATCCATCTACACCCCACCGATGCTCTTCGCCACCCAACAGGCCACCTTCGATCGAAATCAACCACAGCCTCCGCTCTACCAGCCAGCTTTTGTCCTCTCCCCTCAGGGCATTCTGGTGCCAGCTCAAGCACCCTACTTTGTTCCAGTGATGCAACATCCTCACTTTCAACCAAATTTATCCCAAGTTCCCAGTAAGGATGTGCTTTATGCAACTTTTACCAGTTGGATCGTGGGAAATGGAGATTATTAACCTACTACAAATGGGAATCGCTGATGCTACAACACATCAACCATCCAAACTGCTTTACAACTGTCTGTAGCTGTTAGCTTTTTTGTTAATCACGAGGTAGTAGATCCAAAAGCCCACTCGACTGGTGGACAATGCTTGGCATGCATGAATTGACAGAAGGAGTTACTTCCCTTTTTAGGTGAAATTCCATCGTCTGATGTGTTGGTGAGCCAAGCCTGTGTGTCAGCCACGACAAAAGTCTCCGCCTCGATGGAAAACACATCATCAGCCACCACGCATTCCCATAGACTACCAAATTTTCCAATAGCAGAAGAAGTTGGTTCAGTATCCCACCAAAACATGGAGGCACCGGCCAATCTCACCTTCTCTGGTGTCTCAATTGCTTCACCAATTGTGAGTGAGTGTGCTGCAATGCCATATCACTACAGTGCTGCAACACCAACACTGCAGGAGGATACTCAGAAGACCACTTCAGATCGCCCCACCATCCAGTTGATAGTAAACACAAAATTAGGTGAAGATGTGATCAACTTAAATGAGGTAACGGACTCGGAATACGAGTCTTCGGTGTGGGTGAGTAGACGCCAAGTGACTGTGTTTACAGAAGCTGCAGTAGAACGTGGAAGTAAGTCAAAGAAGGGGGCAAAAGCTAGACAATCAACCTCTCCAGAGCGTCAACATCATGGATCCAGGGTTAAGGCGGCAATTCAGGGCGCATGGAAGGGAGCTCGACGAAAGAAGACCACAACAATACCGGGAATTTTAGGTGTTTCAACTATTCCTGTGAAGGATAAGAAGGTGGAGAAGTCACAGGCTCAACAATCGCAGCATCAGGAGTCACAATCACATGCTGAGACGCATATATGAGTTTGTCCTTCTGTTCTGCTTTGTGTTCCTTTCTTTTCAGCCCCTCCTCCTCCTCCTCCTTTTCCCCTTATTCTCCCTCGACTCCTCCCATTCTATCCTTCCTTACAGAGCTGTTGCACTTGTTGTCTTGTGTATAGAGCACAATTGTCAGAATTTGTAGAGGATTGGCCTTCACAAGAGAGAGCAAAGCACTTCTAAGACCCTAGTGATCATGTACTATAAAGCTTTATATTGAAAGTGATTTATCAAGTGCATTATTTGTTCAAAAACTAACAATAATGCAAAAGATTTGAAGGAAATAAAGGGGCTATAGAGGAGCCTTCTTGTAGACGTGGATGCACGGCGCTACTCGCATACAGAGACCCTTGAAGGAGGCGGAGGTTGACAATGTCTGGTTGTCATTGGCATTGGAAGTGCAGACGACAGGACTGTCCTTTGACTGAATAGGTGATTGGGAAAGCACAAAGGAGAAGGGATTATCGTGGATTTACAATCCTTCCACCTTGTGGTGAAAGTACGAGCCGTGCTGGAGCAATTTTAATTGAGAGTTCACATGAAGTTGAATGTTAAATGAGTTGATGTGGGAGGGAGGTTTGTCCCTCGCCTGGTCCACAATCCAGCCAATGGGGTGGAGAGAAAGATGGAAACCATCATGACTGTTTGGCACACAGGTAATCCTACCAACTGGGTACTGCATTGTCTCTCAATTCACTTGATTGATGTCCTTGGGGCTTCCCTCGATGTCAGTCATCGGCCCTGAAGAGGCCGGTTTAAGTACTAGAATTTTGAGGGGCGGGAATTTCCGCCAATCTTGATTTTGTGCCTAGTGCCAGCGACTAATCGACTGGGTTGCCAACAGCAAACCAGTGGAATCGCAATGATTTTTAACCCTTCTGTTGGGAAAAGTTGAAGGCGCGTGAGTTACACCACAGAAGTTGGTCACAATGGGTGGAGAGCAGGAGAGAGAGAAAAGCAGAGGCGGTATTAAAGTTAGGCTGACTTTCCGCAGCCATAACTCGGTCCAAAGACTAATTCTCCCAATCATAGGCAAGAGAAATGCCGCAGTGACCGCCACTCCTTTAGGTGGTCAAAGCTGATCAAGCAGTAGAAGGAACAGAGAGGCCACCAACTCGTGGAAACGGCAACACTTCTTGCCACAGCCAACAAACAAAGTACGCCAACATCATCGAATACGTCACACGAGAAAGAACAGAACTCGACTGGACCGTTACCATTTGTATTTGAACTTTCTGACGGGTACACCTTGCTTTTTACTGTGCGGTGCAATGAATAAAGGCATTTCGACTGCCCTAACAATTGGAGGAAAAGGAGTGCTATGAGGAGTGACGCAGCATATTTAATGATCCTTTCATGTGCCCACATTCTGGAGCCTCTCACATTTTGCCTGTAACGCCTGTGGATGGTGGGTGACATGAGGCTGGAATAAAAGCTTAAAGGTTTTGGTAAAGAGAAGAGGGGAGGTGGGACTTTGTCTTGACTCGTGAGACATTGCCTGCCAAAGTGAAGAACAAATTAAAACATCACAATAAGTGGCAGTCAAATAAAAAAGGTTTTACAGTGCTTCTCTCTTCCTTCAACCGATACCCTCGACGTGCTCATCCCTACGCCTCACACACCATCACGTTTGGTGCCGCGTGAGAGCCCACACGAGACAGCTGCGCCACTCATCGACTCGCGGAGGACTGAGAACTCCTTCTCCGTCCACCGACTAGCTCCTCTAAGACTGGATCTGACGTAGCGCTGGGTCCGAACAACAGAAATCGGGGGACGGAACTTCTTTTTACTGTCAATTTTGTCCACGCATAGACGTTGGAACGATGGTTCAAAGTAGATGCGTTACAGGTAAACGTGGATCAAATACTGTGCCCTGCTAAATGGAATGTGTCATCACCGACACATGCAAACAAATGCGATAAAGATAAATTCGAAATGCTCCACAATTATGTCGTCTGACAACCGCACGCCAAACGTAGACATCATTTTCAACCCTTTTGCTGTGGAAGGGTTAGACAAATTTCTTTTCTGACGCATGTGCTCTGCATTTTACGCCTCACAAATTTGTCACAATGGGCAGAGAGCAGAATAAAAGGGGAACGTAAGTCGGATTGACCTTCTGCTGCCACCAGTGCAAAGTTCCGACACTTCCCATCAGGTGGTGGAAGGTCATCAATAAGAACGGAAGGAGGTTGGACTTTAGACTGGACCCTCAGGGTGTGACTAATCGGTCTGGAAGAAGATAAATAATTAAGTAACCATTCAGAAAGTCGTATAAACAAAGCATTGCGCTACTACTCACTTCCCTCTCTCCAAAATGGGTCATAAATACACTGAGGTGAGGCAAAAATGAAGGAAAAGGCCGCGAATTCCCGGCACCAGGACCACTTCTTGCCCTTAGGCAAGTAAAGGTACGTCAGCTTAGTCGAAGCGATCAACATCGAAGGCAGTTGTGCTTGCACATTGCCATTTTGATTGACGGAGACGCATTAGTTTATGTAAGCGCACATTCATGGCAGCTGGAAAGACGAATGACTGTTTGTTAAAAAGTTTTTTTCAAAGTGCAACAAATGTCTTGCCATGGTAACTCAGTCAGTAAAGGAGGTAGTGTGAAATGGTGTGGAGTAAAGAGTTACACCTTTCGAACAGTCGTTTGCATTGTAGCCTCTTCCTCGCCATCTTGCAAATGCATCCAAACTGCTTCTATAAGACAACTGTTTGCTTTATGTGGCGTTTGCTAGTCGCTGGGCATAGATTTTGAATAGTAAAAGAGGAACAGGGCGAGGATGACGCCTACGACTGTCCGGCAGCTGCGTTTTCTCCCTCCTCCTTGCTTCGTCTATGACCTACAAGACATGTAAACGACCCTATGTGGGTGTGTTGCATTGCTCCTCTTCTCCTTTGAGCGTTGTCTGCCTTAAAAGTTCCTGCTGGATTGTCAGACTGTTCTCTTTTCACTGCCAACGCGTAGACCACGTTCTTGCACCTGATTGGGTGGAAGTGCGTCAGTGCTTCCAGTGGTGTAGCCCCTCCAGTGCTATTGTCTTAGCTCCTCTCAGACTTCCTCGAAAGGCTGTGTGTCTGCGTGGGGTGTATTTAGCGCGTGGCACAGGCCTTGCTTGGCACTGCGGAAACAAAGCGCGGCGGGTGGTCTCCAAAGTGAGACGTAAGCAGCTTTGGCTGGTTTCTAATTATGTCCCATCTCTGACCTTCTAGACGCAAATAAAACATCTAAACATGCATTACAGCCTACCCGTCTTGCAACGGAAATGTTTGTCCACCCCAACGTGTCGAATCCTCATTAACGAGTAGGATAAAAAGGGGATTTGTCTAGAAACCCTCCCTTTACCGTTACGTTATTTTATTTTCTACAACCATCTAAGCAAAATATTTAAGGTCTGGATCCTTATTCACTGCTTGTTAAAAAACACTTAAGAAATATTCAGTCCTACGGATCTGTTACTGCGTTGCGATAGTCGGGAGATTGTCGGGAGCAGTCTTGCTCGGAATCCGGTAGACAAGAGATCAGTGGGATTGAATTCTAAATTTTAGGTCTATTAAATGCAAAAACCCATCTTTTTGCCACTTGGAAAGGATTCCTGGGAAAAATGCAGTCGTGCTCCACATCTATGAGGGATTTTTTTAACTTTCTTATTAATCCAACAGCTTAAAAGCAAAATCTTAAAAATGCATTCAAACTGGCATGGAAAGAAATCGAGAGTATTTCACCCAAGCCAGAGTGTTGTAAAATGCGAGATGTTAAATGAACAGCCGAGGGACAGGAACGCGGAAATGAGAGACCCTTCCCGCGAGGCAGTCATCTCGTGCACTTTACTTTAGTCAAAGTGACACCTCCGATTTGTGCCGACTGATCACCAGAAGTAGACATTTCTTTCCCTTGAGAGGTGTCCATGCAAATTCAAATCCAAAACCCAAAAAAATCAAGAAAGCGTGTTTTCACAATGGTCTTGTGCGTTGGCAACGTAAAAATATCGTGTCAGTCTCCTAGTGTCGGCACGAAACTGGTTTACGGAGCTTTAGGAAACGTGCCGACCCCAAGGACAGAATGCTTTTTAACTACTCCTGATCACCTTAAGTCCGCCAGTCATGTCTTTGCCATTAGGTGGTGCCCTCCTCACAACAAGAGTCTTTTAAACCAAAGTTTTTGTCTTTTGCAGTCGGTAGTAGATTCTCAGTACCGAAGGATAGGTGTGACAACAAAGAGCGCTTGAAGCGACCCTCGAAGGGAAACAAGGCGACCAAAATGAGATGCACCACCCTCCTCGATGTGCATACATTCATCTCTCGCCCTCAAAAGCCAGTCATTTTACAATTTATACGGTTTTTTAGTAATCATTTGTGTTTTTTACAGCTGCTGTATTCGTACACACACATTTGAGTTCATTAGGTCGCAATAAACCAGGCTATGGCAGAGACCTCACAAAGTGTGACACACTTTTAAATCGCCTAATTAATTATTTTTTTAGTCACCTGGTTTACTTTATTTGTGCATTTTTAAATGAGTCAAAATATCACCAAACAAAAGCGAAAACGTAGTCAGTAAATCAAATGCAGGTCACAAAACTTTAATCAAACAAACATGCATTAGGCGATCACTTTATCAGCAAACCAGTCAACCGTGGCGAATGTGAGGTTTGGTTTGCTAAAATTTTTGTTCTCTTCTACTCCTGAAGTTGAGTTTCTGGTCTTTGTTGTGGCTCCTCTCTTTCCACTTCTCCGTCATCCGCTGGAGTAACTGCAATAGTTGATCGTCTAGCCAGTCCTGTTGTATTTTCCAAGAAGAGAAGTAAAACCAATTGCAACACCATAATGAGGGTATACACGAGCAAGGGTAGACCATGCATTACTTCCCTGTCGAGACGATTAATAAGGGGAAACCACAAGGCTCCCAGTCTAGCCATCCCAGCCGCCAGTCCGAATCCCCTGTTTCGGTAGATCGGTTTGTACAACTCTGGCACGTATATAAAGAGCATTCGCTGTGCAGCTGAGAGAAAAAGGATGATTATATTACTGTACACATTCAAGATGGTATCCGTAGGTGGATGGAAATGCATTGTGTGGAAGGCGGCCACTGCACCCATGATCACCACAATCACGTAGATCACCAAAAGTGGCAGTTTGCGTGAATTGCAGAAACGGTAGAGTGCAGCGGCTAGAAGGCATCCTGGAATTTGTGCAATCGAATTTACAATTGTAACAAAGGAGACGTGCAATTTTATGTTGCTGGCAAAAAATACCATTCCAAAAATGCAGGTTATTTGACAGGTGAGAATTGAGGTTGAGAGGAGGGTAATTTTAATTAGGTGGGACTTGAAGAGCTGCCAAATGGCGAATTCATTGGCACCGTCGCTGGAAGAGTAAATTGTTCGTAGACGTATGTTTCGAAGAATTACATCTTGTCGTCCATTGGGACCTAAGCCTACATGTTGAAGGAATTCTTCAGTGGTCATGAGACCTGATGGTTGGGGCTTGCGAAATCGTGAATTAAAACGATACGCGGTGTAGAGGATTTGAGCCGCCTCCTCTGCCCTCCCACATGCCGCTAGCCATCTGGGCGACTCGGGAATTAGCCAAATGTGCAAAATGACAAGGAAGTTTGGAAGACTGTTGAAGATTATGAACAGCCTCCAATTTGTCACGTGGATGGCCAAGAATCCGAGAACACAGCCTTGCAGAATGATTTGCAGAACCATGCCAATGGCAGACAAGGTGGATCGACACTTGGCAGTGGTTATTTCGGCTGCCAAAACGACGTAGGCTGAACCTCGGGCTGTCGCAAATGTGGCTAGCACAACCCTTCCAACCACGTAGATCCAGTGGCTTGAACTTAGAGCTGTGGCCACACCGGCTAATATCTCACCACAACCAGAAATGACCATGGCTTTGCGCCTTCCAGCTCGATCACTTAACCACCCACCGAATATAAATCCAACCATCATACCGACCATGTACGCACTCTCGTTGAAGGGTAGCTGCCAAGCCTTGTCACAAACTAACTCCCATTGTTGAACAATCCCACCTTTGTACTGCACCTTCGAGTATTCAAAAACGTAACCATTGAAACAGGTGTAGTTTGCAGCGGTAGCAGAGTCGCGAGCACTTTTGTAGAATTCGAAGAGGGCTGATGTAGTGAGGTTGGATGGTGCTCTACCGGCATATCTTCGGCACTGTCGAAAGTGATGGTCCATCTCATCCACAGGCCCTAAAAATCGGGCCACATGAGTGAAATTCCATTGTTGAAACTGCGCCTCCAATGCTAAATCGGCACGACAACGATGACGTGGAACAGAGTTGAAGAACACGGAGATGATCATATTGTTGGAGAAGGAGAGTGAGATGAGGAGGATAATGAAGACTTGCCATGCACCCAAGCCACCGATAAGAGTTTCAAAAATTTGGTCTATCTGGGTACCATACATTGGTGCTCACAAGGCGGACCAAACCTCGCCATGCCAGGAAGGCATGCACCTTTCACGTGTTGAAGCATCGATTGTGGCGTGTGGTCTGGACGCTGGGCGTCGCAGGTGAATTGTGTCACGTCTCCGCGTGGCACGTGGCAAGGCGATAGGAATGGGCTTCTGTGTTAGTCGAAGGCGGCTGGAGAAACGTTCAAACTGTTTATGTTGAATTGAGCGACCCAGATGGTATTGTTGTCCCTTCCAGAGACTTTCCAATTGGAAGGCGAAGGTGTTATGCAGATTCGAATGCTTGTAGGCGGGGCGAAGGGGAAGACGTGAGGCTTTGACGTGGTCCACAAGTCTGCTTATTAAGTTGAGAACAAGGTGATTAACAGAGTAATCGCTGGGTGTACAAAAAGGTCGAATTGACGCATCCCTTTGCACACCTCTCGCGCCATCCATCAAAAAAGACAAATATATGCATATATTCGGCCTGAACACCAGAAATTGGTGGTGGAAACTTCTCCGGACCCAGTGCAATGCCACCACCAACATCGATACGCGGCTATGGTAAAAGCAATTCGGAAGCAAAAACTCTTCCCTCGGGTTCACAATGGTGTTGCCTCAGTTGTTAACAATGGAAGGTGGAGGTGAGCGAATGCCAAACTCCTCCGCTTGTCCACGTGCAGATGTGCTTCCTTTTTGCACCACAGAAGTTTGCCACAAAAAGCAGAGGCTAGGCTACAAGTGATGGCGTCTGGAGACTTTCCAGTCGGTAGACGACGGTAGTATTAGGCTGGAAGAGGGATTGGACTTCGCTACGCCCCGACATTCATCCCGCGCGGTTAAAAGCAAAATGACTGCCCAACTGACCACCAACCATGCGGTATTACATTTGTAGTGATTTGTTCAACGTTGGTGATAGCGATGAGAGTTTCGTGGGTTTCCTATGAAATGTACTGACCTGAGTCGCGGTGCTTCTAACAATGGAAATGGCGAGACCTTTTAATGTCTCAAGACCTAATGCAAGGAATTGCGGCCATGCCTTTGAAGAGCCAGAGATGATTACGACCATTCAAATTAAAAGAAAACTTAAATTTTCGCTATATAAAAGTTACTATTAGTAAAATAGCTCACTTAACATTATGAGCTGTTTGGTGAAAATCTTGTTTAATTAATCACCTGTACGATTGGCGGTCATTTTGGTGTCCCCTTGCTCTTGGTTGCATGGACGGCTCTGATGGCTACGCAAAGATCGAAACTCTTCTTTGGTGAGTATTTAGCCTCACTTCAGCCATCCAGCCGGTGGCAAACAATGCGGCGGCGTCAAGAGACGTGTTCTTAGGCGGTGGACATGGAATGCAAAACCCACTGAGCAAGTCCAAATGTTAAGTAGACTTGGGGTCCTGTCAATTAAATGTGCAACAAAGTCACAGGCTTTCTGGCTGAAGAATGAGGTGGTCGTAGACTTTTGAGGTGTCACTTATTTTAAAAAATAAATGGGATTAAAATGTGGTTCTATGTTTGCTACTAGAATCTCATCATACTGCCCTCGAAGTTGAGGGACTCCATTTTCGGACTGTTGCGGCAAGAATTTTCATACACATCTTAAGAGCAGCATCGACGTCGAGTACAGATGCGATCAGCATCAGTGCTCCGTTCGGCGTTTGATATCATAAGTAATGTACTCCTTTTCTATTATTTGCGTTGAAGGTCTGCGATGCTTGTGCGCGACCAAGGAGTTAAATTAAAGGCTGCAATCGAGCGAGTGGATCGTGTGATGGGATGACCACCGGTTCCAGTGGCTATCATCTCCGTGATTACATAGCCTCTGCTCAGTGGCGTCTATCATTGTCATCTACTCCAACGTCGTGTTTATTTGGTAAGAAATCAGTAACTAAAGGTATGTCTACCTTGAAAACTAACATGAACGACCTAAAGAGTTTTTGTTTCGAAGTTTCTTCATCATAACCACTTGCTGATCTTGTTAATGTGGCTTTGTTCAAGATCCAATTTGCTGGGACCTGCCGAATCCTGTATTCTCTTAAAAATTTGTTTTAAATAAGTGTATTACCCCTTAACACCAAGTCCCAAATATTCCTGTAACTTCCCGAGACTTCCCACAGGGTGAAAGAAGGCAGTAATTTAATCTAGATACGCGTATTCCAAAGAGGACAAAGCAACTGCGCTTGAACATGGCCCGAAGGCCAGTCCACACAAACAAGGGCCAGATAAATACCAAAGTGAAGGCTAATCGTCAGGTAATCACAAAAACGAAGCATTAAAAGTCTCTACAGAATCTCCTCTTCTCAGTTCAAACAAAGCCTAGATACATTTGAAGGTAGTAAGAGGTATCGGCGGTATTGGGGTTCAGAGTTTCGTCTCGCTCACATAAAAGCCGATGATAGGCTAGCATCGGAAACTTAGCTACAAGGAAGGGAAGAGCTCCGTCATACCCTCTCTGCTTAATATCCAGGCCATGCCACTAGGTTGCATCATTTACTCTATCACCCTTATACATGTGCACGACCCAAATTCTATCCTCTCTTTTATCTAAAAGACACCTCCTAATACCGACAATAGGCTCTATTATGTTCACATATTATATCTTAAAGGATAATGATACAAAATTGGTATGTGTAATAATTTGATTATGTGACTATCTGACGTTCAGTGGACACTTCGAGCCTTGATCAGGGCCATTTGTGTTGTCCTATTTGGAATACATGATTCGAATATCCCATACTGCCTTCTTTTACCAAGTGGAAGTCTCGCGACGCGACAGTATGATTAAAAATAAATTGCCATAAATTTAATGCTGACATCCATGAAGTTCCACATAGGTAATGAATACAGGGCTAAGAAGTTCATTTATTCGGACAAACAAAAGTGTACTGAGAGGCAACTTAGCATTTACTACATTTGATGAAATGATTACTTTTATTTAGCCTAAATCAATATGGCATAACCAATATATGTTTGCGCGACCTATTATACTAAAATTAGATTCTAATAAGACATAACAATATATGTGTCAGTTAAAGGCTTTAATGATACAATTTAATTCAGTAATTAAAAATTTTAAATTTGGCATTGCGTTTGCCTTGATTTAGACAAATGGTATTGTGCTTGTTTAGTCAACTTAAATTATCGTTCTATGATTGTGCGGGGAACTCTAATTGACTGGTATGCTGTTTTGAGTGTGGTAGGGTGGGTTCTGCATGATGTGCTTTCTTAAAAATATTAATTTATAGAATGCTTGAATGCTTGTAGATGTTAGACTATTGCGGCTTCTTGCTGTCCTGTTCTCCTACAAAATATAACTAGGTTCATTACGTCGAATCATTCCTTTGTAACACTGTTTCAGTGTTCTGATTTGTCATCTTTTTTCTGGATTCTTACTTTTTTAGTATCAGATAACTTTGAGGTCTTACAAGTCGTATACTCCTAGATTAACTGCAATTTTTTTACTTTTCAGGTATTTGTCGTTCACATTTTTACCGTCTGAGTATGCCGCGAGACCTGATAACCCTACAGCTTGGGCAATGTGGGAATCAAAGTAATCTAAACGCCTCCTTATTAGCTTTTTCATGGATCTGATCATTACCTACTATCCCTTTGAAACTTTAGTTGGGATGGAGTTCTGGAAACAGCTCTGCACAGAACATGGTATTAATCCTGAGGGTACTCTGGAAGAATTCGCTACTAATGGAACAGACCGCAAAGATGTTTTCTTTTACCAGGTTAGACGATTTGTTTAAGCAGCTGGGAGACTGTCGGTCTCCACTGTTGGGATGTTCTATCCTTTTATTGTTCTACAAAATCGTGCTGTTGGAATTGTTTTTACAACTTTATATCTATGGAATTTAATGTCACCTGTTTTCCGACCAAATTAGTAGTCAGCCTTATGGGTGTATTCCAAATCTCTTCAAAGTGCTGCGCTTTTCATTTAGGCCGATGACGCCCACTACATTCCACGAGCAGTTCTTGTTGATCTTGAGCCACGAGTAATCAATACTATTCTCAGTTCTCCCTATGCTCGCCTCTACAACCCAGAAAATGTTTATATGTCAAAAAACGGGGGAGGGGCTGGTAACAACTGGGCCGCCGGCTATACACAGGCTGAAAAACTGCAAGAGGAAATCTTCGACATCATCGATCGTGAGGCTGAAGGCAGCGACAGTCTTGAGGTGCCTATCACTTATTTCGAAAATTTGTAACTGGTTCCGCTTTGTCGTTACAGGGTTTTATAATGACTCATTCAATCGCCGGCGGTACTGGATCTGGCATGGGTTCGTTTATGCTTGAGCATCTCAATTCCCATTTTCCCAAAAAACTCATCCAGACGTACTCTGTGTTCCCGAATCTTGAGGATACCAGTGATGTAGTAGTACAGCCCTACAACTCCTTGCTCACCCTGAAGAGGCTTACACTGAATGCAGATTGTGTGGTGAGTCATTCGCTCCATTTTTTATGATGTAGTCGATCATTCTCACGAGAAGATTCTGCTAATTGTGACATACCTATTGTTCATGAACATCGTTTTCTACTTCCAAGCTCTCTTTTTGGTAACGTGATTTGAAACACGGAGGCGGCATTGGATTTTGGTTGCTTTGATATTTCCCATCCACAAGCAAACTAATTGTGAATCCTTAATTATAAGGTTGTGATAAACTTCCATTCTTCTGATCAATTGGGTTTGCCTCTCGAAAGAGCCCGATAACATTCTTTTGTAATCATTCCAGTTGGAGTAATCATGAGTTTCTTGCTACTTACTGATTGTAAGGTGGTTCTGGATAACACGGCCTTGCATCGAATAGCCACAGATCGTCTTCGTTTGGAGAATCCTTCTTTTGCTCAAATCAACCAACTGGTGAGTCTGCCCAGTACTTTTTTTCCTTGTGTGTCCGAAATTTGTCAGAATTTCATGAACCTCTAACTCAAATCATTCTTTTTCGGCAGTTTATCGCAGCTCACAGATTTTTTGCCGCTTAGGCTCAAGTTAAACGTTTCTGTTTGAGCAAACTTATTTGAAGTTGCAGAAAGACATACCCGTTTGAATAGTTACTTATGTTATAGGAATTGGTTCACTATTGTGGCAAATGTTCTTCCCGCCCCAGTATTTGCGCAGCTTCGTAACTTTGCCGTCTCCCAAACGGTAGAGGGTGACTTGAAATATAATCCAAGGCGTATAAGCGAAGATCGTGCCAAAGTTTTCCTTTACCGAAAAGAATAATGATCTTTGTTTACTATGCTCTCTGTTTGACGGTTGAAGACTGGCTCAGTGATGGAATGTCTTGGTTTCGACGCCAAGCAAATGACTATATCCTTTTTACTTCCAAATTAAGTCACTTCGTTATCGAAAAGTACTTAGTTTTTGTGTGTCATTATCATGGATGGACCCCGTACGAAATATTTAAGAATATACATAAGGAAGAGCAATGTAAAGTATGAGAGACCGGAACATCTTCTCACAGCGAAATCCGCCTTTGTGAAAACTTTATTCCCTTACTCTCATCCATATTCCTCTGAGAATTTATTCCTGTACTATCACCTTACTTAATTCCACAATTGGCTATAAGGTCAGATGTGCATTCGAAAACGAAGTAGAAACCGCGACAACCACTAAATGTCTTTTCTCTAAAACGATTAAAACACCACAAGCATGAATGCGCTGTGTGATGCAAACTATTCAGAAAACTCCTTCTCCTGCTTCTTTCTATAAACCCTTGGAATTTCTTTTTAGTGCCACCCTTTTTTGCCTCCATTCAGCTATCTTCGCACCTGTTTCTTTCTATTCCATTAAGTTATTATTCGTGACACAACTTGAAGTTGATTATGCAAACGCTCAGCCACACACTGTGAGTGCATTTCCTGCTGAGTTTTCCTGAATTGCCTCTACGATGAATGTAGGAATGGGTTAGGACGTTTGTGCATGTAACATCGTTTGTGTAACTTCTGTCCCAGCCGAATAGAGGCCCTAGTAAGGCCGTAGTCTACCTGAGAGGTGTGCGTACTTGAAACGCCATATCGCTTTGACATTGAAGCACTGCATCAATGGTTGCGGTGAGTGTAATTTACGCAAAACTACAGGTGACTAGTACGTGTGGCTTATGAAAAGGGTCGTGACTGCCTGTCAGGATTGGTAACATGTCCTTTCCCTCAGCATGATCGTTCTGCGGCTTTGCATTCAAATGATAGTGTATCAGGCATCACAATTGGCATAGAAACTGCCATACTTTTGTGTTCTGCTTTAAGCTATGCTTTTTTTTTGGATTTCCTCCCTCCGTCATCCGATGTAGTAACGCCTAATTGGACTTTAACCGTTTCACGACGAGGAGTACGGCGTGCTTTTTAACGCCAACAGAAAGCCTTCTTCGCCTTTAGCCATGGCGAGGGGACTTGCCGTAGCGTTTAAGGTCGAAGGATGCGCTGTAGTCAACTCCCTTATCGGTGCTATGGCGGTGTGGGAATAATTTATTATATCTCACAAAGTGATTGTTTCCCGGAGCAAGGTCACGTGGAATGGCAGTAGAACGAGCCGGATTTTAGGTTCACGCATCTACTGTGCTGAGTGTACACATCAGTACCTGATATGAGTTGGTAATCATTACAGCTGGCGGTGTCGTTGACGGGAGTAGCCTTTGCCTTGCGGATCAGCACTGTAGATTGGCGGTGTGCCCTGAACAGACCGACTTGAGATGCGTGTTGACAATAAATACGAATAATAACAAGACACGTGGTCATTGTTGCACTCCTGTTCCGAAAGTTCCCTCGTTTATGGTTTGAAAATTGTGCAGCGTTGAGCATTTCTTTTTTCCTTCCCTTTTACAGGTCTCCAGAGTAATGTCAGTGAGCACAGCAACTTTGCGTTACCCCAGCTACATGAATAATGATTTGATTGGTTTAATCTCACCATTGACCCCGACTCCACGATTACATTTCCTCATGACGGGTTATACACCACTGACAACGGAGAAAGAGGTGGCGGAGGTGCGTCGAACTACCGTTTGTGATGTGATGCGACGGCTGTTGCAACCGAAGAACATGATGGTGTCGACCTCTGTGCAACGCAATGTTGACCACTGCTATATTGCAATTCTAAACATCATCCAGGGTAGGTCGGTCTGATCCCCGCTATCTTACGTGAGGCTCATTCCATGAGCTAAAACTCAGAATCCCGTTGATATTGTCCATAGTTAGTTCTGGAAACGCCTTTTGAGTTTGCATATTGTGTTGTCTAGTCGTCTAGTTTCGACTAACCTGAGATAGCGTAGTATTTGCTACTGATCATTTTGATCGACAATTAATATTTGAAGGCTTTCCTCCTCAATCATGGCATGGGTTTTGTCCACCTTCTCCTGTTTTCTTATAGCTACTACCTCTTACCAACTGGTTTTCAATTTGCTTGAGTATTTTGTAGCACAATGAGGTGATATTCTTTGATAAGACTGTAGATGCGGTGCGACGATTCTACTCATTTCTGCTTTTTATTTTATCCCTACGAGTCTTACATCAGTACAAGTGGCACCACGCGTTCACCTTTGACGCGACAGTGAAAACGTCCATGGGATGGGGCCGATGGAAATGCATCTCAGCGGCACCGATGCACTGTTTCATTCAACCTCGGTGGTAATCTTAGCGTTGGGCGGTATTGGTGGAAGTAAATTGCCATCTAATCACTCCACTCAGCTTACATTCAAATGATGAACGTTTAACTTTCGCAGCGTGGGTCGAGATATGTATGAGTTCGGTTGTACTCGGGAACCGACGTGCTTCCGGCTTTTGGTATTCCTGTAGTCCATTCTTTTCAACTTGTGTTATCTAATTGTTGCCGATGCCTGATGGTTTTACGAGCTCAAGCATTAATTTACATATTTTGAATAAGTTTTTGGTCGGGAGCATTTGGATTCATACTCCCTCCTATTCGTAGCTAAAGTGATTCCACTTGCTTGATCGCCTTTTTAAAGTAAGTTTAGCATGCTTTAGAATTAATCTGTGTTCTGTCGTTGTAATCATGCGCTTCACGTTTGTTCGGCACTCTGTGCTTAATGGGACTGGATTTCTTATTCTTTGCAATTGTGGTCTGCCCATAAGATTAGTTCACTTAGCATTCTGTAATGGTATGTTCCAATTACCGTTTACAGGTGAAGTGGATCCGGCCGAAGTTCACAAATCGCTTCAACGCATTCGTGAACGTCACCTTGTCAAATTCATTCCTTGGAGTCCTTGTAGCATCCAAGTAGCCCTCTCCCGTCGATCACCCTACGTTCAAACAGCACATCGTGTCAGCGGATTAATGCTCGCTAATCACACTAGCATTTCCTCTGTATGTCATTTTCTTTGGTTATTCGCAACTTATCGCTTTCTGCATCGCATTGCAATCAATCTGCTTACCTCTAGCTATTCCTTCGCTCTCTAAACCAATACGACAGACTGCGAACGCGTGGGGCTTTCCTGGAGCAATTTCGCAAGGAAGAAGTATTTCGAGGCGATCCAGAGTTGCGCCAATTCTCTGAAAGTCGTCAGGTTGTCCAACACCTCATTGAAGAGCACTTGGCAGCAACCAAATCTGACTATGTTCAGTGGGGAGCGCAGAAGGCAGCAGCAGCAGCGGCCGCTGCCTCTGCAGCTCTGGCATCCTCGGCGTGATAAAATATTTGGATTAAAACAATGTTACTTTTCGTACTCAGGGTGATGGTTTGATTCTTCGTGAAGGGATTGGAGCTGTGCGTAGAGATCCTGTTGGGTTGGGGTTGCGCCTTGTCAGGTTGTTCAGTCTGGCGGACGTTTGGGTCACGCCCTCAGGCTCTCGATTGTTCGCATCCGCATCAGGTGGTGACGATAGTTCAAGATACATCCTCGTGACGCTGAGATGGGCTGGACGAATAGGGGGTTATCGCAGCGCGACAATACTGTGTAAATCTCCCAACCATGTCAAGTTGAATGAATTTAGAGGTCGCCGAAAACTAAGGGACTAAAACCTGTTTCTGAAGTATGACGAACGGCTGCTTGAAAGACGCGATCAAACGCTGTATTCATGAAGTCAAAACAATTCCAAGTGGATAGCTCCATTACAATATCCATTTTAAAATCCATGCGCAAGCCCAAAACACAAATAAACTGAAAACAGTATGAGCTGTAAAATATAAAACTTAAAAATAATCAAAAGCTTGTTTGCCATAGCGTAATACAATTCTTGGCTTGTTTTATTCTTTGGGCACATATGGCGAGTGCATAAAACTGCGTTGGTTTTCAGCTTATTGGCGCTAACTGCAACACGTGAATAGGTTCAGATATAGTCTTTGAAGGATGGCTGTGGCGTTGATTCTCTGTTGCCTTTCACTTCACGTCCTCAATGTTCATGCATGGGATCAATCTGAATTGGAGATGTTCGATCTTATGGAGGAAATGAGCACAAATTTTTATGAATTTCTGAACGTTCCTCCTGTTAATCTCATTTCATATTTTATGCCCTATTTTTATGTTAGACAGCGACTTCTCTCGAAATTAAACGGGCTTATCGGAAGTTATCGCTGGAAATGCACCCAGATAAAAACCCCAATGATGCAAATGCGGGTGTGAAGTTCCGTCAATTATCCGTTGTTTATCAAATATTAAAGGATGAAGAGAGAAGGCGACAGTAATCATGTTTCCATGGTCTTCGATTATATTTAGCTATGATGAGGCGTTGGAAAATGGTATTCCTGACTGGAGGACTCCTGTTTTCTACTACCGAAAACTGCGAAAAATGTCGAATGTAGAAGTCTCCGTCCTCTTCTCCGCTGTAGCTATCACCATTCACTTTGCTACACTCTGGGGTTTGGCGTTCGAGAGACGATGGACTTTGGTAGGACTACGAACTGTACATCTGATTTTTTGTTAGCGAGAACAGCTGGAAACTCACATGAAAAGACACAAAGCCTCGGACAAGAAGAAGGTGGCCATCGATTCAGAAATCGCGGAGCAACTGAAGGTGGTTAAGTGGCCTACTATTGTGGATTTGTTGCCAATTGCCCTGCTGCGGGCCGCCCTCAGCTTCATTTTGGGCATTCCTAACCTCCTTGGTTCGCTGAAGGGCATTCTCGTCGCTTCCTTCGAGAAGGCGAGGAGGGAGCGGGAGGAGCAAAGAGGTGCTTTTCAACCTGTGTGCTTCTCTACACCTCCATTACTTGTGGCATGTTAGTTTTGTACAGATGGGCAGTGTCGTTTGGATCACACCGTGTTTGCTTGCTTGGCTGTTTGTTTGTTTGTTTGTTTGTGTTGCAGTTCCAGTGAGTTGGTGAGAAAGGCATAGGTTGACTCGTCTGGAGAAAGTCGAAGCTTGGAGAATGTCTCGATGATCTTCCAGGACTTCTTGAATGTCCATTCAGTTCGGCAATGTGTGGAAGTTGAGGAGGAGGAGGAGGAGGAGGTTCGGAGATCCGCGAAACGTGTCTGCAGTGGTTGATTGGATGGAAAGTGGTGTAGGAGAAGTGAGGGTAGAATAACTAGACGAATGAGTTCGTCTGTGGGAGTGGGTTGTGTACTTGTGAATGGTTGAGACTCTGAGGCGTTTGCCTTGTTGTTTGAGAGAATAATGCTGGGAAGTTGAGGCCGTATGATTCCGTAGAATTGGACTTTTTCAGGCGCTTTTCTCAGGTATTGTTTTATCGGATTTGATCCATTGCATGTGGCATGTCATAGATAAGTCTTTCAGTCGCTTGGGATGGAAATTCTTGTGTGCTTTCTGAAATTTTTTATCCCATATTCTGCTCTTTAGAATTTCTCGTTCCTCACTTCAACATTGTCACTCACCAAAAAAGTGGTTACTCTTTCGTCAGCATTTCATAATTCGAGCTGCATTCCTCCTTGTAGTTTCCTTTCTCAATATGGTGTATTTTGCGTATCGCAAGATTTGGTTTCAAATTTTTAACGTCCGTTTTCCTTCTTACAATGAGCGATACTTTCCTACAATCTGTGATTTGTTGGTACTTCCGCGCACCACAGACTGACATTCTGCCTCCTCATAATTGTGATTTTCCCTCTCTTTTCTCATTGTCTTACGCCTTCCACCACACACTGTCGGTGGAGGGAGGCCGACGGAGGAAAGTCAAAACTGTTCGCGTTGACAGCCGAGCTTAACCGTCAATTGGGTGCTGACGGGAATGCGGATAATGCCGTATTGTTTGGACAGGGGTGAAGGCCGGATGGAAACTGTTGAGAGCGAAGGTTCCATTTGCCTCTGGTTCCGTCTCGAACTGAAACTTGGGTGTCCGTTTAATTTTTCCAAGTTTCTCCCCACTTTGACGACTTTGTCAGTCATTTATGCTTGTGTATATCCACGGACAACGGCGTTTAATTTTGCTAATGGAAGACTGTCGGTGAAGGCAAGTCGTAAGTGGGCTTTGGCTTGAGGGTTGTGAACGCGACACGAGGCATTTATTAGTTTTGCATTCACAGTAGTTGCCTTTATCGCCGTCTTTTCGATATGCTTGCGGCTGTGTGGTTTTCCATCAGGAATGCCAGTGGAAGGCGGTGGGGATCACTTGGGGTTTGAAGATGCAGCAAGGAGGAGTGTAAGTGATGCAAATGAGGATGTGGAAGTGGTTGTGTTTTGTCTTCTTAAATGCACTTTGGTGCCTTCGTGCGGCCACACTGAGTGTCGACCGATGCATTTTGGTGATACGCTGATGCGTAAAGATGGGACTCACTTCCACATATCACATGTTATCTGATTACGTGGAAGGAGTTGTTTTTCCACACAATCGCATTGCGTGGTGATCTGAAGATAGTTGTTTCATCGTAGGTAACTCTTATGCTGCATTGGTAGTGTTCTGGTGGAGAAATGCGTGTCTTTGGCGTCTTTGGGTCATTCGTGAGTGTTTTCTTCCCTACTAGAAGTCAGCTGGTGTGCAAATTTTCCATGTCACGCGGTACTTAGGCGTGATTCGCGACAGCAGTGGGAAGCATTTGCCTCTGTTGCTGGCGTATGCTTACGGTCCATCGGCTTTAAATGCAATCCAGCAAATTTGCAAGCAATTTTTTCTCAATGTTTTCAGTTGGGAATTTGGTAGAATGAAGCTATAGTAGGTTTGCTTTGCCTTTTGCATCAAATTCGCGGAGGTAGGAATGGTTTAATGCATAGGCACGTGAACTTATTGGACGTCTCTATTCCTCTTATAGAACTGAAGCGGGAACAAGATGAACGCATTCAACGGCGGGAGAGGCAGAAGAAAAGGCAGGCAGAGCAGTCCAAAATGCGGCATCGTCAGACAGAGGAGGCTGATTTTGATGGCTTTGATGCCTCGATGTACCAGATGGCAAATCTGGTTGTTGAAGGCGCTGAAGTTCGGAAAGACACAAGCTCTGGTGTTGAGGTTGAAGATGGTGTTTCAAAACCATGGCTTCAAACCGAGGAAATCGCTTTGATTAGGTTGGCTAATAAATATCCTGGTGGTTATCCCGACCGCTGGTCGAAAATTGCTCAAATTCTGGGCCGAACTGTCAGTGATGTGACTGCGAAAGCGTCTGAAATTGCCGGTGGCTTAAGTTCTAGGACTCTGATAAATAGTAATCTGTCCCGTGTTTTAGTATTCTCATACATTTCATAGCTGTTCCAGATGGATTTAACACGGAGGAGATTAGTGAAAATGAAAGTGGAAATGAGGAAGGAAATGAGGAAGATGATTACTACCTCTCAAAGCGGAAGGCCAAAAGGATCGGGAAAACGGTTTCCCAGGAACCGGAGAAAGAGGAGCTCCCTGTTCCGGATGTTGAAATGGAGGAGGATTCCGACGCCTATGTCAGTCGTAAAAAGCAAAAGGCATTATCAAGGAGTAAACCTCCGGTTATGGTAGTGAGTCAAGAAGCAAATGGCCATTGGACACAGAAAGAACAAAATCAACTGGAGACGGCAATGAATTCTTTTCCCAAAGACACGCCTCATCGATGGCAATTGATTGCTGAGTGTGTGCCTTCGAGGACGTTGGTGGGTTGTGATTTAGCGGCTCATCTTGTGGTATGCACTACTTACAAACTTATAAGTAGCACCGTTCCATAAAACTGTGTAGAAGTGACCTCTTGCATGCTTTATCATTCTTTGCATTTTTTTCTATTTTTCTGATCTCTCAGGCTGAAGTGATCGACCGGGTGAAGTTTTTGGCTGAGAACACTAAAAAAAAGTGTAAAACCGTTACTTGATTTCTATTTGTTATCTTTTTGTCAACAATATGTGAGTATAGCCTATTTATTATATGTCAGAGTGCTCTTCTTCTTCCCCGACTGTTTCTAAAGAGTCAAAGGGCTTTATGTTTGTCCGTTGTAAATATTCGTAACCATCCATATATAAACGAAATGCATGAAATCGGAATGTGTTGATACTCCTTTCCGTAACCTTTGCCTGAAAACGCCTACTAAGGCGGGAAGTCTAGTCTTATCATTAAGGCGAATGATTGACTTATTGGTAACTTCTTCAGAGGGTAAACAACTGGTGGTTTGCACATCGTTTTTGTCCTTGTTTCTACGCGTCGATTGTCATACGTGCGTGGTACAGTAAATTAGAGGAAATTTGAGGATGATGTGTTCTTTTGACCTATTCCTGAAACCTTGTTTGGAAGAGCCTGACTACGGAAAGAGTAAAACTTTTGCCACTCTATTGGAGGCATTTTTTTGAATGCAAAAATTCGCGGAGTTTGTGTTACGCCAGCAGAATCACGCAGCCAGGTGGTAGGGTAGCTCTCTGTTTGTTCGTATCTCGAATTCGACACGTCAACACTGATCAGGCGTCTATCCTCACCACAGCCTGGCGTCTCTGCCTTTTCCCACTCATCTCCTCTACTCAAATCTGCTTTTTGTTTTAAGTAGTTACAAATTTTGTGAACTAACAGGATCAAGGGAGGGGTGTAGTTACGTCGCAATTGTCGGCTTCGGCTTTGCCTCTAAGACTAAACCTCCCATCGGGTCTTTTTGTCCAAGGCGGCGAAACTTCATTCAAACCACTTATTTGTGAAGACTCAGGACCCTTTACACAGCTTGGAGAAGGTCAAATAATGACCTCGATGCGGTAAGCATTGTGTTGTTTGTGCAAATAAGCCTAGACAGGACATAAACGAGTTGATGACTATCACGGCAAAGCCATGTATAATCACCAGACACCGTGGCGTAGTGAGGTTGTCACCCCCCTACAATTCATACTTACGCATTCTTTCACCCCCCACTATGCGTTTTCTTTTATTTTCATCGAAATTGAAAAGCCGTCTTAAATGCCAATTTGGATGAAGTACATTGAGATTGCCTTGGCTCAGTGGAGGAGGAGGAGGAGGAGGAGGAGGAGGAGAGGACACTCTCACTGAGTGGGAGGAAAACACTGGCAGTTGTTGTTGTGGTACGTCCATTGACCATTCACACCAAGGTAGTATCCATCGTAGTTGACTTGGTGCATTTGGTCCAGAACGGCATCCACGTTGGGCAAAATGTCGTTTGTCACCAACTGACCACTGGTGAGGTCATGCGGTTGGGCCAGAACCATCCATTGTCCGGTCAGCGTTCGAACGTAAATCATTCCTGACTTCGAACAGGAAAGGGGTGATTTTCAGATTTCATCCTACATGCAACGTGGGTAACTTGTGGACGGCCTTTTGTTTCCTACCTCTTCTGTGCATTGATAATGTCAACATTTATCACCACCAGTTTAGAGGCAACTCGTGTGCTTTCTCTCTCTTGTTTTCAGTGCCGGAAAAAAAAGTACCACTGTTGACCCCGTAAAGAGGGGTTGCGTGTATTTTTGCTGCGGCTAGTTAAATTCATCGTTATGTGTGACAAAATGATCATTAAAACCACATAGCAATAGGTTTAACAAGATGCCGTACTCAAGTTCGGCATTAAAGTGATTAAGGGTGCGGTCTAAAAGCCATTGTTACAATGAATTTGTGGTTCACACTCATGAGATTCGAAGTCGGCTGCGAAGGTGCATTGTTCCATGATTTGCTGAGGTTGAATATCATCATTTACGTCACCTTCTTTCCCGTTGTGATCATTAATAATGCAGGTAGTTCTATCGAGTTTGGTAGCTTCTTCATGCTTGTAAATGATAATTTTGGCATATTTTCTGATAGAATGCAAGTCATTACTATTTTTGCATTAACCCACTTTGACAGCGAGTGGAAAGGCGGGTTGTGAATGTGGTTTCTTTAGTGGCATCACATCAACAAGTTATTCTAGGCTTGGAAGAATTTGTTCTTATCTACATCAGCGAAATTAATTCTGATGTTTTAGTGAATAACTTTGGAGGTAGACGCATTTGGATGCACAAATAAGTTCAATTGAACTGATTAATGGGGATAGGATGACAGCATGCCTGCATTGCGCAAGTGGACGAATCAAGGCTGGATTGCTTGACCTCACTCCACTCCAAATTCGTCCTATCTACACCACATCCTATTCTTGCCTAGCTAGCTCAGTTAATTGTGACCACAAAATGGGAGACCGATTCTCGAATTGTGTGGTAGCCACAATCGTCTACTGGCAAAGAAACAATGAGAAGAAATTTCTTCCAACAGTAACATTCTGCCTTCTTTGACGAGCTTGTACCGCCAAGAGGCCACCATCAAAAGGAGCGGCTGAAAGGTTGAGGTTTTTGAGGGGACATCAAGACTAGGAATTTTGGAACTGAACTGAAAGGTGTGCCTTCAATTAAATACACCAAATCAGGTGTCAGCCTCTGTAGCGATGGATAAGGCTAATTCTTCTCGGGGCTCTAATGCTAAAATTGGCATAATTTTAAAGCTTCCTGTTTGTGCTTGTAATATCAGAGTCATTGATCATGCATTAAGCGTTTCTATGGCTTTATCTTTAAAATTAATATTCTTATTTAGTATAAAATTAAATAGCTGCGATACCATAGTGAATGGGCAAGCTAATCAAGTGGCAAGAATTACAATATACTGGTCGCAGAATTGAAGCTAATATAAGAATGGTCTCTATCAAAATCACAAATGTTTGTCAGTGTTGTTAAAATAGTTGGAGAGATTCTGCCATATTCAAGGCTATTGTATCTCGATAACTGACAGTAGATTGAGTGAGGAGTAGTGTTGCGTTAAAACAACATATTGAAAAATAAGTGGGAAGGTTCTACTTCTTGTGAAGCAGATGTCTTCAACATATAAGCTTGATCCAAAATCTCACCTTATTGTCTTGCTGCCACAGTTACGTAAGAGTTGGACGGAAAAGTGAGAGCTGTTTCGCAATCGCATGAAACTGTACGCCTGTCTTAGGTCATGACGTCATAGCTAGCGTCTTTTTCTTTAGCAAACGTATTATGCGCAAAAGGAAATAGCTGGGATTGTGTGTGTGAAATGCCCTCTTAATTGCGATGTTTCATCCGGAGGCGTAGTAGTTTGCTACTGCGAAAAAAGTGGCTGAAACTTGTGCTGAACCACTTCTGCACAATTATTTTATGTTCTGAATAGCAAAGATTTCCCTCGACGAAGTGAATAGGATAACTTATATAACCGTTATGCTGGATGTGACCTTTAGGATTTCCCACTGGTTTGCAGAGGGCATTAAGCTGATGTGAGTACTTGTATTCAGGGGGAAGGTGGGGTCATGAACCATTGCTCTGGACCACACAGCGGTCCACTAAGCCCTCCTGCTCAAGGCAACAGAGTACACCAAAAAAAAATCGGTCGTGAGTGGTGAGAGGCACAGATTCGCCTAACATTTAATTCATAGAGATACCACAATAGCAGGCGTAGCTCTGACTCTAAGATCGACCCGTATAACAGAAGCAAGAAGGCTGGGTGCTGATTTGGCATTCATCTTGTTCTTGCCTATATGGATTGGCCTTCGAGGCTAGCCAAATTCCAACCTCCTCCTCACTTTCTCTTCCACTGCATGTGCTCAACTACGGGACGTCGTTACCTTGGTGGCAGAGGGAGTTCAACCGACTTTGCTGCTACTTCTATGCTGCACTTCACCCTACGTAAAAAAGCTTGCTTCTAACATTTTTCAACACAAGTGCTGAGGAAAATGCCTGCCTATGTCGACCACATCATCCTCACTTTCCACTGGAAGGCTTGTGTTTATAAAACGATTGAGACAATTTGCGTGTAGATGCCAGTGATGCAACTGCACTAGACACTTTCTATTTCTATTTCCGTGTTGAGCATCTGTTTTAGGATAGTGTTCTTATGGCAACAGAATTGCCCCACTCTGACTTCTGCATTTTATTCGAAATTAATTCCAATACCAGTCTTGTAGGAAGCCAGAAGGTGTAAGGTAATAATTCTTAGCCTCATGAGTACCAACAACTATAGTGACTGGCCTACAGGTGTTTCCTTGAAGCACAAAATAGGTGACGGCTTGAGATGGAGGGATAGAGTGTCGAGAAGGTGCTCAAAAGAGCTAAGCATTACTGAAAGACCATGTTTACTCCACTATCTGTATAACCGGTAGTCAGCATGGTAATAGTCTTGCTGTAGTCCGCATGAAATGATATGCGGACCAGGCCGAAGCTATGCCTGCTCCCCTCTCCTCAACACTACTTAATGCCTTCTTTTACCTGTTTGAATTTCCTGGAAAGATATTAATGACTGTAATGCCTTGTATATGTGACCACCCGGCGTTTGGCTGTCACGCTGGGATTTGTCTGGTCCTTGTACTTGTGGGCTGACCTTCGAGCTCAGTTCCAGTTGCTTTGTCCCCTTTGGAATACTCGCATCCAATTTTACTTACTGTCTTCTTCCACCTTGTAAGAAATCTCGGGACGCTACATTGGTGGCAGCCGAAAGCGAACCCAACATTCTTCCAACGACTTACATCTCAGCACGTACTGATGCATATGCCTACGATGGGAAAGAGACACATTTGCATCGGTTGCGGAGACTCTCTGAAGTCCTCACAACGACAATGTTGAGACTGATGTCAGCATTTGGCTTCACCTTATCCCCATATTCCACAGACAAGGTATTAACAACTGAAGAGACACCGCCGTGAACCATCTGGAAATGTTTCGTGTCATAATTTTAGCATAAAAAATTCTGGTTTAGATTTCGGAAATGACACCACGGCTCTCCTTAGGTGCGGGACAGTGGTCCATCCTGTTTTTCCCGTAACGTGCCTGTTTTAGACCAGAATCTGGTTGTCAGACCGAACGTTACTCCAAATCCAGTTGAAGCTGCCGAGGGGACCAGGTATGGCTCCTCAGGCCTCCGCCACGCTCAGGACCCATTTGCCCTCTCGTCTTCGGGATACATGTATTCAACCTCACTTATGCCTTCTTCCATCCGATGGGAAGCCTCGAGACGTTACAGCGGAAAGCGAAACCGACATTTTTGAACGACTTTTAGGTGTAAGGTTCTTTTGAAAGCGACATAGTTTGCGGAAAAATCTACTGCCCTACAGACACCGCCGTCTTACTGACATTCTAAGTTTGCATTGCTAAACTTTGCCAATTCATCGACTGATTTCCCGAAAAAAACAAACGAACAAGCCCAAAAGAAGCGGTTCGATTGGATGATGCACTGGTTCAATAAATGCAGATACCCTGAAATCGGGATCCCTTGGACTGGAAGTCGAAACCTCTCTTATAGTAACAAAAAGGTTATAATCCAACCAGCAGACAAAACTGCAAAGTAATTCTACGATTTAGTGGAGAAATCCAAGATTGGTAAGCGCATTCTGGCATTGTGCAGCGGCAATCACGAGCTATGCATGCGTAGAAGGAAGTCTGACTCTACCGAAGTGCAGTTGATGGAGATTCAGGCAAAATGGACGTGAATTGAAGGACGTGAATTTATCCTGGTGAGGGGCGAATCCCCGAATCCTTCACAAAGAAAGGATTTAGACGAACGTCTGCATTTGGTTTCATCTTATTCCCGTGTTCCACAGACAAGCTATTAACAACTGAAGCAACAGCGCCGTGAACCATCTGGAAAAGTTTTGTTTCGGAAGTTCCCATACAAAATCCGAACTTAGGTGTCGACACTGACACCACGTTTCTCCTTACATATAGGACAGTGGATCGTCCTGTTTCCCCGGTAATATGTCAGATTTAGTCCAGAGTTCCACCGCCTGTTCCCAGAAGCAACTGATGGTCAAGAGGTGTAGGCGGCCCCGAATCTGGTTGTCAAAACGAAGTAAATTTCGAATCCAGTTAAAGCTGCCGAGGAGTCCAGGTACGGTTCCTTAGTTTCATGCTATCTGTCGACTGACGCGGTTGCATCGCGGGTGCTCTCATGTAGTACCTAATATGTTGTGATGACTGGCGCGGGAGGTATACTAAAGGGCCAATGTAATGCTTGGTTCATGTGACTACCTGACGTTCCGCGGTCACTTTAGAATTTGTCTGGCCCCAGTACGCGTAGGCTGGCCTTTGGTCCACGCTCAGGCCCCATTTGCCCCCTCGTTTTCTAAATACATGTATTTAACCTCACTTATGCTTTCTATTACCCTATGGAAAGCCTTAAGATGCTACAGGAGCATTTTGTTCAAAAAAAGCAAATTTTTTAGCCTTTGGATAGCCTCAAACGTAACTAATTTTTACACTAACGAATATAATGTTAAAGAAGCAAATGCGACAAGTACGGTGCTTAAAATGCGTAATTTCACGCAATTTTTTGCAAAAATAGTCTATAAAAATGTTAAGGATTTGTTGAGAGGTAGCCTTATAGATAAAATTTGTTTTAAACCATTTGCTATCCCATTAATTTCAAACGGTTTTCGGTGTGATTGAATTGCCAACCAAATGGACATTTTATTTTTTTCATGCTTAATTTAAAAAAAACGATGTTTAAATAATTTTAAGGCAATCCTTCTGGGTTACAAGATTTTTGCCTGTTTTCGCGCAATGTTAGTTATACTGGATAGTGGACTACCGCCGCACTCGAACTGGCACTGTTTGGTTTTGCTCGGGATCGGGAGGATGTCAAGCGGGAAGTCGAATGACGGGAAGAATGGCTCGACAGGTGGGGTCTCAGATACATATTAGCTCTGTTGACTTTTATAATTATTAATATTTATCCATAATCACTTTAGCCCTTCGTTGCCTGCGCGCTAATACTTAATTCTTCTTCCAGATCCTGATGATGAATTTGTCGTGCCTCATATGGAAATCGCTTGCACATTAAATTCTGTTGCTTACATGCGTGTACTGGAGGAGCCTTTTTTGTATCTTCACAATTGGGATACTTTGAACGTTAATGTTCAGAAAGCAGCTATGGAGGCCTTCCTCGAGGAAGCTCAAGATATTAAGAACTACTTGAACTCCAGCGAAGCAGCCTGTGTGATGCCTGCTGAATCTATCGAAGTTGGTTCAGGGCCTGAATCTTGCGCTTCTGCTTCAGCGTCAACAAAATCTGATAAAAAGAAATCTAAAAAATGACAGGTGGTCTTTTGTATGCGTTTTCTTTTAGTTCATGCTCACCCTTAATAAAGCTTCTCTTCCTATTCTTAGGGGGCTGAAAGCGATGGGAGTGTGCTATCGCGTTTTGTACTAACTATGCTGCCTGTAAATTGTGCTTTTCATTTTTTTTATATTAAATTTGGTCTTGCTATTTAACCGTGTATCAGACGATTTCTGCCTGATTCGGTTAGCTTGTTCTCTTTTCCTTGGTCGATGTGTCAAAATTTGTTTTGGTAATCTTACCTCCCTTGATAGAGCGCTAAAGTCGTTTCTGTATTCACATTGTATTATCAGTGAATATTATTTAACTTTGGTGCATATTTCTGGTGTCGGATTTTAACACTTGTAAGGTGTCTTGGGAGTTGCAGCGGTTCTTGGTCTTGTTATGACCTTGTTCTGCCACCATTCGACAAACTCACTTTGATTCATTTCAATACGTCTAAGGTTTCGACCTAATTGGCGATCCAACTCCTGGTGAATCGCTTCCAAACGTTGACGTTCGTTTCTATTTTTCATTTTCACCATCCTTGCTGTTAGAACTATTTGTGAACAGCGTTCCCATAAAGTTTCTTCTCTGATCTTCAGCTGAAAATATGCATTGAATGATTACCTTTTCAGAGTCTGCGTCTTGTTTGTAGGTGGGGAAATTTAGCAGCGTTCGCAGTGAGTTCTCACGATAGTGAATTAGGGCACTTCGAATTTTGCGACCGTCGAGATCTTTAGAAGTTGAACGCGTCCGTTGCATGTCTTTCTTTGCCCTTGCCCGGTTGAACACTACGTCTGGTTACTAAGATTGTAGTGATGGTATGGCAACTCTCTGATTGGTTGATTCATGTAGGTTTATTTGGTCTGGGACATGGAAACGAAAGCGTTGCTGTTAGTATTTGTCCAACAGACAATGATTCGATTACCAAGGGTGCGCATTGGGTAATACAAGATTTCCGAAGGTGTTTTACTATACCTAATGGAGGACACGGGTCTCTGTGGGGCTCGAGATGTAGCGTCTCACTCGTCACTTTTCAGAAACGTTTATTTATTTTGATAGTATAAACCTCGGGAGCTGTCTAATCATCCTCTTTAAAGGACCTGAAGCTAAAATTGGGGCTTAGTTGAGAAGAATGTTGTATAGGGCATTTGGGACAGCATTAGCGTTTCGAATGGGAGGTTCCATCTTTTTTTCCTCTTGCATAAAGTAGTCAGCGGTAGAACTTATGGGACGTATGGCTATGCAAGAGCGACGCTGCCGTGAATGTCATTACTGTCAACATCTGGAATTAATCAGTGGGTGAGCAATGAAGGCAATCCTTTTTGTGATACATTTCCCATTCTGTAGTTATTTTCCCCCCTCCCATAGAGCCACTTCTGATGTGGCGTCCTAAAATGCGTCTCCAAGTTAACCTACACTGATAAATCGAATTTCGCCACTTCATAATAGATCTTCTCATGCCAGTGAGTCAGTCTTAATTACTTCAGAGTTAAAGTGAATGTCAGGCAAGTGCAAATGCGGTTCAGACACTTTAACCTCCTCCTCCTCCTCCTCCTCCTCCTCCTCCACTACTACTACTACTACTTCTCCTTCTTCT